TGTGTTAGACATTTTGTCTCCGAGTCCATGAATCCAGTGCGTAAATAGATAGGGGCTGCAAACAATTTTGTATGTGGTCACTTCCTCTTTGCTTGCCCGATTGCTGAAATTCCGCTCTCTCCCGGGGTAACCAAAAAGTCAGGGTTGTCGCGATGGAAGCAGATATTCGAGCACGAGTAGATAGCCAGTAATTGGGCCAAAACTTTATGATTGTATGGACATTTAGATATGAATTGAAGTGAATGTAAAATAGGGAATGACTACAAGAAGTCGCCAATTGGTGTAGCAGTAGCAGGTGAATGGTATCAAAGAAATCCTACTCGAGTACAGTATTTGGCTTCTGTCCTTGTTCGCTTTCTTGACGTAATCGCGTAATCGTGGGTGGTATAACTACTTACCTAGGTACCGCTCGCTGTACGCACTTGATAATTTACCTCGGATCTGATTCTCGTGTTTCAAGTGAAGGGAGGGGCTGCTGCCGAAGGAAAGCGGTGTCGTTCGAATTGGCAGAATGAGGGAACATTAATCATCGAGATATCTCGAACTCAAACTCAAACCAAGTACAGTAGATAGATGCAACATTCTGAAAAAAAAAGCAATATCTGAGAATGGAACCAGGAAATTTATCCTCAGATCATCTCACCTACCTTCGTCAAGCCCTCGACTTAGCCCGACTCTCTCCACCTAAACCTACCAACTTTCGCGTTGGCGCACTACTTCTCAATGCTTCAACGAACACTATTATCGCAACAGGTTACACACTAGAATGCCCTGGCAACACGCACGCAGAACAATGTTGCTTCATAAAGCTCTCGCAAGATCTTAATACACCTGAAGAGCGGCTTGCAGATGTTCTGCCTGAGCATACGATATTATATACCACAATGGAACCATGCGCAAAGAGGTTGAGCGGCAACGTGAGTTGTTTGGAAAGGATCTTGAAGCTGAGTGAAGGCGGAAAAGGAATTCGAAAGATAGTGGTTGGTGTGAAAGAGCCGGAGAAATTTGTAGGCGAGAACGAAGGGAGAAGAAAGTTGGAAGACGCGGGCATTGAGGTATTACTGGTGGAGGGATTGGAGGAAGAAATATTGAAAATTGCTACAGCAGGGCATGTTCCGGCGTCTGAAGGATGAACAGTCGCATACTGCTCTTAATCTGGGAATTCTGCATCAAGCTGTTAAAGCCGAACATATTTTACTCTAAGTTGTACACGCGCTTTGTTGAGGATGTCAATGACCGTTTGTTGGACAAACACAGCAATTTGGCTTCACATTTTGAGATCAGTTATGGCTTCATTCAAGGACGATGAAAGCTTGTATACGATGGATGAAGTAGTGTGCTTCCCATGGGCTAATGTGCATCAACCGATCACCGACCCCTGGTATACTTTTGTATTTAGAAGTGCCATCCATGTTCTTCAAGATGAAATATTTCTGCAAGATACAAGGAGATTACCCAGGTTGATGTCCAAATCGATACTTCGAAGAGTGGTGGACCAGTGTGTACCATCAGTAATTATATTGGGTACCACCTTAGAAAGGAGATATCCTCATCATCGTCCTAAACATCATACAAGTTTGTACGATTTTCTTTCGGTTTTTGAGTACTGGTTCTCGATGTATGAGACTTCAGAGAATAAAGGCGATATGAGATGACTTAATACATGCGTCGGAGTTCAGCTCTGAAGGACTCAATAACAAGATGGGCGTTCTCTTGATAATGTCTTCCCATAGTGCTTCTCAGAAGCGTACAGGATTGATCTGATCAATCAAAGATAAGTAATTACGGCCGAGCTGAAATGGCAATTGCACGAATGCTCTCAACGAATCCAGAAGAGGAATGTTGATTCCAAAGTTGACTCGCCGGCGGCGGACATCTCTCGGCATGTTTCCACAATCGTAACAATTTATGTGAGTCTCGGATGCTGCATTGTTATACCACTTTCCAAGTATGATTTGTGCATGCACAACCTCCGTTGCCAGTGGCAAGTCAATGCATCAAGAGTTTTTAAGTTGTTGAAGATTTGCAATACTCCATATAATCTAATATAATTGGCATTAGTCTCATAGATTGATATGTAGTATGTTATGAACAAACTAGATACTCACGAACGGTTACATACTCACAGCATTTATACGCGCCGTTTCCCCCCAATGAATCCTGTACCACCATTGCATTAATTTTCGTTACAAAGTCAAATGCCCGACAGGGTTTGAGTCGTACTCCTCGGAGACTGCACCCTTCCGCCCACTGGGGGACAAAACTCCCTAGTCAAACATGACCACCTATTCTTTGGGTTCGGACATTCTCGATGTCTCAATTCATCCGACATGAAAGTAAATCTTTTGTAACACCTAAAATCATTGGATTTATAGTTAAACCAATGATATCGAACATCTTTTGACGAACGCTTTGAAAATCACTTGCAGGAAACTTTAACATTCTTCTTTGCCTTGTCTTCTGACGTACGAAACATTCATACTGCAGTAAATTTTTGGAATTTGCGGTAGTGCCTGAAGTCGAAGTTTGTATGATCATGATGCACCATCACAAAATCCCTGAAGAATGCAGTGTGTTGGTAGTCGGCGGGGGACCTGGTGGCTCTTATGCAGCAGCGGCCCTGGCTCGTGAGGGTATCGATACGGTGTTGTTAGAAGCAGACGTATTTCCGAGGTAAGGAATTTTGTCTCTTTTGTTTTGAAGTAAGAAGCTATGGTGTTAGACTTGTTCATGCAAGCTCTTGTCAGGCTCATCGCTAGAGAATGGCCTCATCATCGTATCATGCATGACCTCTCACCAAAGATTTTTGAGAATTATTCCAGAAAATCTATATTGGAAACGACCTAACTATCACATTATCAGATACCATATCGGAGAGAGTATGCTCGCATCAATCCGTCATTTTCTACGCTTCATCGATTTGGACGAAACATTCAAGAATCATGGGTTCACCAAGAAGGTATGTAACGCAATTCATCGAATCAATAACCCTCCAATCGGTGTAGATACTAACATTGAAGCCAGGTGGGAGCAGCATTCAAGCTCACAGAAAAGCGTGAAGGATGTAAGCACTCCCCTCAATTTCCTCACTTCACACAACCAACCCACCAACCCAAACCTAAACCTAGACACGGATTTCATCGCCGCCGGTGGACCGGAAAACTACGCTTGGAATGTAATCCGATCCGAAGCCGATGAATTAATGTTCAAACATGCAGGAAATTGCGGCGTCAAGAACTTCGACGGAGTGAAAGTCACTGCGGTAAATTTCATTCCCTCAATCTCCACCGACCCAAGTCCCCTAAGAACAGACACCTCGGAACCCAATCCAGGCCGACCAATATCAGCCACCTGGTCGAAAAAAGACGGCAGTTCTGGAACAATCAGGTTTGAATACATCGTAGATGCAAGCGGTAGAGCTGGTCTTATGAATACGAAATATATGAAAAATCGCAACTACAATAAGGGATTGAAGAATGTGGCAAGTTGGGGATATTGGAAAGGAGCAGCTAAATATGCTATTGGTACCGACAGAAATAACTCCCCTTATTTTGAGGCTTTGAGAGGTGTGTTCGCTTTCTACACACACATCCCGCGTGACTAGATAGGATCTCGCTAATATGAGATTTTGCGATCACAGATGAAAGTGGATGGTGTTGGATGATTCCCCTTCATGACGGTACCACATCCGTAGGTATCGTCATGAACCAAGACGTTTCCATGTCCAAGAAACAAGCAATGAATTCCCCGAGCACCAAAGACTTCTACCTCGAATCTCTCAAACAGGCCCCTCAGATCCTGGAATTTTTATCCAAAGCCTCACTCGAAACAGATATCAAAGCCGCGTCTGATTATTCCTACAGTGCATCTTCGTACGCCATGCCCTATTGCCGCATCGTGGGCGACGCGGGATGTTTCATCGATCCTTACTTCTCTTCTGGTGTACATCTTGCGTTGACTGGTGCTTTGTCTGCCGCAATGACTATATGTGCTGCGAAGAAAGGTGATTGTAGCGAGGAAATGGCAGGATCGTGGCATTCGAAGAAAGTTTCAGAGGGGTACAATCGATTTTTATTGGTGGTTCTAAGTGCGTATAAGCAAATTCGGAAACAGGATGAGCCTGTCTTGAGTGATTTTGACGAGGACGGATTTGATTTGGCATTTTCATTTTTTAGACCTAGTAAGTATATCTATCTAACCCGTTCTGATAAGAACGACAGACGGGGAAGCACGAAAGAAAGCAGAATATCTAATGGATTCCTTCATAGTTATCCAAGGAACAGCAGACGTAAGCAACAAACTCACCCAAAAAGAACTCAAAAAATCCGTCGATTTCTGCCTCAATGCATTCCAACCCACGACGGAAGAACAGCGCGACGCTGTCATGTCGAAACTCGACATGGCACCCCCCACCAATTCCTCGACCATGGACCCCAAAACCCACGAACAAACCTTGGTACTGACGGAGAAACTCACCGAGGAAGAAACAAGAGTCATGAAACATATTCGGGCGCGTCAGATGATGAAAACGGAAGATACAATGAGTATTGATAATTTCAGCACCGATACGATTATGGGTCTAGCGCCGGTAATGCAGAGAGGGAGTTTGGGGTTGAGGGTTTCGGATGGGAAGAGCGGGGGGAAGAAGGAGGTTCTGGATGTTTTCGCGGCGGTTAAGAGGGAGGATGGGAAGGGGGAGCAGGGGAGTATTAGGGCTTGTTGATTGTTGGGTGTGAGTGAGTGTGTCGGAGTGTTCGGAGTGGACTTGGTCTTGCACTTTTCAACAAGTGATGTTTTAAATTGAGATAGGATAGCTTGGTTTCATATCTAGATATAGATATTGGTAGAATGGATATTGTTTTGTAACTCCATCGTTACTGTTACTGTATTGACAATGTTCATATAATCATATTGGACATTCGGACCAGTCTTGCATTACATACATATTGCACGTTATCAGTATACCAGCAACGTTATAAATCCTCCCCAAGCCGTCAACGCGCACGCATCGTATTGATACTGGTACTAGTATCAGTTGAAAAAATAATGCAAAGACTACAGTACCTACCCTACCTACTGTATATATATTGGCCAAGTCGTTGTGATGAAATCTATCCCCTTAACTGCAGTAAGCTCCTTTTGAATGATCTATATACAATCTGGAATGCTCGAGTAATACTCGAGTAATAATACAAGTTCAAAGCTAATATATAGGCTACATCTTCAAAACTCTAAATAGCTTCAATATTTCAACTTCATTATTAGTAACTATATTAATCTCCTAAACCTAAAACAAGAATAGAGACAGATTACAATCAATCACATCATCTATATTATCTTGATTATATTTATCTTCAAATTCAAATAATTCAAAACTCAATATTCAGAATTTAAAGTTTAAAGCTTAAAGCTATCTCAATATATAAGCCACCTTTTCAAACTCTGGGAAAAGATCTGAATAGTTTCAAAATTCATATTCAAATTGAATATATAATAAATAAGGTTTAAACTCTAGATATCTACAAACTGTGTACCACGAGTGAATATAGAGGCTCTTTCGGGCTTTCGGGCCCGCAAGGGGCCGGCCCGGGAACAAAGCTCTTATCTTATAAATTCACTTTTATATAATTTATTCATACTTTTTGAGGATCAGCCGCTTAAATCCATTTTAAAAAGGAGCTGAAACCCCGCAGTTAAGGGGGTATTCGGTAAAGTACCGGTAGCCCCGGTCCCTCCCTACAAGTAATACACTTTTTATCATTGTGATATCTATCCCGATATCGATATCGATGTTCGATAGGGGAGGGGTTACGTAAAGCGAGGATGGTTATCTTTCCCCACATTACCCGTACATTTTCGCGGGAAAGTGGAGTTATCAGTTACCATATGTATGAACATGATCTAGACTTGGCTGGGGAGGTTTATTTATATACTGTACCGGTATTCGATTCTGTATAGATAGCAACTGATGGGATTTTTCTTGCTGAGAGAGAGAGAGTTGATTTGGAAAGGGGAATTGATGTGAGATGAGTTGGGATTGTGATGTTTTATCTTGGTAGAATGATGAAGAGATTATGATAAAACAGACGGTCGTCTGTTCAATCCTGTAGCCAAGAACATTTCCAAGCATTTGTGCCGGAATTAAGCCTCAGAGTTGTATACTTGCAGTGGCGATAAGCATGACAAGGGAGACTAATTGGTGCGAGAGAAAAGAGGGTGTATGGTATCTTTCGTGGTTGCGGGCAGTTCTACTATTGGCCTGGCCTTCGTCACAATGTATGTGTTTTCTTCGATTGATATACTCCCGGGTATGCTGTGTTGGGTTGGGTTGTAATAATCATTTCTGATGAAAGAAGCAGACTCGAACGAGACTTGGTCATGTACCTCTATTTACATGTATTAAAGAGATGGAAAACTATATATTATCAGAAATAAAGGAGGAACATGTGAAAGATGAAATAGATTCCATATCAAGATAATGGAAAGGAATATAAATTAACAAGAGAAATCCACCCCAAGTAAGCCACCTCTTGATAGCAGGGTTGAGGCTAAACCTTCCTTATCAAGTATGAGATCTGATAGCTGCTGTACGATCCCCTTCCACCCTATGAACAAACACCCTTTAAATGAAATTGTGTCATGCCGTGCCGTGCGGCTAATCGATAAACCTCCATGAACTATATAGATAAGCCACGTCCGCGACCTCTTCACCTGTGACTTTACAATAATCATCCATCCTCAGATTGAAGATGGCCGCTTTGAAACCATCGAAAAGTAATGTATCGGCTCACGATGACCTGATACGTCGTTCTCCTGTCAGCACGGTGTTGCCGGTTGGGGATGTTCCGGATCTCGAAGGCCTGAGTGCGGATGAAGCTGCGCTGACGGCTTTGGGTTATAAACAGGAATTCAAGCGAGAATTCTCCTTGTGGACGACGTTTTGTGTTTCGTTCGCCGTGCTGGGATTGTTGCCTAGTTTCGCAAGCACATTGTACTATGGAATGGGTTATGCTGGTACGGGAGGGATGGTTTGGGGATGGTTGGTTAGTTGGTTCTTCATTCAGTGTGTTGCTATGGGAATGGCCGAGTTGTGTTCGAGTATGCCAACGAGGTGAGTGTTTTTGATAATGTGTTTCAAAGATGTGAAAGCTAAACGTTTCAAGTGGTGGATTATATTATGCTGCAGCAGTACTTGCACCGCCAGGTTGGGGCCCCTTAGCAGCTTGGGTGACAGGATGGTCCAATTGGATGGTTCAAATTACAGGAGCACCCAGTGTGGACTATGCGCTAGCTGCTATGATTCTTGCCGCCGCCTCAATCACCCATCCCGAGTATGAGCCAACGAATTATCAGACATTCTTACTGACAGTCTTGGTCATGATCATTCATTCATGTATATCGAGTATGCCAACATTATGGATTGCGAAGTTCAATTCGTTTGGGTCGACATTGAATATCATCGCTTTGTTGGTGGTGATTATCATGATTCCAACGTCGGTCACTGGAACTGCTACAACGCCAAAGTTCTTTCCCTCGAAGCAGGTCTGGTCGATTCAGAATGGCACTGATTGGCCGGATGGAGTAGCAGTCCTGATGTCTTTTATCGCCATTATTTGGACGATGTCTGGATATGATGCCCCCTTCCATCTCTCGGAGGAGTGCAGTAACGCCAGCATCGCAGCTCCACGCGCCATCGTCCTGACAAGTGGAATCGGAGGTCTTATGGGCTGGACTTTGCAACTCGTCGTTGCATATACTGTCATCGATATAACGGAGGTACTTGATTCGCCACTGGGGCAACCATGGGCATCGTATCTTGTTCAGGTGATGCCACAGAAGATTGCGCTTGCCGTTCTTGCCATCACCATCATGTGCGGATTCTTTATGGGTCAAGGATGCATGGTTACCGCTTCCCGGGTAACATTCGCTTATGCCCGAGATGATTGTTTCCCGTGCTCTTGGTGGATGAAGAGAATCAATAAGATTACTTATACTCCTGTCAACGCCGTATGGTTCAATACAGCCATAGGTTGCGTTCTCCTGTTGTTGATATTCGGCGGCACGGTAGCCATTGGTGCCATCTTCTCCGTCGGCGCCATCGCAGCTTATGTTGCTTTCACCATCCCTATCTTCATTCGAGTATTCTTTGTCGGCGACAGATTTCGACCTGGACCATGGCATCTTGGAAAATTCAGTAAGCCAATTGGAATAGCCGCCTCTTCTTTTATCTTTGTTATGATGCCAATTCTCTGCTTTCCGGCATACAGAGGCAACGACCTTACAGCCTCGTTGATGAATTGGACGGTGGTCGTGTATTTTGGACGTAAGTATCCTTGAATCTCAAGACTCTATTGTAACCACCTTCGGCGGCTAATAATGGATTCAGCGATGAGTATGGTAATGATCTGGTGGTATGTGTCAGCACATAAATGGTTCAAAGGACCTGTGATCAATGTAGAGGTAAGTGACATACATCCCACAACAACATTCCAGCCACGAAGGCTAACACGGGTAACCCTAGCATCATATGATGGGCAGAGACCCTGAAGAAACTGTGGAGGGAATTGAAGATAGTTCAGATGATGGGAAGAACAGGCCGAGTTCTTTTGAGAAGAAAGCTGGGCTGGCAGAAAGTCGGACTCCTGGAACTTCAGCAGTAACCCAGTGAAAGCTTCCAGATCTGTAAGCATGTTAGTATCTTGCTTGTATTGAGACATTAGGGATGGTAGATGTACATCGGTACTTCAATCAATGATTATATATTTTTCTCTTGCATCAATTGTAAAAATATCATAGTAACGAAGACTCCAATTCCAAACACCATACAGGAGACTGGCTCCATATCAGTCTTCTCTTGTGCTCTGACTTTTGTAAGAGGTGAGTAGAGTGTAAGAAGACTTTGTTGAGGGATGCTTTTGATGAAGATTTAGGAGTTATTTGAATTTATATAGAAGCCATGAAGTGAGAAGAAAGATATACTATACCTGTTTTTCTGGTAGTGAAACCACATTCACCTACAGTGATGACCTGCAAGCAAAGATTGCGGGATTTTCGCCATGCGAGTTGGATATAAAATGCCTCATCGTGACAACAGACCCCCTCGAATTCCTCATGCATTTACGCGGAAATGGAAAGGATCAATGTAGCTCATCACCAGGCTTTTTGATTAACAGGAAGTCAAGTTAAGATCATCCCACTTGGTCTCATAAAAACACTCATGAGAATCATCTAATGATAGGGCACCATGATAGGGTGGGAATACGAGGGAAACGACGAGAATAAAGATAATGTTGAGCAACGCGACAAAACAGAATGTGTGCGGAAAACCCCCACTCGGAGTAAATATGGTAGAGCTCAACATTGGGATAGTGGGAAGAAACGTCTAATGATAAACCCGATAATGTATGTTTTGAAGTATCACCCCCAAGTAGGAGGATATACTACTTCTTCCATGACTGCATCTCGTCCTCATTATTCCCAAGCAACAGTATATTGAGTATACTCGCACCATATTTCCCAAAGCCTACACATCTTTATTGATATAAACCATCTGAGTTATTCAAACTCATATGCGTTGCGATAGAGAAAGCATTTATTCAATATCCAAGGTAGCTTGAAGGTGGTACAAGACAGAGAACGAAGAAGGAAAATATGAGTATGTGCCTGAATAGTCAGGCAATAGTAGAACAATGGATCTCCCGCTACCTGGCAGGCATTCAAACATTCATGCTTTTAGTATTTTTGAATTGTTTCTACCCTCACTAGCATATATTGGTGCGCTCACAACAATCATGATAGGAAAGAAACGCACTCATCTTTTCATATGAGTCGCAAACTCCAGGCGTGATGTCAGCCAAAGTGTTTCGAAAACCCGCCGGCGGGGACGCTTCCCTATTATCTCCTTCGAATTACGACGATGATGCACCTTCAATAAATTCGGAGCGCAGTGATCACGACGATGACAGTGATGATGATAAGGTACTCAATGGGGCACGAACGTCTGCGGACGTTAGGAGATACGACCGAGGTGTACTAGAAGAGGAGGAAGAAAGGGACGAGCTGTTAGAAAAAAGTCGACAAGGCGGAATGAGGAGAGAAAGCGCATTAGAAGGTATAAGCTCGGGACTCCGAGGTCTATGGAGTAAAAGTCATGTTCTGCTACCTGGAACCGGCATTGAAGGTTCCGCAAACCAAAACAATGAAGCCGAACCGGAAGATGAACGGCGCCAGAGGAAGATTAGAAGGCAAAGGAAGAAGGAGAAATTGATGGAGGATGCAAGTTACGGCGAAGATGGAGAGTTAATGATTGAAATGGAAGGGGGGCGCATAAAAGAAGGCAGTGCGACAGGTTCAAGCAGCGAAACCGACGAGAGCGATGATGCCGACAGACGTGGGTTGCTCAACATACAGGATGAGAAATCACAGCGGAAGAAGACGAGATGGGCTTGGTGTGCTATATATATCCTGATCATAATTGGATTTGCAGCTCTGTTATTGGTGACATGGAAACTGTCGCTGAAAGCACGCTTCACGAAAGAACATCAAAATATTCTAAGCAATGGCACGGCTTTATTCGCCCCAACGACGATTCTGATAAGCTTGGACGGATTTCGCGCTGATTTCTTGAAGCGGGGCATTACTCCTAGATTGAATGCCTTTGTCGAGGAAGGAATTTCGCCTGTCTACATGATGCCTAGTTTCCCCTCTGTCACATTTCCAAATCATTATACGTTGGTTACTGGCCTTTACCCAGAATCACACGGGGTTGTGGGAAATACATTTTGGGATAAGGAACAACAAGAAGAATTTTACTATACTAATTCCGAAGCAATGGACAAGAAATGGTGGGGCGGTGAACCTCTCTGGGTCACTGCTGAGAACCAAGGAATCAGAACTGCCATTCATATGTGGCCAGGGAGCGAAGCACATATCATGGATGTGGAACCGGCATACTTAGATAAATACAACGGGAAAGAATCGCTCCCCAACAAGGTCAGCCGAGTACTTGAGCTTCTGGATAAGCCTGGTCAGGAAGACAGTCAAGCAGAAATAGCTGATATGAGACCTCAACTCATTGCAGCATACGTGCCCAATGTTGATCAGCATGGCCATCTTTATGGGCCAAATAGCACTGAAATTAGGACAACGATAACAGAGGTTGACACTATGCTTGATCAGCTGTTTCAAGGACTCGAGGCAAGGAATTTGACAAACATCGTTAACGTTGTCGTTGTTTCAGATCATGGAATGGCTACTACGGACACAAATCGTCTAATTCAACTGGAAGATATCATTGATACCAGTCTAATCGAGCACACTGATGGCTGGCCCTTATATGGACTTCGGCCGAAGAATACTGCGCATATTCAAGGTCTTTACGATACCCTGGCTGCGGAAGCTGTCACTAATCCCAATTTTGAGGTCTACCTACGTGATGTCAATATGCCTGAACGTTATCATTTTTCCAAGAATGAGCGAATCGCCCCTTTATGGATTATCCCAAAGACTGGTTGGGCGATTGTCACGAAAGATGAGTTCAATGTAGTTGAAGGCAAGGCAAAGGGTATTGACTATCATCCTCGAGGGTTACATGGTTACGATCACGAACATCCGCTCATGAGAGCCATTTTTATCGCTAGAGGCCCTGCTTTCCCACACGAGCCAAATAGTTGCGTGGAGCCTTTCCGTAAGTCCACTATCCCCTTCTCAAGTAGACTCAATTAACTTGGCATAGAAAACATTGAGGTTTATAATATCATCTGTGACTCTCTGGCCCTTACACCCAAGCCCAATAACGGCACATTGCGTCTCCCACTCAAGCCCATTGGGTTTCACTCGCCCGATAATTCTCCTCCCGAACCCGCTGATCCAGAGCCGACCCCTTCAAAATTGGACTCTCCGGCAAATGGGACTCTATCTATATCGCCAATTGAAGCTAGTTCCGCTGCAGATCCTAATATAATCCCTCCGCATATGGTAGGCGTCGACACACCAGAAGACTCGGAAGATCTAGATGTGAATAGGCCAGTAGGAGGAGACGAGAGTGGTATGACGGAAGATGAGAAACATTGGTGGGCATGGTTCAAAGGGCAGCTAGATGACTTCAAAGGCTGGGTTTCCGATCTGACACATGGAAGTGGGAAGAATGAGACGCAGGCGCAGGTGTAGAGTTGTAATACTATTTTTTATTGGCATGGGATATGCTAGGAGTCTTGGAAGTAAACATGTACTGGCTGGGTTGGGAATTGATCAGGAGGCGCCTAAATTAGATACCATAGTTGGAATTTCAATGTACAACAGATTTCTGAATAATGGCTTTGATGATTTTGAATTCATTTTTAAGCTAGCCCATCAAGTGAATGGTAAATTGTCATTCCATGATCTCCACAATCAAGAGGAAACATGTTCGCTGAATGTGAAGCGGAACTTATGGCATGTATCTCTATGTCCTTTAAAAGTTCCACTGGACATAAGTGCTACTTGGAAGGAAGGTAGAAAGCTAGTAGCCTAGTACTCCATCCTCACGCATTCTCCAATTTCCCATGTACAGTTCTCCTCCCATCCACAATGAGTTCCGAACCAGCCTGAACTTTGACATTACCATTAACTGTAAAATCGCCACACACATGCAGCTTTCCCTTGATCTTCACATTACCCGTTGCCTTCAAATCATTACTAAGATCCACGTCAGTCTGTAAGTACACCACCACACCACGCGAGAAAAAAACCACTCACCGAACCTCTACATCCCCCTCAATCTCCAGTCCACCTCTCGAGCTCAGCTCCCCCAAGACAACCCTCTGTTTCTCCGCACACTGCACCACAATCTTCCCACTACACTGCACACTCTGCACTTCCACCCTACCCCTCACCACCACCGCACTACTCGCCTCTACCCTCCCCTCAACCCTCACCTGTCCGCCCGTCCCCTCCATCACCACTTTCGACGCACTTTTCACATCACCCTGTACATACACGTTCCCCCTCAATTCCACACTCGAGCTACTTTTCACAGTTCCCAAAACCCTGATGTCGTTTTCGAGAAGCACGGTCGAGCTGGAGTTGATATCGCCATGCACGGTTATGCGGTCCGATAACTGGATTTTGGAACTTCCTTTGATGGGCCCGAAGATGGTGATGAGGTGGGATAGGGTGATGGATGAGGCGGCGGAGACGGAGTCGAGGATTTGGAGGGGCCCTGACAGAGATACGGAGCGTGGGGAGGATATGGAGTTAGAGGTGGGGATGTTGGGGGTGGAGGAGGTGGGAGTAGGGATGTTATTAAAGGAGGAGGATGAGGAGGAGGAGTGGAAGGCAGGGGTGCGGGTATTTAATTTTTGGGGAAATGAAGAAGAGGCATTGTTGGATGGGGGAGAGGGGGGTTCGGCGGGAATAATTGATGGGGCGCTAGTGCCAGTGCCGGTGATGATGGATTGTTCGGGCGTGTCGTATGGGGTGTAGGCGGGCGGATCTTCCGTGTAGGGCAGCTCGGGTATTTGAACTTTGTTATCGCCGGGGATGCGTACCATTTTTGTGATTTGAGGGGGAGGGGAGGGGTCACCGAGGTGTTTATAATTATTGGTTGATGTAGTGATATGCGGAAAGATGTAACGGTAACGATACACACGGTTTTGATATTGAGAGATGAAGATTAGATTAGAGTGATGATTATATAGGTTTTCATTCTCGAGATTTTGATTTATGCTGACGCAAGCGTTTTCAGTTTTTGCTTGGTCGGCAACAACGGTAACAATAACGGTAACAATGAGTGGAAGCCTGATTCTATTGTGGCTGATTGTGGCTCAGGCTTTTGGGGAAAACGTGAAGACATTCCCTCCCATTGGCAGCTCTAATACGGGTTATCTACCCAACCTTTATTTTCTCCTTCAATTCATCCACTACACCAATATAATCCTTCGCACTATACGGCTCGAATATTTCCCAAAACCAGCCCGATTTCCGATGACTTCTCAATCCCATATCTGAGAGCAACATGTCATAATATGGCAATCCATCAAAGACCGTGTCCGGATATCTAGCCCCAAATCCTGAAGGATACCGCCATTTTCCAAATCTACTGTGCAGAATGGTTTGGTACTCCATGTCGGCAGGAATGCCGACTTTGTTGCTGAAAAAGGCTGTTACCCATAGTGCCTGAAATTGGGCTATAAATGCGGTAGATACCGATGCCATACAGCCCATAAAAGCAATATCTCGCGACTCTATGAATTTGGGGGGGATCATGAAGCGGAAGAGTCTGAAAGGCTCGAGTTTTCCCTCGGGAGCCCCTTCCATTGGCTTCGCTCTTCTGCTGGAAATCGGCTGGTCCCTCAATCTGGGAAATTTGGCGAGAATTTCCTTGTCGGCTCTTTCTATCAAGGCGGTTGACTCTCCAGCTTCTGGTGTGTGAGGGAGACCGAGATCGATTCTTTTGGGGAGAAATTCTAGTGGTGGGACGTGTTTCCATCCGGTGGCACAGACGAAGGCGTCAGTGTGTATTTTGTCGCCGTTGGAAAGGCTCACGGTATTTTCGCTTAAGTTTATAATGTCCCCAATATGCACAGAGATGACACCTTTCCGAACAAGCTCAAAGATATCCGTATCGTGGTTGAGAATCGAAAGCATCGAACCAACGAAAAAAGAATTCGACCACGGTTTGAGTTTTGCAGTCTCTGGATGTGCATCATAATTATTTACCGTTTTTACTTCGGTACTAGAATTCTCCCAATACTTGTCGACAAACCAGCGGCCGGCTGTCGTGCTATGAAGCCAAGAACGAACGGTACCATAACCATCATAGTCGCCATATATGCAGGGACTAAACCAAGTCAAAATGCGGGTATTGACCATCTTTTCGATCCAAATTTTGAGAGGCGTGGCATAAGATTCGGACATCCATCCTGGACCATGGCCTGATTCTCTGATAACCCAGTCCACGTGTATTCCCTTTGAGGCATATGCATATGCCATATCATAAGAGGACTTTGCGCCTCCGAAAACACATACGTTTTTGGCTGTCTTCAATGTATCCAGATGATTTGGAAATTCTTTGGTATGAAATAAGGGTGCTGTAAAGCTTTCGATGCCAGGAAGTGGAGGAACAAACGGCTGAGAAGTCAAACCTGTCGCCACAATGAGTTTGGACGCGGATATCTTATATTCCTCAAAAGTTGCAGGGACGGTGGTAGAAGCAACCGTGACAACCCAACCGCCCCCATCCTGATGCTCAGCTGACAATGCTCTACTCTCGAATCGTATCTTATCGTAGACACTGTATTCCTTTGCGAAATCTTCGAGGTATTGATGGATCACTGAGCCAGAAATATACTCTCCAGGTTTGACACCATATTTTTCCGTAGTCATAGGAAACTCGCTATACTCTAGCGCTCCTAGAATGTTATTCGTTTTCAACCCAGGATATAATCTATCATTTGCCCATACTCCCCCAATGGTTGCATTATCGGCCAGTACGACAATGCTTGCGTTGGGATGAATTTGGAGATAGGTTTTTGCGCCGGCAAGTCCAAACCAGCCTGTTGTATTGCAAGTCAGCCGATTGACATAACATGTTTTCCAGAGTTGAATCTATTGCGATTGAAGTCCTTCTCCAGTAGAAAATTCTTACCTGCCCCAATAACTACAAGATCAACTTTAACTGTTTCCGACATCTTTTGCTCTTGTGACAGACGGGTTTAATTATTGTAATGAAGATTATCACAGATCAATTATTTCTTGCTCTTTTTTAAATATCTTCCAATACTGAAATTTTATCTCTTTATACGAGTATGTCGTAAAATCTTTTGATTTGTTGTTAATCCATGACTCCAACAAGTTGTTGGTGGAGAGCATGCCTGAAGTACGTACTACTCATTGGTATACAGATGCAGATATCACCTGCAGTTCTTAGTTCTTAGTTCTTATCTCACTATTATCATTCGTCCAAACAGGAATTCCGTTCGATTCTGTGGATACAGTCGAATATGAAGATGAGTAAGATTTTGGAACGGAGTTTCTGTACGTGTTGCAATTGCTACACGACCCCCCTGTTGGACCCCTGTCGCACGCCAGCTTGTGCTTATGCCGTCGTGCTGCATACTGTAGTGCAGAATATATGTATCTTCCTTCATGGACATATTCATTCTTTCCCGAAACGTGGTATTGTAATATAAATGCTCTTTGCAAATTCACATACCGAAATCTTTCAATATATATCGTCTATTGAGAAACATGTAAGCATGCTGAATCTCTCAAGCAGTATAAATGCTGCAGTATAAGATTCGGATTTCATTACCTATAAGTGATGATATGTATGTATACAGTTCCCAGGAGCACAATACATTCATCCAATTCAACTCGGAAATTAACGTAAAACAAACGTAACGACCAGAGAACCAAATGGCATTATCACAACTATGCCATAGAATCGAGCGGATGGTTCTGTGAGATGAACGTGATTGAGACATTGAATTTCGATGTTGTGTGTGGTACGAAATGAAAGGTAAGGACGAGCTGATTAAAAGGAGACCGGTCGATGGAATCGGTTATCCAAACAATGGGGGCCTTTGCCATACGAACTTTTATTCATCCAACAGTAAAGAACCACCTAATGAACCTGCGCGAATATGATGTGTTGATCCTGGTATTGGAGAACTTATCACTAGACGTACTTCTTAATTGCCGACATGATATGGTATCCAATAAGATATAAGACACAAGCAGGATGCCCACAACCCGACCAATCGTATCTCTCTCGTGTGATATTCCCGTGATCTGAAGACTTTGGTTGCACATCTGTAAATTCGAACGTTTCCAAAAAGTTTTCGGTAAGCCTTGAATCATTCATTAAAAGCTTGGCCAAGAACATTTGGTGCAATCTCCTCCACAGCCTGCCAATCATGCGGTATATGAGTCCTGAACTTTTTCATGACAATCCCGATATTACAGCCACACAATTGCACATTTTCAATCGAAGCTCGAAAGTAAGCACCACCCTCAATCCATACTTCCTTACCCCTTTCATCGTACGATGAACCACTTATCACTTCGCTCAGTTTCGTCAACTCGATAGACATGCCCACTTCGTGAGGCATTGATGTTGAGACAGACGAGATGGTGTTGCATATCTCTTGACCGTACATACAATGGGCCCAAACGACTAGTGCTGCAGAAGCTAGAGCTATGTAGGAAATTGGATCGGGGATGAAGTTGGCGAGGGAGGGAGTCATGGTGAGTTGCTTGTGACTAAGGAGGATTTCGGTGGCGTGCCATAATGCTCGTCTGGAATTGGATTCTTGTGTCCAGGCGCGTGCTGCTGATACGCGCTGGGTATGTGGATAAGTATATACACCTCCGAAAACTTCTTTCACGTTGCTGGATAGGGCTAGATCTTTGGCGAGCATTCTTAGAGTCTGAGTCTCGGTGAACAATTGTAGGCTCATCAGATGATGAAGTATAGAAGTGTCAAAAATGAAGCTGTGAATCCTTTGGGAGACAATATCTTTCCAATCAGGCTTGTCATGGTCTTCAAGTCCGTAGTAATATCGAACTAGAGAACGATCCGCTTGTTCGAACACCTCGGGACCTGATATCCTAGTAGAAAGTTTCGTGAGACCACGTTTTAGCGAATCCACTTGCCGTTTCAACGATTCTCTCTGAAGATTTAGACTTAGGTCATTCCGCCTTGTAGGCTGAGCTCGTTTTGAAAGTTGCGAAATTTGTGACTGCATGGCCCAAAGACAAATTTGAACATCCTCCAACAGAGATTCCTTCTCCGAAAACTCGATTGTTCCGAGGGCTAATTCTTCAAGCATCATAATAATCGAACGCTGACTTCGAGATTTTGGTTCATCAGGGTGACGAATCTCCCACATTTGAAGGCCGTTAGCGTTCCAATGTGCAATAGTCTCTGGAATATTGAAGTGCAGTTCTTCTGGCCTGATCAATGGCGGTTGCCCTTTTATCACACTGAGATATGTATCAATCTTAAATAGATCAACTGCAATTCTCTGTCTTTGTTGTTGTTTAACCAGATGAAATGGTAGAAAGAAACCGGGTTTATCGTCTACATAGATAATTCCAAGCGTTAAAATCCCAACCTCGCATATAGAGGTAGCAAGTAGATTGCGTAGGATTAGACCTTTTGCCAGAATGTCGTGGTTTCCAGAGTATGATACAAAAATAATGTTCAGCAAGGTACACTGGTACAAAACAATGGGTAAAGGCTGCGTCATTGTATCCATACCATTGGTATGACACAGACGCGGAAGAATATGTTCTACCAGGTTATGGTGAACTTTCAATGCCCAATCTCTCGAGCTTATATTCCCATCAATCCAGCCACCAATCATCAGTATAGAGGGGAGTAAAAGCTCGGGTGCCTCTGCATCCTCCTCATATGATGCGGAATGAATTATCGGCCAACGATAGTGGAAGTGGGCAAAGTATAAAGCACGATACCTCTCGACAGTTTCTTTTGTGAGTGAACACAGGTAGTCGAGTTTGGAGATAGGAAGAAGAGGATTTCGGGATGCTTCTCGTGCTTCATGTTTATCTTGTTGGATCCTCATATTTGACCAATTTATAAGTCCTGAGGGTAGGCTTCTTGAACCCAATGAATTTGAATCTTCAACAGCGAGCGAATGATTGAGCACTGTCGTTCTTACCGATAACTCATGCAATTCTTGAGATGTATGCATTGTTGGTAGGGAGTTGGGTGTTTGAGAAGGGTCAGATGCCGGTATGGGGTTGAATTTCTGAATCGCATCGGAGGATTGACCAGAAACGAATGTGTCAACAGGACTGGAAATCCGGCCAGACTGCAAAGTTGTTCCAGCGGAATTCTCATTGCCTGGTAAATTTTCGGACATTGAAAATTCTGAGCCCTCTCCATCACTCATATCATCTCCTTTAGAAGCTTCATCTTGTCTATCAAATATAGCCGGTGATTCTTGCCTCAAACCATATACACAAGGGATCCTCTTCTTCTCACATCTTGAACATAGATCATTTCCATCGCATTTTATCTTGCTAGAATGGCAAGCTGCGCATGCTCTTCTGCTTCGGCCCGTTGGCTTCTTGTATTGTTGTCCGTGAAGCCCAAGATGTCTCTGCAGTCCATCACTGCGGGAGAATTCTTTATGGCATATTCTGCAAACATATGCTGGAGAAGTGCTGGAATGTGATTTTTGATGTCGAGTCAAATGTTCTTTCCGTTGAAATGATTTTGTACAACCTTGAGATTGACAGAGCCATCTGGATGGGGGTTCTTGGCCATCCATGCTAATGGCAGCTCCAGCTCCGTGAGGTGGGCGCCGATGAAACTTCTTAGGATTGTCACGTGCTGCACTTTATCTCCTTTCTAGGAGGTGGTGGGGGATGATTTAAGAGTGACGAAATGATGTAATGAATTACGAAATATAGATATCTTAATTGCTTGATGATCATCCCCAAAGCCTGGTGTTGTGGTGGGAGGATATTTCCACGGAGGGAGGCCGAAGTTTGAGTGGGACGACCACTAAAATTCAAGTCAAGTGGCTTGAGTCCCCGGTGAGCATTGAAAAATTGAAGCAACCGGCTCATCTTATAAGACCTCACATAGAAAACAATCATTTATTCGCAATCTAATAAGAAGTAATCTCGGTTGTAAGTATCTCTAAACATAGCAACTTAGAAAGATATAAAAATACAAAAAGAGAGTCGTCCGACATCAAGAAATGAAGGACATAATACTCATTACTCGAGTAGTACACACAACCAACAAACCTCAGAATCTCTCGACCTCATTCTCATAAACCAATCTCACAGCACAATACCATTAAAAAAAAAAAAAAAAAAAAAGAAGAGAGTATATCTATACAGTACTCGTACTATATTAAAGTCCACACCATCATTTTGATGCTCAACAGAGCGTGCAGAGCTAATATAATTTTACAAATTCCTCCCTCCGAGTCCCCATCGGCTCCCACCTCGCTTGCCTCCTTCCTTCCCTTCACGATGAATTACAGTACGAGTATCGTATTTATCCACTTTGAAATATGCTTGGTACATATCAACGACGAAGTGGCTGATGCATGAATACTCGTCAAGAAATCATTCATATATGGTACCCTCCTAATTACATTCTCGATGTGGAAAAGACTGATGCAAGATAAGATCAAGTCGAGTCGAGTCAAGTCATAGATAGACCTTAGAGTTTCACTAACTCGTATTTACCAACAACAAAATAATTAGTTGATACCCTCCCTATTCAATAACTTCTCTCACTATTTCCCAACACTTCTTTCACGGAAATTTTCAACACAACACAACGCATCAAAGAAATAGATAGCCAAGGGTGTAAAGTGATTCAAACTTCCCGAGTCATGTAAATACAATGCTAATATCTATGCCTAAGATATATACTACCATCCATATTCCCGCTTTTTCCCATGCGGTCTATTCGCTAATGACTAAACCACCACATTGACAATCCGTCTGTCTATACGCCGTCCCATATCATAAACATTCATGTGCCTCCATCGTGTTCATTCATTTATAACCATGCCGCTTGGCCCTCCCTACCCAACAAAAAAACCACGAATAGATGCGCCGCCGGTTATACCCAAAAGAGCGTTGTCGCACCGCTGTTAAAGACCAATGAATGATTACATCCAACCTTGGGGTGTTTCGATTTTACCGGATATACCGGAAACGCCACGACCCAAATCTTCCACCTCATCTATACTGCTATGTATGTTCATCCAATCCATCCAAAACTCATGTACAAATATGAATCTAATTCTCACCCCCTATTCGTTGGACTCGGGTCTCTACTTCCACTTCCAGCTGCGTTTCCACCACGGCCAATTCTGCTATTCAGAGCTGCCGAGTTGAACATGAAATCTCGATTGATATCCATACTTCGAGCGATCCGTCCTCCCGGTGTATTGGGATGGACAACATTCACACGGCCACGAATCGAAGCCCGTTCAACGTCCTCGTCATCCGTGTGATCTTCCTCCTCATAATCAGCCAATCTTGAAAAATAATCGGCAAGCCCGTCGACGCTAGGCGTACCGACCACATGATCATACATAGGTGGGGGCGTCGGCGTCGGCATTGGAGGCGGGGCTTCCTCGGCCTCATAATCAGGAGCAGCAAAACTTGGGTTGCGTATCATGTGCATGGGGCGTTGAACTGCCGTATTGATTGCAAGATGTGCTTGCGGTGGTCGAGTTAGAGGTTGCGCGGTTTCTGGACGCGCAATCGCCGAGGATCCAAAAGTCTGTCTCAAATTATCAAGAGAAGAGGCTCTTGAGGCTGATGTTATAGACGGATTTTCTGTGTTGGCCGCATTAGGACAACCACATACGCGTTGCCTCTGAGAGCGAACATTCTGACCACCGAGATCACAGTATGCAGGTAAAGCCATTTGCGGTTGGGACGCATGACAGCTGAGGATAGTGAAAGGGGAATCGATAGAGATCTCGAACTGACGACGCTTTTTGCCCTCAGGATCATCAGGGTCTGAACGGGATATACGCATGGTAATCTAAACGCAGGGTTAGCAGATGTTTTGCAAGAGACTGTTGATTGATGCAAAGAATTACCTTGAACCAGTGGTGTACTCTGACGTTCTTCCATGAGCAATCGTGATTGATACGTTTTGATTTCTCCTTTTCCATCATCTCGCAAGTTGGTAATTGAACTGACATCTCCAATTCCGTTGAGCCGGCGAAATGGTCAAGTCCGAGGTCGATATCACCTAATATATTCTCGGATTGTTCAGGTAGAGGCTCCGGATCTCTGCCGAACTGTACTGCTACTCTCTCTCTTTCTTTTTGTGCAGCCGCACGCGCAAGAGCTCTATCTTCGACAGAAAGCTCGCCTCCACGGAGAACACGTACTTCCGAGGATTTGTACTCTTTCGCGAGAGGTTTCCCCGCCAGCTTCTCCAGCAGTAATATTTTCTTAAGTGACTTGTCTTTCCGAGTAACTGTTCGGTCACTAGTGGTGTAGTCAATAGACTCGGTGATGTAAATCCTGATCTTGTGAACCTGCACTTTTGCTAAAGGGGTCAATTTGAAAGCGATAGGAATCCTGGAACCTATGGGGAAAGATTTCCCGGAGATCATGATATCGTAATGCAACTGGTTATCCCAATTCCTACTGATCGAAATAGGTTCGACTAGCTCCAGTGACTCGATAGTTGGTGTTCTTATGACCGGTACTTCTTTAACTCCAAAAAGATTTGCACGAAAAGCACCCGCCCTTTCTACCAGCGTCTCCACTTGCCACGTTATAGTAGCCGATGGCAGCTTGGTGGTTTCTGGACAATTATTGTCAATCGGGATCTCAAAATTGTACTCGTATACCCCGGGATGGAAAGTCTTATAGCCTCTCTGTTGGGGCGTGGGACCGTTTGGTGAATCCCCCTTTTGGAAACTACGGGATTGATTATTATGTAGTGACAGTCTTTTTGACTCTTTGGATGACATGAGGGTGTTTGCTCTACTTCTAGCACCGAGTAATGTCGAAATTCCAGAACTCGACGAATCGAGAGCCGTTATGGTCGTCGTCCCAGATTTATCCCGTAGATAGTAGTTGCATTGAGTTCCATAACCAACTTCGGAGCCTTCATACAAAGCATTGAAAAATGGTAGAACTTGTGTTCGAAGTGACTCTTCCTGAAAAGTTTCGGTTTTAGCTGGCGGCACTCCTGTAGGTCATTGTGAGCTACCTTGATCAAAATATTCCAAGTGCATTGGAAATGCATACCTTCAGGCCATTCGGTTCGCGCTCTTCCTTTGAAAGTTAATGTGATCGCCTTGATTTTGGCACTTTTGGTAACGTTAAGTCGTACCTTGCCACGGAGAATCCCAATTGAGTTGGGAGAATCGCGGGTCGTGCCGTCGTGATCCAAACCACTCAGATATACAATAGGTTCAGCGAAGGGAATAGAGACAGATAACCCATTACCTGACGCAACAGGTTTCTCGTTCTCCCCAACACCCGCGTTTGGAAGCGTCTTCACGTTTCGAAGGCTCAAGTCGGAGTCGGTCTGATCGTTCCCAAAAGGTCGATTTTCGATACCTAACGAGTCCCTATTACTGGGCCCGGGTCCGTTCATCATTCCTGCTTCCGACCCAGCCTCCAAACCAGAACTGGACTGGGCCCTTCTTGAGAATATACTTCGACGATCTCCTGAATTAGTCCGTACTGACTGTGAACGGCTGACCTGTGGGCTCGGTGGTCTCGTGGAAGATGCGGCCGAGGATGATGTACTATTGGGGGATGAAAACGGCGAGAAAACCGATCCTAGCACACGCTTTGCACTCTCTCGAGAAGCCAGCTTGTTGAGTTGGGATTTGGCCCGGGATGGTTTCTTGGGCTGTGCCGGAGATGATGGAGGTCGCAGATCAAACGGTACAACGCCTGCGGGTAGACGAGTAATATGTATAGAATGAGGTCGACGCTGTCTAGGTCGGCAAGGTGGTGTAGGAAGACTCGTTTGGCGTTTCTTTACCGCTTGAAGATTTGGAGGATGATAGTAGATGGTGCCTCTATTGGCTGAGTAGGGTATTGATATTTGGCCTGTCATCTTGCGTGTTAATGATTAATTCTCTTGAAAAGATGTCTGCTGGAATGTATATGCTGAATGAGTGTATGGAGTCTCTCGATGAGGTATAGGAAGAAGCAGGACGAAAGTAGCCGCAAGTTGTGATATTCGAGATGCAGTGTCTTGTTGAACTCCCGAGGAAATGGCACAATATTATAATATCTGTTCGCGCTGGCACCAGATGACCCAGAACTCAAAGCAGTCATGCAAAAGTTCTTTTGCGCAGGGAAAAGCTGGCAGGGCTTAGAAAGGAGGGGGGGGGGTATGATTCAAGCTTCAATTTGTCGTACAACCAAGCCATGGAAGTGTGTTTAAGGAATTTGGACTTACAATATTGGATCGATTACTAGGTATGAACTTGTTTGTTGCTTGGGCAATATAGAAAACAAGGAGTAAGGTTTATCTGGTTGCCAACACATGTAGACAAGAATGCTAAGAAAAGTATTTACGGTACTGTTATATCGCAAGAGGCGGTATACTTGTCTTCCTTTTATTTCCAAGGTATTTGAGATTCGAGCAAACGATCTGCTGGCAGGGTTGATGTTGGATTGGATGCTTGTATAGGTAGCTAGGGATCCCGGAAACCCCACATACATACAGCAATAACTTGCGATTGAATGACGGATTGGACGATTGGACGACGAGGACGAGGTCAGCAGATTATCGAATACCGAGACATAGTGGGATGAAGAGAGTGTACAGAGCAGAAATCATATACTGTATATCTAACGACAGAACGATGAAGCCAAAAGATAAGAGAAGAGATAAAAAGATGCAATGAATCTAATGCGGATGATCAATGAACCGAAACATCGGTTCAAATATTTTGATGTCTCGGGGAAATGTAGAGGTCTCTGGTTGGTCATCCATTGTTCCTTTCTCTATATGTCTGTCCGTCTGTCTTTACTTTTATAACAAATGTAGGAAGGGACCCATTGTAATCGCCGCATTCTTGTTTGTTGTGCCGGAAGCTGCGGAGGAAGGCTTTGTGTTTGTGCTGGAGAACCGGTGCACTTATCTGTGGGAGCTAAAAGCTGGTAGATAGAGAGATGATGATGGGTACTACCTACCGGATGTCTCTTTAATTTTCTAGCGCGCTTATCTACGAGCGAGTACAATTTCGAATAACTGTTATAGCGCAGGATGTATAGGTAGAAGCGTGAAGCGTGATTGACAACGACGACGACAATCGGATGGCAATTCTATTGCACTTCAACCTTCTGTTTGATTTTCGATGCATGCTTACTATCTATTTGAAAGCCTACTAGCCTTTTTTAAACAGTAAATCTCCGCCAGATCCGAAAAGCGCCATTCCGAGATACCGGGCGCTGGCCACACCGAGCCTTAGGTCACTCGCTAACTTCAATCATTACAACGCTATTATCATACACCTATGAGGCATTGAACTGGCTCAGCTAACTGATTAAATCTCTCCATATCAGAAATCCTAGAATACAAGTTTTTGATGCCCAGGTGTCCATCAAAAATGCAATAGCTATATCAGATCCACTATCAGACAGAAAGAAATCAAGAAAAGGAAAGAAAAACCCAAGCAAATGATCCTTCAAAACAGGAACCTCCTTGTAATAATCATCTTATGAAGTTTTGATATTTCAATTTTTACATGGATATTCCAGGTATAATGAAAGCCTAACATCCTGTCAAGCTGACAACTGAGAAAGAATCCTTCGCCTCAAATATCTAAACTTTTGGGATTTGAAACTATTATAATAATGTTATTTTATTACTGTCTTATTGTATGATAGACAACCCACTAGATGACTCGTCTCCAGAGCCCAAGTACAAGTCGTAGTGTCTAGGCCTTTTAGACCCTAGGTACTGTACCACTTTTCCTTTCGGATACACCACTTCCTCCGCATTTGCCCAAAATCATTCCTAATGGCCTACAAAACAAAACAATGACGAAGGCTCGAAGGCTGGCAAGAGTAACAATCATCCTAGGTTCACATGTTATCGGTAGTAGACGACTTGCCTGCATGGATCTTTTGATATCGAAGCATTGATCGTATTTCGCATTGATCATATTTCCTGTCATTCAAAGATCAATCAATCAATCTGCAATCTGTACCTGCCAAGAAGACATCGCCAATAGTCAATTGTAATATTTCATTTGGCTAATTATGCAATGTATAGGAAGAATTGCTAGTTTATCATTCTTCACCCCTCAATATAGATAAGTCTGTGGGATGCATATTGTAGATTATCTAGTCTATCCCATTCGTCGATGCGTCCAATCTATTGATAGAAATATCTATAGTAACTGTGTACTGATATTTTGCCTTTTCTAAAAACATATCAAAAACAGGCATTTTACTATATCTTCAATAACAAATATTCCTAATAAATCTTGGAGTAGAGGACTTAATGCTTAGTTAGTTACGCTTCCCAGGGTTGACATACTCGTAGTTGAACAGAAGTCCACGCCCCCTTTATTTAACCTTTCGTCCATTAGGTATTCAGGATATTTCGATACAGATATCAATGCCAACCTCGATACCTAAACAAAGCCAAAGTCGACGCAAGTCCTCTGTAACAAGCAATCTTTTTAAGTGCGCCAATATTGACACTTATTAAGGAAATGGCCTTATAGAGTATATCGATTACTACGAAAGGCATGGGAAGTAGGGGAGTGGAGCATTAATATTGAGTTGACTGCGAGTAAGGTAGGAAGGGTGTCGGTAATGTAGAGGCGTACTGTATCTGGGAAGAAGAAAGGAAAACTAAACTAAACCACCGGCACAATCAATGTTATTTCACAGTATATCGAGGATCATGTAAAGCGAAATGGCCCAAGGTAGAGTAGTTCTATCTTAGAATTTCATTGAAACTAAGAAATCGTACGTGGGGAGAAAAGAAGCCATGGCAGTCTAACCATGGCAGTCTAACCCTACTCAATAAGTTTCTCTCTCAAACTCCAATTCTCGCCCTTCTCAAGTGCATCAAGCCACGCTGTAATGCACTTGACAGACCACCCACTATCACAATTCTGCACCGCCGCTTCGAAATCCGCTTTCACTGCCCCTTTCGTAGACTCTTCAATCCATTCTGGTGCAATTTTCTGCATTTCGTCTAAGAAAACAGCGCGGAGCATTGTCGATTCGTACTCTAAAAGGTGGATCCAGTAGAGTTCGTTAATTCCTTCATTATCAAGTGCATCTGCTGCAGGTTCGTTGACGTTTTCCTCGTCATCCGGAGCGTATTGGTTTCTGTTCGGCTCCTCGTTTCTTTCCCTTCCTTTAAGGAATTCTGGGAAGTCGCAGGATTTCCATAATGGGAGTGTGGAGACGCACTCCCAATCGACGATTCCGGTGATAGTGCCGTCGTCGTCTATCAAGAGATTCCGTGAAGATAAGTCATCGTGGAAGAGCACAGATTGCTCTGGAGAAGAGTCGGTAGTAGGAAAAACGTTGGGTAGTAGTTTAAGAAGTCTCTCAGCGAGGATTTTGGCGTCCTGTGCATCTTCAATCTCGTCTTCGTCATCGGTTGTTTTGAGAATTCTTTCCTGGTCGATAATGACCAAGGTGAGACGAGCGCAAAGCCAGTCTTTGCTATTAGTGAATGGTCCTCGAGGCACATCTTGTGTAATGTGATCTCCCCAGAAGAAGAACATTGACACTATTTGTCCCAGGGTAAGTGACATCTGTTGGGAGTCTTGTGGTGTTCCATTGGCACCAGCGATAATATACTGGAAGACGGATTCCCTTTCACAAGTTGAGATTCTGGGGTAACAAATATGTTGCCAATAGCAGAGAACTTGTGACGGAAAAGCTGGGCTTGATATCGTGCAATTTGTTTGACTAGATTCTGTTTGGAATCTTGGGACAATTTCCTCCATTTCGTTCGCAAATTCCCACCAGGTAACATAGTCATTAATATCCATTCGAACCCAAGCTCGTTTTCACCAGTATCATCGAACATAAGGATCTGAGGTACTGGTATATCTGTGGTTTGACAAATAAAGTTGATAGTTGCTACCTCACTGTTTGTTTTATTGAAGGGATCAACAAGGTAATGTAATACGAACTAAGAAGTGTCCATTTTCAGTCTCGACTTTGTATAGTTTATTGAAAGCCCCTTCAGTATAAAAGCTAAGATGACAGAAATCATTTTCCTTGAGGTTGAGGTGCTTTCAAGCGATTGATTCGACTTTTGCGATATCCGGCTCAGATACCCAACATGGCTCGAGACCAAATGTTTTGGCCACCCATTCCAGTCCATTTTGTTTGATCATTTTGTGAGTGCAAAGGAACAATGAACTGTGAGATAATTAAACTGAGGTGTCAGTAGTAATCGGAAGTGCTGTGTCAAAACTAATCTGGCTAAAGTTTATATGATGCTGGTATATTTGCTCGGCCTCGACTAGCTTGCCCTGATTGGTATAAAAATGGCCTCACATCATGTGAAGAGGTATCTACAGATTTGGAAGGACGGTGATGTACCTATGTTACTGGTGTGGCTGGGGTTGGGGTGATGGAGTAATGAGTGAATGGAGCCTGTGGCTACTCAATACCCGTACCGCTTGATGGAAGCTTGTTTCATCTTTTGTCAGTTCTTGTACCCAGTGCCGAAGAAGCTCTAACCAGAGATCCTGGCTATCGGAGTACGCCCAGAAGTAAAGAAGCTTAGCTGAGAGGTTATCTTACTGTTTTGATGTGATCGAATGATATCTGCCATGTAGAGTAGAGTATTCGGTTTTCGTACGAGTCCAGTTCCGGACTCGATTTTTGAAGTTGTATCCATGAATACTTGTACAGATGTAAATAGTCCGAAAGACCTACTGCTGCTGGATCAAGATATGCTCTGGCAGTAGCGAGTGCAAGAGGCAGTCTATCCAACTCTTTAGCAGGTATGATAGTATCAGGATCTAGTATTAAGGTTATATCTGTATTACAGAAGTATAAAGCGTTCTTACCACTGCTTAGTCCTTCCCGTCTCGAAACGTTTGATAGAATCTCAAGACTTTCATGTCCGGTCGCTGCAGAACAGTAACTAATTGTTTGACCCATGACTTGTTTGGCGGTAAAATACCAGTTATATATACTAATATATCATACCAATACATAGGTTCAAAGATTGTGGCACCCCGCGACAAATCCAGGAACATGTCTTCCAGTCGGCCCCTTATTGATAATTTTCTTCGCTACAGTGAGCGACGGGGATGAAACGAACGAACAGTCTCAGTGCGATAAAAACCGAGATCAATGACAGGTCACGACAGGCTTACAATTCTATGCTCTCTTACACACGATCAATCAATCTTGTATTTCTATTTGTGCAATTGATATTTTACCATCATACATCCATTAGATATCTCGTAATACAAACTTCATTATTCATCCAAGTTTGTTGTGGAAAGTGTCGATAACATTGATTTACGTTCATTCGATCTCTCTACCACTCGTGCAATCAATCCTTCTTGCGGATTCGGAACTCGCAGATCACTGTATAGATTCTTCTCTGCCATTGAACAACCGTCTGCCCGAAGATTAACGATAAGACCGACGGATGATTCCGTAACCTTCTCCCTGGGAGCTGCCCCGGACAACGGCATCATCTTCACACATCATCCCGTCCGCGACAAGTGCGGATGATTATTCTGATCTTTGCTACATCAATTATCAACACATCAAGATATATCCCGATCCCGATGGTAATGGTTTGGAGCTTCACAATACCTCAGCCTCGGCCTTTGTGTATTACCGCCTCTCTTGGCCGCCTTAACGTGGATCATCATTTTTCTTGCCCTCACGTGGATCACCAAATCTCACGAGGCGATAACTTTAATTAGGTAGTCCTCATAACTTCATAACTTTATACTATGTATATACATAAATACTTTACATATCTCCTTATTGGATAAGGAGATATCGGACAATTAGAACTCTGATAATTACCTTGATTCCAAGGCCTGATATCAAATTTTATGCTATACATACTGTAAATGTTCAATACATAGTTTCTGCATAAAGTTATGTACTTCTACTTTTAGATAAAAATTACGGCCCAACTTGAGGACATTATTTAGGTGGGTGTGGGCTCATGCCGCCAGAATGTCCGCACATCGGAATAATCCTCAACTTGTTTTCTCAACTCGAGCACTCCCGCATACACGAGAGGCTAATATGCCCCACAGACAAACAACGGCGCAGTGCTTGAATTTTGGGGATACCTAGTCTGCCGAGCTTTATCAGCCTGTTCCTCTCTGCAGCTCATCGCCGAATGAAATTCGTCAGGGTAATTTCACTGTTACATCGCCAGGTTTGTTGTTTTTATTCCGACGCTTACTTACTCTTTGAGTAGATATCTTTCCCTGCTCTTCGTCGCTACCTGTGGTTGTGATTTATCGTGCGGAAAACGAGGCTCTCTGCGCCATTTTTGGTTGACATATCGGGTTTCCCGGCAGTAACATGGCTCCACGAATTTGGAAGCTTAATCAATCGTAGGCCCACTAATGCCCCCCCCCCCACTCGTTCCCTCACGTCGCCAGAAACAACACGGGAACTAAAGAAACTAGGCTACTACTCCCTTGTAGTTTACCATCATAGGGTACGTGCTGGTTTACCCGAGCCTGGTTTACCCCAGTTGCGGACTTTCTGGCAGCATGAGTAGGGTATGTGCTGGTTTACCCCAGTTGCCAGACTTTTTGGCGGCATGAGTAGTAGGGGTGCTTTAATTACCTATTACCCCCTCCCCATCCGCCCCATCCGCCCCGTCCGCTCCAACAACTTCCAGTAACCCTGTGGTGAAGTGCTTTTCGGCCACTTTTTGATACGTCGTATAATACTTACCGCTGCAAGCCTCCGTACAATTAATTAAACTTTGAGTATGTATAGCTATGAAATGTATATGAAGCTCAAATGGTTTCGGATATATGTATGATCTCGAAAAAGGAATTAATTATCACATCTGAAGGCGTTTGTGCTCCCCCACAAGTCTAGATGGTGCCATTGATACAGTGTGATCTTGAGGGTTTGCTGTGAGCAGTCAGTGTTACATTGGATTGCTCACTGCTTGTCGCTGCCCGCTTTTCTACATGGGCAGAGCCGATAACCGGAGGCATATGAGACCTTAAGTGGCTCGCATTTGGTCTCGCTTATTAGCACGCTGCCAGAAGCAATCTACCATACATATATGTAGCAACCCGAGTTGCGGACTTTCTATCTCTGTTTCCATCGCCCATCTCTATATCCCTCCATCACTATTTCCATCGTCACCATTATACAAACGCGATCTTTCCATCGCCATCTCTACATTCCTCCACAACCATTTCCATCGCCATCTCTATCGCCATCTCTATATCCCTCCCATCTCCATCACACAATATCTATTACGATTATACAAACGCGGTCTTTCCATCGCCATCTCTACAATCCCTCCATCACCCCATTTCCATCGCCAAATTTCCATCGCCATCTCTACATTCCCCCACCACCATATCCATCGCACAACATCTTTTACAATTGTACAAACGCGGTCTTTCAATCGCCATCTCTACATTCCTCCACCACCATTTCCATCGCCATTTCTATCGCCATCTCTATATCCCTCCCATCTCCATCGCACAACACAACATCTTTTACGAACATACAACAAAGTCTTTCCAACAAAATCGCTCCTACAGGGGTTGTATTTTATAGCATCTACTGTTTAAAACAACCCTGGTAGTGTTGTTTAGAACACCTCTGACTGCGGTTAAGTCCTTCAACATCTGTTGATCAGGTTCCGTCCTTCAACACCTGTTAGTTTGGAACAACCCGACTAGTGGTGTCCTTCAGTATGTGTTTAGAACAACCCTGACTGTGGTTATTTCCTTCAACAACATCTGTATTTTAGGTTCTGGCCTTCAACACCTGTTGTTTTAGAAAAACCCAACTAGTGGTTTTGTCCTCCAGCATCTATTGTTTGAAATAACCCTGGTGGTGGTTATGTCCTTCAGTACCCAATTCCAACACAATACCCTTTATTGGTCACTTCTACACCTCACTTTGTCCGAAGAGTCAAGGCTACTCTATAGCCTGGGTGGGAATCACACTCAAAGTGTGGGCTAGTATTGGCTCAATGCAATTATTATTTAACTACGTTTTATCGCTAATTATAATTATAGGGGTAAATTATGTCGGTTCCGTTTGAGAAACTCCAGCTAATGAAGCTTCTTGACGAGAGAGTGTTTGTAACATGGGTCGATGAATCAGGTACAACTCTCATGCTAGGTTCTTGCTTGAATCATAACAAGCAGAATCCCAAATTTTTCATGACTGCATACTATGATATAGAAGGACATATTCATATTCACCTTAAGCTTGAGGTGTCTATCAAGCTTGCTGGCAAGGTGCAACAAATGGACATGTTGTTGGTTATTCCTCCAGACGCCGACTTCGCAAGTGCCTCTACGCCTCATCCAATATCGAGCATCGATGATTTATCTGACGACGCTTCTGTCATTCACGAAGCCGGTTTAAGCCGTTCAGAACATGTCTTTCTTATACAATTCAATCTCACTGCGAAGGGATTCGTCGTTACGAAGAACAGGACTTCTTCGATTATTAGGCTCAACACTACGACTGCAAAGAAGTTGATTCGTAACCTTGAATCTCTGTCTAATACAACGATCTTCAGCGTATACATCAGGCCAAGCACTTACGCGGAGGTGAGCCTGAAGAACCTTCGCGAGCAATTGAGCAACACTTGTACTGCTACCGATACACGCAAAATCAACATGAAGGAAATGTACGTTCAACAAGGGGCTATGTTGGTGGAATGGAGTAGATTCGTATATGAGAATCAACAACGCCCACGACCAGCACATCCTCAGCCATCTCCGGAAGCGCAGATTCTTCGGTCACCACTGGTGCTGGAAGATGTTCCCTTCGATATCGAGTTCGAAGATTCGGATGAGAAACGTCTCGCTGACTTTAATTCTCAAGAACTAAGTCGGCAATTCAACCATGATCTAATAGTTTCAAAGATGCTCGAGTCAAAGTTCGTGGAGTGGATACAAAGAGCAACACGGATAAACCCAAATGTGCACAAACACAAACGTTTAATTACCAAGTTATTCACTCTAGGTAATTGTGTCCGTACATCTAATAGTGGCGTATTTGATGCTACTATACACTGGTGCTCTGCGCTATTCTTCTATGACCCGTTCGATTCCGACAATACTCTCGGGTTATGTGAGACAAATTCATGGCTCATCTCAGATATAGCCAAGCTGATTGAATGGGCTAATGAGATTCAATATGGCGCCGAGATGAGTCCGTTGTTGGTTAATGATTTTATGAAGCTGGGTAATACTGCTCGCACTGTTGCTCTACATTCTGGATATCACAAATACGGGTATATCCTTCAGAAAAGTGTTTGTATTGCTCATGTTCTAACGGGATATGTCAAGCCGGGTACTCTTGCTGTGAGGTTCTAGCATCGTCAATCAATCCTACGCAACAATCAACATGAAGCAAGCTACCACCACTCATCTTGATCGATGTTCAGAATGCATCGGTCTGGTCCCCTTTTCACCCCTCATCGCACAAATTCACCCATCCCATCCACCCACCATCTTCAAAATGGCTTTCTTCACCCAACAGCCTTCGGTGATCTCGCAACTCGCAGCACTCCAGATTGCGAGGAAAACATCGCAACACTGCTAAGGCAGGCCAGAGGCTACAATGAAAATTGCCAGCAGCAAGCACATCATCGTCTATCCTCATCTGTCATGTCCACCATCACAGTATTGATCCCGATTCCCGCTGCTTCCCACCAAGCAGATACAAGTTGATGGGATATTGGTATCAACAGTCCTACCGCAGAAATTCGCAGCTTCTCGTTCTAACGAGAAAGTCTGGACAAAGGACGTGAACTCGGCATTTCTTGGAACGGGATTGGAAGCTTTTTTTTTGATTGAGAGAGGGCGGTGTTAGTCAGTTGGAGATGAGTGTGCAACTTTTGCGAAAGGGAAATTTGATGCTGAGACAATACACCGAGTCAACCTTGCCAGCCTGGATGAGGAATTTGCGCAAGTATGAGAGACGGTGGATGTTGTTGAGAAAGTTTTCGTCTAGGTCTTTTCACGAGCGGATATACCATAATCCAATTTTTCAATACAAATACATTTGAGAAGACCATAAACCTTTGTTCATTGAGTGAATTTGTGAATATTAACAGCATACTTGAGCCGATGAATATAACAACCAGCAAAATGTACTCAGTATAATAAATACATACAATTCATGCTCAAGTGTTTAGTTATTCGGATTGTCAATAGAAGTAAATGAAATAAGTCATTGTTTTGAATTACATTAAATAAAAGTTTCAATTGGCAGAGCAACGCTGAACGCCAAAATGACCCTAGTACTCGTAAGCGGTAACAAATGGCAAAATGAATAAAGAGAACGCGATAACTAACCAGGTACTTGTTGATGGACGCGCAAAGTGGAAAGGAAAATAACATCCTCCAATCTCATGTACATTCAACATTTGAAAAACTTTTGGCAGAATGGATTCAATTTTTGAAGGTCGTCCTAATCTTTTGGCAGGGGAAAATGCTTCTCAACCTTTAAATGGTATAATCATTTGTTGTACCAATGTCCCGGATGAAAAGCGCGTAAGTTTTGTCTATCATATCAATGTTTTAAATTCGCAACATACGTCTGCGCATTTCTCAATCTGGTCACATCTGCTAACATGGTTCAATTTCTAGACAGCATTAAATGGCCAGGCAGAACAAATGGGAGCCAGTATTCGAGCCGATCTCACAGTCGAAGTTACCCATCTTATCGTTGGACATTGGGATAGTCCAAAATATCATTATGTTGCCAAATCTCGACCGGATGTTCGACCGATGACTATGGATTGGATTGTGTCAGTTCGGGACCTTTGGGTGAAGGACCATGACATAGACATGGAATTTTTGGAACGACAACATACATTACCGACCCTTGCTTCCCTCAAAATTAGCATGACCGGCTGCGATGACACAGCAGAGAGGCAGGATATCGGAGAAAAGATCAAAGCAAATGGGGGAGATTATGATGGGAATTTGACGAAACAGATCACACATTTGATATCATTCCGAACGGAGGGCAACAAATACAAGGCAGCGAAGAGTTGGGGCTTACGGATAGTTTCTGTTGAGTGGTTATTGGATAGTCTGGAACGAGGAATGATACTGAATGAGAAATACTATGATCCTTCCTTGCCAATGGACGAAAGGGGCAAAGGTTCCTGGGACAAAGACAAACTCAAGATAAGTTTGTCGAAGAAGAGGGCTAGGGAAGAGACTATATCTGGTGCCGAGGAGGGCAAGAGGAAATTACGCAGAAATGCGAGTACAAAATTGAACAATCAAAGTCAAAGTATATGGGGTGATATCGTTGGTAGTGGTAATAAGGTCCAGGTGTCGCGGAGCGGGATTTGGGATACCAGGGATAGCTTTGGGCCAGCAGAAAACGAGCAACCCGAAAAAAGCAAAGAAATGATACCGCCCAAAGCTGCAACCCTTGACCTTATTCAGGAACCGAACCAACCAGTGGGTGGAATATTCCATGAGTGTCGGTTTTGGATCCACGGGTTTTCTGCTAAGCATATACAAATATTGGGAACCCATCTCATTGCACGTGATGGTAAAGTGCTTGAAAATGGGTCTGATCTGAATGCTCCGGATTTAAGGAAACGGACTTATATGATTGTGCCATCTCATATGCCACCCTCAGAATATCCCAACTCAAGTTCAGAAGTTGAGGTAATTACCGATTGGTGGGTAGAACGATGTTTGCACCTCAAAAGATACTTTGAACCCAAGGAACATGTTCTAGGGCGACCTTTTCCTAAATTTCCTATAGAAGGGTTTACTGGCCTGAAAATCTCATCGGCAGCATTCATCGGCATTGATATTCTTCACGTAAAGAAAGCCACGGAATTATTGGGGGGTACATATAGCGAAGACATGACTCCACAATCCTCGGTTCTCGTCACAAAATCTGTAGTGAGTCTTCGCAAAGACAAGCTAGAACACGCTCAAGAATGGAAAATCCCAATCGTCACCGCAGATTGGCTTTGGGATTCCATTGCGTCAGGAACCAGGTTACCATTCGCCAAATACAGATGCAGAGCCACGAAACACCCAGCTTCAGCACCTATCTCAAAGAAAGAATCAATACCAAGACACGTTAGCAATCCAGAAATAACGGGCAGCGAAAACACAACACCGAATTCAAAATCAAGTACACTCCCCTCACGATCCTCGTCCAAACCACAACGCATCGCAACTCTAGACGAAAGCGCTTTTGCACCCCTAGAATCAGACTCCACCCCAATAAAAGACGAACAAGCTTCAGTTCCCCTCCCCATCCACCTCGAAGCCGAGTCATCAGAACTTACCCCTCCTCCCCCTTCCAAATCCGAACCGCTCTCCGAAATTCCCCTTAACTCGCACTCTACAAACCCTACTCCGACCAACAACTCTCATTCCACTTCTTCATCTACTGCGGGAATCAAAATCCCCGAAGAAGATTCCATCGACGTTAGCTCCCTCCTCGCAAGAACTAAACGTCCCTCCTGCTCCTCCATCTCCATCTCAAATGGCATAGGAATATCCACCGATCCACACTCCAAACGCCCCCGCCAACCTCGCGGTAAAGCAATCATGGGCCGCGCCCTCTCCAACGTCTCCACCGCCTCCCTCGCTTCCTCTGTAGATTCCACTGCTACAACCGGCCACGCGGTAATCTATCCTCCTCCCCAAGGCTCCTCCAATGAATATCATAACGAAAGTCAAGACGAAATCAACAAATTCATGAATCTCCAAGGCGACCGAGAAAAAATCGCAGAGGAGATGCCACCGGCTACGCAGTTGGAATATTTGGATAAAAAGGGTGAGGAGTATGGTATGATGGTCCAAGGGATCATGGAGGGCAAGGAAAAGGAGGCGATTGAGAGGGAAATGAGTGTGGTGAGGGAAAAGGAGAAGGCGAAGAGGGGATTGGGGAGGAACGGGACGATTGGTGATTTTTCGAATAGCGGGGTGGGGAGGGGAAAGGAGGGTACGGGGACGAGAGCGAGTGTGAGGGTAAGGAAGGGGTAGGGTGGCTTTTGGAGGGTGGGGTGATTATGCGGTGGAAGTTCATTGGTATATATGTATGTGTGTGTGTGTCTAACTTGATGATTGGATTTCTGGATTTATGAATTTAGAATCTGCAATATGAAGTTTGGAGTTTGGAGTTGGGAGTTGGAAACATGACAGGGCATGGTACGCTATGATATGATATGACATGGATCAAAATACAGATAGGACAGAATAGGATAGAATAGGATAATCGGAATCTTTGAATTATGTTGGTTATACAAATAAAATAAGTAGTAGGTAGTAAAGTAGGTAGTGTCGGGCTAGGCGAGAGCACAGATGAGATGAGATTAAACCTACAGTACGACTGACTGTACGAGTACTGAGTATTGAGTAGTAAATTGTAATAAATAAATAAATAACCAATGACCAATGACCAATGAATAATGAACCACGCCCGTTCATAACTTCGAATATTCAAAATTGCCTTGCCTTTTGATAATTCTTCGAACTTTTGAACTGAAAATCAAATGAATGAATCCCAGACATATATTCTTAATATTTCCATCTTTCAATATCCAAATATCCCAATTTCCCCATATCCCCATTATCATTTCTACTATACCGAGTACGTACATACTCAGTACGTACTCGTAGTACTCGTAGTAATGTAATAGATAGACATGTAATGTACGTACGTACGTACTCGAGTATATCTTATAATATATACATACATATATATACTCACTCACTCACTCGATCGAGTTGATACGAGTATCTAAGATGATACGAGTAGATACAAGTATTCCTTGTCTACTCGAGTATAATGGTCATTCATTCATTGCCTATAATAGTACGAGTACGAGTTACCGGTACCGGTACCGGTATAATGGTATGATGGTATGGTATGATGGATGGTATCTCCCTCCTTTTCTTTTTCTTGTAAGGTAAGATAAGGTAAGGTAAGTTATTTATATTTATATTTATATAAGTACTCGAGTATACTATATATATATGTATCTTAAATATCTTCCTTGTTCATACTCGGGAGTACATTTATATTTTATACTTTATATATACATACACACTCTCTTTTCTCTCTCTATTCTATAAGTTCATAATTTATAACATATAATACTCTAGTACTCGTAATTATTTATCTTTCTTTCTTTCTCTCATAAGGATACCTCGCGATTCAGATGCAGATGCAGATGCAGATTCAGATTTAAATTCAGATTTAGATTCAAACATTCCTTCTTGTTGATTATTTATTTCCACCTTTTTTTTGTTGTGGTGTTATAGATATACTCGAGTAGATATTGACATAGATATAGATATAGATGTTGGTATTGGTATTGGTATTGATAGCGAAGGTATAGATAGACCTTGGTAATTATGAGATGAAATGCAATAAAATGAAATGATTGTCTCTCTGTCTCTGTTTCTGTCTTATCATATCATATCATGCTTTGCCCTCTCTTCCTCCTTCCCTCCACATCTCCATCCTTCTCCTTCCCTCTCCATCCCTCTCCATCCATTTCCCTTTCATACACCTGACCCCTAACACCTAACACCTAACCCCCAACCTCAAACCATCTCACCATCCTACAATTTCGGAATAAACATCGGAGTATTCTTCTTCCACTCTTGATAATCTTTGCGATGTCCGTATTTCTTATCATACTATGTATTTTAGACAAAGTCCAGATTAGTGCGTTGTTCTTTTAGTTTGGTCATGTCTAGTCTGGTCTGGTATAGTCCAGTTCTGTTCGGTCCTCTCATGCCATCGCATCTATTGCCATGATATGGTAATCTACTTGGATTCACGCTCTCGTTGCGCTTTATCTGGGTTTTTGGTATGATAGAAACCTGTGAAAGGTTTTTAGGTGAGGGTGGAATGAGATGGCTTGGTTGCACTTGCAAGTTTCCTCTTTCTTTCCCCAAGAAATCCCCTCCCCTCTACGACACACACTACCCGAAAACGAAATACAACAAACTCAACAAATGAAAAACATTAACATACCTTCCCCTCACTCAACGGCACCCCACTAACCTTCAACAACAAAAACGTCACAAACGCCGGACTCACTCCCGCCAACCCCACCCCAAGTACCTTCCCCCAAACCCCCCATCCCACCGTCCCCATACCCACCTGACCCACCTTACCCGTCAAAACCCCCGCACTCACCACCGCCACACCCATCCACAAGGTACTCTCCCCAAAATAATTCGGATGGCGACTCTTACCCCACAAACTCGAGGTTAGAAAATCCTCATCGTGTTCTTTGCGTTTCTTGGCTGCGACCCATGCGCTCTTTTGTCGATCGGCCATGATTTCAAATCCGAGTCCGCTGGTGAAGAGGAGGAGCCCCAGGATATCGGTTAGCATGAGGGTGGGGAGGGTGGCGAGGAGGGAGGATGGGAGGGAGTTGAGGGCGAGGACGGGCATGCAGCAGAGGGATACCCATGTTGCTTGGGCGGCGAATGCGCCGAAGAATTTGGCGGGGGATTTTTTGATCTCGTCGACTGAAAGATGGGAAGTTGAATTAATGAGTGTTTGTTTGTCAGGGGGGGCGCGGGGGGAGGGTAAAGGGAAGTTTTTTGAATTGCGTATGGAAGTACAAGATAAAAGAAGAACCAATCAACTCACAGCGAGAATCATGACCATCCGACAAAATCCTTGCGAAAAGATAGCTACCAACTATATTTGGTCTTGTTAGCACATACACACATACATACATACCATACATACATATATATCCGCCCCACGAGTCGGACGAGAGAAGAAGAGAAGAAGAGAAAAGGAAAAACATACGTCTCGTAGCCCAAATACCCACCGCAGCACTAAGAACCACCTGTCTCCAATTCAAAGCATTAGGTCCCCCCTTTCCAGTAAAGGCATCGAGTAGTTGGGGCCACTATTGTTATGATATGTGATTAGCACTTGTTCATCTCACTCTCTCATCACATCTCATCACATCTCATCCCCCATCCCTCCACCCCCCTCAAACTCCAAAAATTCCACATACCTCAACACCCGTCCCTCCCTTCCCCACCCCCCTCTCTCTCATCCAGCCCCCCACCAAACTCCCCCCCACCACCCCCAAATAAGTCAAACTCCCACTCAAATCATAAAACCTCTCCGATTGCAACCACACACTCGGGATTGCTACTGCTGCCTGTATAACAAACGCTGCGCCGACGGCTGGAACGAGTGTTCTTAGGATTGGGGTGCGGAAATTGGTTAGGTGGAGGAGCGTGCTTGTTAGTGTCATGTTTTTTTTCTTTTTCTTTGGAGAGGTTTGGGGGTTTGGGGTTGGTTTGAGTGTTTGAGTGATTGAGTGATTGAGTGATTGATTGTGGGGGATTTGGTTTGGGTTGATAAAGTGGTTGATTGATTTGAGCGTGGGTTTTGATGTTGATGTTTACTTGAGTACAGAATTTGGAGTGGAAATAGGAATAGGTGTGAGGTGACAATAACAAAGTAGTTGAGTAGGTAATGACGACATGACTTTTTGATTGGGTTATCAATCTTTCCCTAACCAACCAATCAACTTCCTTGTTCATTTCCATATGCAATCAATCCCCAGTGCCAAATTCCCCGATACGTTTCGATAACATCGATATCCGGATTGTACTGAGTATAAGGAAAGTCCAAAAATATATATATATATATCATCAATTCTCAATCATCATTTCAATTCTCTCCTATTCTCTCCATCTATCTATCTATCTACTCCATTTTCCTTCCATCACTTCCCTCTCCCATTCAATCATCCCCATTTCATCCCATCCCATCCATCCCAATCATATACACCCCCAATCCATTCCATCCATACCCATTCATTTAATCGTCTAATTATTAATATTATGGTAATTCTTACTTCGTACCACCACTTCCATTCCCCTCCCCTCCCCTCCCCTCCCTCATCCCATCCCATCCACAACCTCCACCACGAACCCCATTCAAATCTTAATGTGTATCAAATCAATGCCCTTCTCTATTACGCCATAACGAGTGTTTTTGTTATTCCCACTCCCCAATGCCATCAATCAGTGGAATCAAATCAATTATCCACGTAATTGTTCTTCGTAAAAAAACTGGTAAACTGAAGAATCGAATCGTAGAAAGGAAGAAAAAATGTATAAATGAATAGAGAAAAAAAGGCAAACAGGCAATTGCAAGGGGTATCTTAGCGATGTGCCGCGCCAAATGAATAAACAGAAAAAAATGCACCACACAAGAACGTAATGTACATGAGTTGTTCCGAGTAAAGTCAACCCAATCACCGCAAATGTTCTTTGACATCCGCTACACCATTTGCGACAACCTCTCTCAACGACCAGCGTGGGGGTTTAACAACTCCTTGAAGACCATTGGCCTTTTGCCATTCCTTTTCCATCTCGACTGTAACGCCATCAGGTAAATGCTCGGCACCACCTGCTACACCAGTGGAGAATTTGAGCTGAAGAACGTCTCCAACCTCGTCACAAGCGGCTAAGATACGATCCATATCATCCTTATTATGAGCTGCGGAGACACAGAAACGGGCGCGGGATGAGATGAGTGGTGTGGCGGGATAACCGACAATGACGACGGATATCTTCCTTCGGAGCATTTCATGAGAGAAAGCAGGCATTTTGGCTGGGTTGTATAAGACAATTGGGATAATTGGAGAATCATCATGACCATACACAATGAAACCGAGACGCTTCAATCCTAATCGGAGATATCTTGAGTTGAATGCAATTCGCTGTAATCTCTCTTCACCTTGACCAGGGACAAGTTCCCCAGATATGATCTTCAAGGCGCTGAGAATTTGCATCAAGACTGGTGGGGTAGGTGATTCACCATACATGGTTGCTGCGTTGGTTTGCCTTAATTTATCGATGATATGCTTTTCTCCTGAAATGTAACCTCCGTTGGCACCGAAGGATTTGGTGAGAGTTCCCATAAGGATATCAATCTCGGCAGGATCAATTCCAAAGTAATCACACACTCCACGACCACGAGGACCCATAGCACCAATAGAATGAGCCTCATCGATGAACAGATTGAACTTGTACTTCTTCTTGAGGGCCAAGACTCCCGGTAAGTTGACCATTGTACCTTCCATGGAGTAAAGACCTTCAACAACCACCAAGATCTTCTTCCACGGTCGATGAGTTCTAGGTTGACCTTGAGAAATGACTTCCCGGAGTAACCTTTCCAAATCATTCATATCATTGTGCTTAAAGGACATGATCATAGCTCTCGAAAGACGTGCGCCGATACGAATAGAAGCGTGATTCAATTCATCAGAGATGATGAGCGAACCCTTCCCAACCAACGCTGGAAAAGCAGTCGCGTTCGTCGCGAAACCCATTGAGAAGACCATTGCGGCAGGCTTTCCAACAAATTTGGCAACCCGGTCTTCAACTTCCAATGCCAAATCGGAAGTACCGGAATCCGCTCGAGGACTTGCAGAGCTAATTCCGTACTTCTTGATGGTCTCTTCCACGGCGTCAGCGCATGGTCCTTCAGACTGTGCGAATCCGAGATAGTTGTAAGAACTCAAATTCAAAGTTTCTGTGTATGTGCCGGTATATTGATAGTTCTTATTGAAGTCATCGGTCTTTCGATCTATGAGAGTGATGTATCTGCCGGGAACGCCGGTAATTGGACGAGCGAAACAATCATCAATGCGCAGCTTCAATCGACGTACGTAGAAATTGTCGAAATCGCTGTTAAGAGCGGCATAACCATTGGCAGCTGTGAGATGTCGATAGGATTCAGGCTTGAATCTTTTTCCAAAGAAATCCCGAACATGCCCAAATATAATCAAGACCAAGTAACTGATGTAGGTGGTAAGAAGGTAGTAGTAAGGTGGTTCGTCCAGAACTGGATCCTCAAAAATTCCATGATGCTGGCTAACATATTTATGGCTTGGGTGGTTGAGTGGTCCGAATTGTGCCTCTCTTTTTGCTTGTAGATTAGCTTCTGCGACAGAAGGTGGCTGGAAAAGAGTTGTAGGCAGTTCATCCATATTCGCCTCACCACCCTTTGCAGTCGAGAGAGAAATGGTTGGGAGAGATAGAGATGGTGGACTGGGAGATGGATTATCCAGAAGACGCTGTTGTTGTGCGGCAACAGCAGCAAGAAGAGCCGCCTGAGCAGATTGTTGTTCCTTACTCTTTGGTGAAGAGGTGAAGAAATTGGCCAATCTGTTACCCTTCGAGGTCGACGGCCTACGAGCGGTAGGTTTGTCGGATTGCGGTGTAATAACCGCAGACGTAATAGAACTAGCAAACGGATTTCGAGGAAGTCTTTGAGGCATCGTGTTCATGAATTAAAAATCCTGCTCTGAGCAGTATAGGGTATAGATAGATGTTGGAATTTGAAGCGTGAGTTGAAGGTTCGAATGTCGATTGTTTTATTGACTTTGAAAGATGATTGAATCGAAAGGATACGGGGGGGATAGATATCGTAGATCAATAGGGGTATTCGTAGTCGGTGGACTATGACGGAGTTGGATTGGTAGATTAACTTGCGGCGGAAGTTCTAGGATTAAACATTTAATATCAGTAACGTGGACAATTACAATGCAAGGGAGGAGAGTGGTGGGGCGGAGGGCTGGAGATATGTTTGAAGCTATCGACAGGGTAGAACGATGTGAAAAAGACAACGAAGGGACTTTGAACTTTGAAAATATCATAAAGGGCCTGAGAACGTTTTCGTCTCAAGGGTAAGATGAGGTCTGGAATTGGGCATTGATTTTCCTTTTTTTTTTTAGGGTAATTGAAGGGAATTGAGAGATAGAAGATAGAAGACATACCAAGGATGTATTTTATGCTTGTATGAGTTGGTTGTATTGGTATTGAATTGTGAAATACTTTTTGCTAATGCGGATGCGGATGCGGATGCTGATGCTGATGCTGATGCTGATGTTGATTTCTTTTCTTAGACAAGAAAACGAATTGAAGTGATTCTTGAAATCGTGAGATGGCCCTTAACCTCTATCTAATTGAGTTTGAAATTAGGTTCGCGACGGGAAAGTAAAAGCGCGTCTGTTTCTGTCTGTTCTGTCTGTTTCGTTCTTCCTTTCGTATATGTCACCGCGGTAGAAGGGGTCCTCGCCGAGGAAGAGGGAGAGGAGGGAGGTTGGATCTGAAACTATCGATGAGGAAAGTTACACACTCAATTATGATTTGTGAGTGCTGATATTCTCTCGATTGATAGAAACACCAACTGAAGCTCTCTCTGCTCTGCCTGTGCCGTCGTCTTATTATTAGTCTTATACTCGAGTAATGGTATGTATTGTATTGAATAAGTTTGATGACAATATCAACAGGAACACCCTTTTCGATAAGAAAAATTCACCAAATTTGAGACGATTAAGGAATCACAATCGCAAAGGAAAGAGAGGAATGAATACGGAAATGGAAAATGTAAAATAAAGGAGAACAAACAAGTCGTTAAGGTCATTAGGTTATTTAGGTTACTCGAAGCAAATGAGGTTTAACATGGGTCAATCAATCAATCTACTACTACCTGATAATTTATGTGACAAGAGAACTTCTTTTTGACTTATTGTACAGGACTGGACTGGAACTGTAATGAACGATGATCAAAGCGTTTTTTTGCTGATCTGGGCTTTAAATATTCTAGAAGATTACTTTCGGAGAACGGGTTATAGGTTGATGGGTGATGAATAAGTCTTGAATACGTTGAATTGTACTGTATCAATCAATGAATTTGAATGAGAGTTGTTAATCGACCGACCCGGTGTATCCGTTGTTGATTACTTTCCTTGGCTTGCATGCTGCTTTTGCTTTGATTCATCATTTACGCAGTTTGCGGTCATTTTTTTAGTTCCCGATAAATAATATCTAATTTCCTTTTTTATTCGGTTTCTATGCTTTTTCGGGATTTGAATGGCTGGGAGCGTTTGATACCTTTATATTATTGGTTCGGAAAATGAAAATAGTGGGAGAGGATGTTTTATTCGGATTTACTCCGTATTTGTTGTTTTGCGAATATATTCGGCTTTTAGAAAAGATCAGAAACTACAATGTAACCAATGAGAAGCTTGAATTTTGTGCAAGTTATACTTTATACTTTTATACAGCTTGATTATAGACAGAGTGTCAAAACTCATTCAAAGCTACAAGTACTACTACAGTATATCAGTTAACGAAGAGATTGAAATCATGAAATCATCCATTAAGTAGTCGAGTCAGTACAATAAACATAATTCGAATTCTAGAATCATAAAAAGGAAAAAGTCAATTATCGCTAGAACTTATTTTTATTCTTTACCCCTGGTCTAGAATAACTATCAGACTTTAGATTCCTTCAACTTCCTTGGACTTGTTTATACAAGAACAGGGAGAATCCCTCTCCCGAGATACCGATTTACCACAAATCTTCACCACCAGAAAAGTCCATATACAGACAGTACTGGTAAACTACAAGGGTTCCAATCTAGTTTTCTTAGTTCCCGAGTTGCGGACTTTCTGGCGATATGAGTGTTAGATACCCGAGAAATCTATAAAAATCGCAAAAGTATTTGACATACAGAAACAGGGCAGTTCTATAACTTCCAAACTTCCCATTTTCAATTCCATTGCTCCCGGTGAATGAATGGGTTATCAGCTCTAGTTGAGGCGAGGGAGGTCCCGCTTCGTTGGCTCTCTTCTTGTATTTATATATACCGGTATTGGTCTAAATGTATTCGAATACAGTAATGATTAAAGTTGTACTGTAGCATCGGATCAGATGCCATATATGCACACATGCATGAATGCATTGTATAGTATAGTGAAAAGGTTGCAGGACCTGAGTCAAAGATAATCCGTTCCTCTATTCTTCTGTTCTTCATCCGTCGATTTCATATGCTAGGATCGGACCTTGGGCTAGTTGCCTGAGGATATAAGATCACAGAACACAGATCACATTTCCGCAATATTCCGCTCGGGATCTTTCCGCACCTTCGTTGATGAAGGAAGCTGAGATGTACTTGTACTAGGTATGTAAATTGTATATTTTTCATGAGATTCACTCTGAACTCCGTCTCTTATTTTATTACTTCCTTCTTCACACTGTCAAACTATCAGTCAAAATCATTTCAATTGGCTTTCCCATCCATTTCCATTTTCAATTTGAACTCCTCTAGACCGCCGGACTTCCGTTCGCCAACCCCCACATTTGAATTCCGTCCTCACCCTCGATAGATACATACTTTACACACCCATCACGAATTCCATTGAGAATCGCTTCCCCTTTCTTCATTTATCCCCAATTTATCCCAATTCAATATACATACCCACACACTGTAAAAGCACCCCATCTATACCAACCATACTCTCTCTAAAATCCAATCCAATCCAACATCCTAATCCCATTCCCAATCCATCCCATCACAATCATGGGATCACAAACCCCTCCCCCCACAGCCAATGCATATAATTCATCCCCCACCGAGCCCGAGCCTCCAGCCACCGAACTCTGGCGCCATCCCAACCCCAGCTCAACCCGCATGTACGCATTCAAAGAAATCATAAATCAGAAATACGAGTTGCAGTTGGAGAGTTATGAGGATTTGTATGGGTGGTCGGTGGAGAATATAGCGCGGTTTTGGGAGGAGACGTGGTGGTTTACGGGGGTTAGGGCTGAGAGGGGGTTTGAGAAGGTGAGATTGCTTGGGTTTTGCTTTCTCGTTGTTTTTGTCTGTCGTGTGATGTGATGGGGGGTTTTTTTATTCTAAGGTTGGGGTGTGGAATTCTGGGGATGGGTGGGAGGTGAGGGAGAGGTGAGGGGTCGATAAGGTCGATGGTGCCTCTGTTTCTGGAAGTAATGTTTGGGTATTGGTGTGGAGAGAGGTGAGGCGTCGATAAGATCGATAATGCTCTCATTTATCAAAGTGGTGTTTGGGTATTGGTGTAGAAAAAGATGAGACGTCGATAAGGTCGATAATGCTCTGAATTCTGAAAGTAATGTTTAAAAATTGGTGAGGAGAGAGATGAGGGATCGACAAGGTCGATAATACTCTTTCTTTTGGAAAGTGATATCTTGGTCATTGATGAGGGAGACAAAACAGATGAACAAGAGAATGCTCGTTTTGAAGTGTAGTTAGTAGTGCTACCTACCTTGACATTGACTCAAGCAAAGAGAACATCACAATTTAAACATTTCTTCCCAAAACTAACATCATTAGGTCGTTGACAAAAATGCTCCCATGTTCCCCCGACCCGACTTCTTCCAAGGCTCTCTCCTTAACTTTGCCGAAAATCTCCTCTACCCCGCCAACCTCACCATCGACCCCGACTCTCCAGCCATCATCGCCGCCACCGAATCCACTCGCTCCACCGTCTCTTGGACCGAACTTCGAGAGCATGTTCGCCAATGTACCAATGCCCTTCGAACACTCGGCGTCAAACCCCATGACCGAGTTGCCGGTTTCGTAGGAAATCACACAAATACTGTTGTGGCCATGCTGGCCGCTACATCCATAGGAGCCATCTGGACGGGTGTTAGTCCCGATACCGGGGTTGCGGCTGTATTGGATCGATTGGTGCAGATTGAGCCGGTGGTGCTTTTTGCTGATAATGGGGTTGAGTATAATGGGAGATTTCATGAGAGTTCAAGTAAAACACGTGAGATTGTGAAGGAGTTAAAGGGGCTTAGACGATTGATTGTGTTTGATACTGTGAATTTACCTGTTGAGATTGAGGGGTTTGAAATTGAGAATGGGAAAGCAGAGACTTATGATGGTTTTTTGAAAAGGTAAGTTATTCCAGTGTTTCCAAGATTTCGGATTGCGGTTCAGATTTGAAAGTTTTCAATGTTGGAAAATCTCTGAATCCTTGAGAATGATCATTGTTTCAATGAATTGAATTTTCCAAATGGATTCTATGTCTATATAAGCTTAATCTTCTAAATGGTTTCAATATATGAAGTCATTTGAAGAATCAAGGATATGCTATACTCTCGGACTGCAATCCGACTATTGGAAATCCCGACTTATTTCGGACCCTTCGTCTTTGTTTCGTTCATAATACATGCTTACAAAACCCAGCGCCACCAATCCAGATGCCCCATTAAAATTCACACAACTCCCACCAAGTCACCCAATCTACATCCTCTACTCGTCGGGCACAACCGGCAAACCCAAATGCATCATCCACTCCTCCCTCGGAACCCTGATCCAACACAAAAAAGAACACATCCTCCACTGCGATATACGTCCTACCGATCGTCTCTTCTATTTCACAACCTGCACATGGATGATGTGGCATTGGCTGGTCTCTGCTCTAGCTTCCGGAACCACCATCATCCTCTATGATGGATCACCTTTCAAACCGCATTCTCATCTCTCCATGCCTCTCCTCATCCAAGAACTGGGCATCACCCATTTCGGCACGAGCGCGAAATATCTCAGTATCCTCGAACAAAACAACATTCTCCCCTTAAAACAAAACATCAACCTAACCACCCTCCGCGCAATCTACTCCACCGGTTCTCCCCTCGCCCCCTCAACTTTCAACTACATATACGCCTCTTTCCCCCCCACCATAAACCTCGGTTCCATCACCGGCGGCACAGACATAATCTCGCTCTTCGGAGCGCCCTCACCCCTCTCCCCCGTCCACACAGGCGAGATCCAAGTCCGCGCCCTCGGCATGTCAATCACGGCCTATTCACCCACCGGGCATCCAGTCCCCGCCGGCGAACCCGGCGACCTCGTCTGCACCCGCCCATTCCCCAGTCAACCCACAACTTTCTTCGGTCCTCCTCCCTCAGGCGACCAAAAATACTTCGCAAGCTACTTTGAACACTTCCCAGGCATATGGCACCACGGCGATTTCATCAAATTCTCCGCCAAAACAGGCGGTATCTACATGTTAGGACGCTCAGACGGCATTCTCAAACCCGCCGGTGTGCGTTTCGGATCCGCGGAAATCTATAACGTACTACTGAAACACTTCAGCGTCGAAATAGAAGACGCGCTCTGCATAGGACGACGTCGCGTAACAGACGATGACGAAACAGTCGTTTTGTTCGTGAAGATGGCATCAGGTCAATTGTTTAAGGAAGGACTAAAGGAGGATATTAAGAAAGTGGTGAGAAAAGAATTGAGCGCGAGACATGTACCTGGGATTGTTGATGAGTGTATGGAGATTCCAGTGACGACGAATGGCAAGAAGGTGGAGGTGGCGGTTAAACAGATTCTGTGTGGGGTGAATGTTGGGATTGGGGCGAGCGTGGCTAATGCCGAGTGTTTGGATTGGTATCGGGAGTGGGCGTGGGCGGCGAGGGGGTAGGAGGTTTGGTGGTAGGTTAGGGTGGTTGGTGGTTGTTTAGAGTTGGGTGGGAAGTCGTTCTTTTGGCCAGATTGATATAATCTGGTGGTGGGATGGGTTTAAGAAGTTTATAATCTTATATCAAAATAGACTTACTTGCTGTTTGATACTAGAATCAATGGAGAGTGCATTGCTCACTCGTACTCGTACTCATACTCATATAATCACATACCCATACTCTAGTACAGTCACCCTCACAGATATGATATGATGCACAAATACCAGTAACCAAAACCAAAACCAAAACCAAAACCACTTAAGATCACCCAATCATTCAATCAATCAATCAATTAAATTACTATCTATAAAGAGAAAGAGCAAAGTATATCAATCATATTTTCAAATTCATAATCATTCGTTTCGTTAAATATGCCTCCCCTCCCTTCCACCCTTCACTTCACCCTGCACTCCACCCTTCACTCCCTCCTCTCATACATCACCGCTCACCCCCCCTTCACCTCGCCAAATCACCACACAAAAAGAGAGCAATACAATTCAGCCAGAAAAAAAAACACGCACCCAAAGAAAATAAAAATAAAGCACAAGAAAAAGAAATAGCGGACCCGTTCATTCCTCATTCCCTCTATCCTTATCCCTCCAGCGATCTTTCCTATCATATCTATCCATACCAATCACCGCATACCGGTCGGTATACATTCTCTCTTTGTGAAACATGAAACAAACGGTTCTATCGAGTTCCGTCTTTTCATTGTAGAGAAAAAGGGGATGAATGTGAATGTGTATCCAGAGGTAGTAGGTAGGTAGATAGATTGATGAAATCGCCCAGGACAGATAGAAACTTCCGAACCAAAAAGACCAAATCAAATATTGTTCGAACCGAAAACGAAATCGAAGAAAACTGGGAAGAAATGAAAGGCAGCAGCGCTATATGGGGAGTTGATGTTGATGCAGGTGCAAAGTCATTATTTAGCAGCCGTGGCGTCGTTTGTCGTTCGTTTCGTTTGTTCATTTCATCAAAATTCGTAGATCGAGGATTTTTCTTCCCTCTTCCCTCTTTCTCTCTTTCTCCACTTGTGATTTCTGTTCCAAGCTTCCAAATCGATGAATCTTATCCTAGAAATAGGAAAAGAATTACCAACGTCTGCTAGGTTTCTCACGTCTTCTATGATCATCCCAGACGATCTCTCTCTCGATGATTCGCTCATCCTCATACCCACCGCCATCTCTCTCTCTTCTTCTTTCCGCACGCTCCCAATCATCACGTTCTTTATCGCGACGCTCGATGCGAACACGTTCACGTTCGATTTCACGGATGCGTTCTTGGCGTTCGCGACGGACAGTTTCGGAGAGGGCGACGAGTTCTTCGACATCTTGCTAAAGGATTGTTAGTGTTTTTTCAAGGAATGTAGGAAATTTACGAAGGGAGGAACTTACGTATCGGAGATATTGAAGAATGTAGAAGAAGAAATCTGTCTCTTCGTAATCATAACCGAGTTCCTCAATAGCCTCTTTAGCTACCAAGTCCTTGGTAATTTCAGTCCATAGATCACCCATTCTGCTCTTTGGTGGACCACGAGGTATTGGGAAGCCGACTTGGCGATCGGAGCTTTCCTCGATACGTTCATATTCTCTTTCTCTCTCGTATGTAGGTCCACTAGCATGGCTTCGTGGTTTACGGTTGTTTGTGATTTCAATGTCAACAGTTGTTGAAGATTCGCGTGGTGAAGGAGCTGCACTTTGGCGCTCACGAATCTCGATGCGCTCACTAGTGCGATCGGGACCTTCTCTCTCACGTTCGCGGATCTCGATTCTTTTCTCGACACGTTCTGGTTCTTCTCTCTTGCGTTCACGCTCAGGATTGAACTTGCTTCGTCGTACACCGTTGAATCTCTGCCAAGTGATTTCTTGACTTGCCCCTCCAACACCTTCTAGTTGGATTCTTTCGGTTCCAGGAGGAACATCAACAATTGACCAATCTTTTGTGGCGCCATTAAATGCTTCACCGATAACGGCTCTTTCTTGGACCTTGCGGCTGTAAAAATCGGCTTCATCTTCATCTCGAATGTCGAAATTAACTCTCTCCTTCTCAGGACGAGCACTCAAACTTCTTCTTCTGCTAAGGTCTACGCGAGTATCTCGGACACGTAACTTATCACGCTCTTGTTCGAATAATATAGAATCATCATAAAATTCTCGTCGTGGAGGAGGTGATTTGGCCCTTTCGCGACCACCGGTTTTTGTTTTCGTAATATCAACTTCGGTGTTGTTGCCGGAACGATAAATGTCGATTTCAGTCTTTTCTGTTTTTGGTGGTGCGGGGGTGTGGACACGACGAGGTGGTGGGGGTGGACTTGGTGCGGGAGCTCGTTCGAAACCTTTTATGTTCATTAGTATTGATGGACTATAATTACGGTGATGAATTTTAAGGCAGACTTACCATGATCAATGTGACGATGATGTGTAATAATCTCTCGGTGAATGGGTGGTGGTCGAATAATCTCGGGTGGTGGGGTTGGTGGGGGAGATGGTGATGGAGAAGGTTCTCTTTCTCTCTCTCTTTCGACAATTCGGGTATGAATTCTCTCAACTTGTGGTGGTGGTGGGGAAGGTGACCTCTCTCTTTCTCTTTCTCGCTCAATAATTCTCTCGCGAATGCGAACTGGAGATAGTGGTGCTGGAGGAGATGGTGAGCGTTCTCTAAACCTTTGCCTAGTCTCTATAACTCGTGCGCGAAGTTGTGGTGGGGGTGATGGAGATCTTTGGATTTCCTTTTCTCTTTCCACGATGCGTGTTCGAACTCTCTCGGGTGGTGGAGAAGGCTCTCGTCTTTCCACCTCACTTCTTACAATTCTCTCACGGAAACGTGGAGGAGAAGGTGATCGTGGTCTTCGCACAAGTGGTCTGTCATTAAAGGTTTCGGTTTCGCGATCTCTTACAACAATCTGACCTGGTTCTGATCGCGCAAAATCATCTCGTAAGAAATCCAATGAACGCCTTCGCTCTCGAGGCCTTTCTGGACCTCTTCTGGTATTGAAATCAATAGTCTCTTCATGATCACGCTCTCGTACTCGAACTTGAGCTGGAGGAGGAGGTGCTGGTCCTCGATAATAAGTATCACGTTCGTCATATTCCGTCACTCTTGACGGTGCGCCATGTCTCGACATGTTGGCTTGTTTGTTTGTTGATATTCGAAATGGTGGAATATTTGGTTCTTTGAGTATAATGTTTCGTTTGTCAAAGATGATTCAGATCTCCAAATGGTATGGCTGTTGGTAGATATGAAACTGAAAAAGCCAAGTAAAAGAGAAAAGCCGAAGGAAGAAAAAGAACGAGGCTGGAAGATGGACAGGTTTTGTATACTGTGAAGAGTGAATGAGGGTAATAGAAATGAAAGGATGGAATGACAAGCTACTGGAGAAGGGCTTGCGTCGGTTGGGCTGATTTGGGTATCTGGAATTGGCTCGTGAATAATTAGTAGTTAGTAGTTTAGGGTACCTAGTCGTTAAGGTGGTAAGGTGGTAAGGTTGGTGGGTGGTAAGGTTCGTATCAAATCCCAGTGGATGCCCAGTTCTCCCAAGTCTGCCAGTGGATGGATGGATTGATGGATGGTTGAGGTTTTACCGGTGAGCAAGCAAGACTCAAGGTGGGGAGCGGGAATGATATCTTGGTGGGCTGGAGTGGATATTCCTTGAGTTTCCTCGCTTTTTGTGATCTAGAAGTGACACAAAGCTGAAATGTTGGCGGGGGATTCTGCAGATGAGAATAGAATAGATAGCTTATGTGAGTAACTTTTGGTTGTCACAGGTTAAAAAGTTGAAAAGTTGAAAAGTTGAAAAGAGAAGAAAATCATGAAAATATCCTCTTCTTTTTTTTCTCCTTTCCTTTTTTTCTCTCTTTTCTCTTCTCTTCAACTCTCTCTTTTCCTGTTATGAAATGTGAAACTTATAGATTTCCTTATTCATTTAATTGGTTGATAAGGAGAAACCGAGTAGAAAGATGACTAGATCTTTAAAAGTCCTTGAACTGGATAATATTCAAATAATTGGATATCAAGGTCTTTGGTGAATTATTCTGGTGGTACTGTAATGCTATTCGGTCGAATTCAAATCTGATGTAATTGTGCAGATATTCAGTATCTACTGGCTGGCACTTTTAAGGTAGGATGGATGGATGGATGGATGGATTGACAAGTCAATTAAGATAAGTGAGATAGGGAAGGTATTTGATTCGATAGAATAAAAGAAGGAAATTCGTGATATCGTGATAATTATCAAGAACAAGATCAAAAAAAGGTCGGTCGTTAAGAAAGTATAATATGAGTGAAGTAAGGTTATTCCTTGACTCTGACTGAACGTTGGGTTGAATATGAACGTTTGAGCCCAAGTTTCTGGTATAATATGTAATACAGCTCGAGGAGTGATTTTGAGAGAGGATTGAGAAAAGGGGAAAGGTCATGAAGTCAAAAAGATCTATAGCAAGGAGGGTTGAAGAAAGTCACATAGTAATAGTTTTGTTAACTACCTAGTATAGTAGGTCTGTTGGTCACTGACAGCGGCTCTAGTTCCTGGCTAAAAAGGTCGATTTGAGGGTCTAGTGAGCCGCCCATCAAACCGTCCTTCAGACTTTATTAGTATTTGTTCAAATCCAGAAGATAGAAAATAGTGGAATCTTTGATTGGGGGAGGGGGCTCAAACGGGCTGCGCTTAAAAATCGAATTAGATGAACATAATTGCCGCCAACATCATATGTAATGGACGATCTTTCTTATTTGACTTGTGTGTGGGTAAATCCTACAAAGACAATTGTATGTTTCTTCTTGCATGAGCATTCCTTCGTTAGTGATAGATTGTTGGTGGTAAAGAGTCTCCTTGGACATCTGTTGGTCTCCGTGACCTGAGCAGTTGAGCACTCCCGCAACGGACCACCCGTTATACTGACCTTGAGACTGGGTCTTAAATAGCTGTGGAGTACAGAGGTTCAACTATTGGTTATCCATGCCGCCAGGATATATGTGAGACTTCCCTTCTTGACTGTACATACCTAAGCCACAAATCACAGCCTGCTTGTAATTTTAATTATCGACAGCAACATCGGAGTCATAGATGGGGAGTGTTGGTTGCCTCTTCAAATGAGGGTTTGGTTGGTATCCAACAGTAAGTATTGACTCGTTTGTTCATTTGACTCTTGAGTCCTACGCCTCTTTCCTCTCGTGTTCTGTTCTTGTGATACATATACCAGAATCTGACATATGGCTTCGTGACTTTTTGGCTTCAAGGTTCACGAGTTGGAGTTCTGTTGATGACTAACTAAGTGTATTGAATTAGTATGAACTACAGAAATATGAGACTAGAGAGTGTATTCTGTCTTTTGGGGAATAGGAGGCTCCGTAAATTCAACTATTCGAGTAGAGCCTAACAATACTTGGCCTGCAGTAGAAAAGACATCTATACAAATCATCATTTTGAGTTCTTGGTATACACTCTCGAAGAATCATAAAGCTAATAAGATAAGAAGCTGAGTTGTGAGAAGGAAAGATGCTGTAAAGATTGTAGAGAGAAAGAGTGAAAAATGGAGAGAGAGAAAGATATACTCGCGTATATAATATTGTTGATTGTTGTCTCCAGCTATATATAATTTCTCAATATATCAATGAAGTATGGAGGGGTAATGTGTGAAAGATCAAGAATTTCGCTTTTCTGGAGCAGAAAGAAACCATCCGATTTCTCTAACCTTTTATTAAGCTTTAAAAAGATATATGAGATGAGAGCGTAACCTTTCTATATCGGATTCATTAAGGTTCGAGTTGAACTGGATGGTAGGCTTTGGGTTGGTGTATTGTAAATGGCCCTTCTCCTGTACAATGCAGAGTAAGTTGTAATAGAAAGAAAGTAGTATAATATGTTATACTCAGTATAAAGTCATCTTTGTATTCCATTTAGATAGATTTAGATGGATTGTGCTGTTCCTTTGTATTTGAAATCATTTCCACGATGAAATGAAAAGATTAAGGAAAAGAAAACCACTCATGTTTTACCCCTCCTCCCCCGTCCCAAAAATGATATTTATGAACATTATACCTACCTACCTACCTATTTAGGTAGGTATATATCTTAATAAATATCAAAAGAGGTTTTGCATATAGCTATTTCATCAATTTAGCGGAGAGGGTGGCTCCTTGCTAATCGATAAGGTGATAAAGTACCTACCGTACCGGCACTTACTCGTATTATGTTCCTGCGTTTAATAGGCGGGGAAGAATCACGAAACTCCGTCATTAATCCTTGTGTGACAGTGTGAAGTGAATGGAGGGGGAGGAAAGGAAACCAAAATCCAAACCAAACCAAAAGAAGTAACGCGACTGGCAATTACCTACCTAGCTATCTACTTCACCGTATTGCCATTGATAACTTCTTCCATTTCACCCCCATTTCACCCCCATTTCACCTCATCTCAAAATTTATCAATCTTTTCAACCCCCCATTCCTTTTCTTTCCCATCTGTCCTTCAACTTACTCATTAATGCTCTTTTAATTTGTAACCTGTATTACAGAAAACATACTAGGTACGTGTCCCAGCATATGGTCGCGGGTATATACATAGGAAACCTACCTAACTAACACTTTTCAAAAGCCTTGTGGTGTAGTGCACTCTCAATAATTCCCCGGCACATTAAAGCCTCCCGATTTCACCATGTCACAACAACCTTCATCAGCTGCTAATGCGTCCACTATAATTGCAACTCTCACTACTCTCACTGAAGAAATCAACTTTCAGAAGGTGTTATTGATTTCTCTGAAAGATTCCGCAGAGGATCAACCATCACGCAAAGCGGAAATCGAGGCCGAGATTTCCAAACTTAGAGAGCAAAAGAGAAATCTCTCGAACACCCAAGCCTCCTCCTCCCCACTCACTCAAACACCTTCTACTTCACATAATAATCCGAACGTACGTCCGTCTGACATAGACCGTTCAAAAATGGATAACACACTCGGGCATGGAAGCAATGGTGTCTATCAATGTTAGTCTCATCTGATTCTTTTACTTCTTATACCAGGCTATGGAGACCATTTCACTTATCTTTTTCATTCACCTCAACAATTTCTTCTGTTGATATCAGTATTAACTTCATCTGCAGTAAAAGAAGAAAACGGGTCAAGGAAGTCATTATCCTCCACGGCTTCGACACCAGGTTCTGGAGCATCAATGTCTGAACATTTTGGCTCAACTCGAGTTGATCTACCTACTCGAAAGCGCAGCCACAGCACCCATCTAGATGCATTTGTACCTTTCGAAGAAATCAAATCTCGACGAACAACACCGAGTCCTTTTGCGACAGGTGTAACAACTCCTTCGGGAAGCTCAGGGTATGAACATACTATGATTGGTGATGGCTACTTCGACCTCACTATGTCTGTCCTTCACTTCATCGTCAATGATAGACTTCATAGACTTTTCGTTTGTATCTAGAGTCATAGAAGTAGGACGGGCGTGCTAATACGTTAAACTTCTAGGGATGACGATCAAATCTTCGATCCTTCTTACACCGAACTTCACAGGCAGGAAGAACAAAGATTTCAACTGTTAAGAAACGATGAAAACTTTGCTCTTAGTATCGCAAACTCAAATAGTTTTGTCTCAAGCACGCCAGCCACTAGCTCGAAACCTTCCGTTTTCAATAAAATGTTAGGTGTTCGCCCACATGCTTCTAGCTCTCGCGACGATCAGGCTGCAACATCCTCTGCTATGTTAAATGCCTCCTATGGCTCTCATGCTAGCAGCTTCTCGGGTAAAAGAACTCTCCCTTGGAGTAAACCAAATATCATTGTTAAAGCTGAACGACCAACATCGTCTTTTTCCCAATCTTCGGATTTCCATAGCACAGAATCTGGTGGTACACACCGCAAAGGATCTTTGACCGCCATCAAACCCGAGTTCGTACCAACGCCAACGCCAACACCAAAGATCCCTGGCGCCTTTCCTGAAGATTCGACCGCTAGTGATTCAGAATGTGAAATCATCGACTCTTCAGCCTTTAAGGATAATGGTCGACAGAAAACCACAGCTTCAAAGACAACGAACGCATATGGTCACCAAAAACCACTTTATTCACCGGAGGACCGCGTTTTAGGAGATAATGCTGTTAGGAGTACAAACACCAGCTTGCGCCGTGCTATATACGGTAGCAATCATCCTTTACCTCGCTGGGCAGCTAACTCTGCTATTGAAATGAACAATACTGGCCAGCTAGGCGGATATCATAGTGTTCCACCCGCGATGGCGAGGGGTTCTTCTTACGGATTGGGTACATCCCAGCAAGGACTCTCCATGAATAGCAGATACTTAGCCAATCAAGTGTACAGCACTGCAGATAACTCTAGCAGACCTGGCTTTGGATACCCTATTTCTACAATTGCCCTTCAAGGCCAATCGTATCCTCTTCCTGGATCATATGGTGGAAGCATGCATTCTGCTCACTCGGGTACCAGTATGCATAACGCAGGCTTGCGGTACACCGTTAACTCTTTGCCAGCTTATAGCATGGTTACAACTTATTCCAACTCCCTACAACAAGGCGCGGTTAACAACATGGGAACTTTTCCAGACTTTGAAGCGGATGTTAACGCTTACAATCCGTCTTCCGCGCTTACTCCTGATATGGCGGATCGAATGGATCATATTATGAACGATCCGAGGAAAACAGAAAAGGAGATCAAAGACTTGGTGGAGAATATCAGAGCCGATATCGAAATTCCGTTGGAAAGCCGAGAGGGAACTCCCGAAGGATTAAGATATCCCTTGGTAAGTCGAAACTGGTGCATGGGGTTGGGGAGTTTCTTGCTAACTTGCGAGTAGTATGAGCACCAAAAGATTGCTCTGACATGGTTGAAACAAATGGAGGAGGGTACTAACAAGGGGGGTATTCTTGCGGACGATATGGGTCTAGGCAAGACAATCAGTACTTTGTCACTCTTATTAACACGACCATCAACCGACCGTGCTTGCAAGGTATGTCTGTTGGCGAAATATCATGAACATCTATTGACAATTCTAGACTACACTAATAGCTGCACCTGTTGCCCTTCTCCGCCAATGGGACCGTGAAATAAATACGAAGACATTGGCAAGTCATAGACCTAGTGTCTTCATGGCCCATGGAAACAGCAGGAAAGTGACTTGGGAGGATCTCCGACGATATGATGTCGTCCTAACAACTTATGGGACTTTGGGTGCGGAATATACTCGCCTTGTGAAATTCGAAGAAGACTGTAAACAACACGGGATTGTGGAAACTGATGCGAACAAAATGGGCAAAGATTACCCATTTTTGGGTCCGAAGAGCAGATTCTATCGTGTGATTCTCGACGAAGCACAATGCATCAAGAACAAAAGCACCAAAGCAGCGTCTGCTGCTTGTAGAATTAAATCTCGGACCAGATTTTGTCTTACCGGTACACCGATGATGAACAACATTACGGAGCTTTACTCGTTGATTAAGTTTCTGCGTATCAGACCTTACAGCTCTTGGTCCGCCTTCACAAAGGTACATGCCTGATCTGGTTTATAAAACAGACTATTTTGTTAACGATATGATAGGATTTCGGCTGTCTCTCAAAGGGAAGTCGCCACTCGGAAGAATATGTCAAAAAGGCTATGCAACGCTTACAAGGTGTTTTGAAGGCTATTCTTCTCCGACGCACGAAAGAATCTAAGATTGATGGAAAACCCATTATCACTCTACCACCAAAAGTCGAAGAAATTGAGCACGTAGTCTTTAGCAAAGACGAGCAAGAGTTCTACAAATCTCTTGAAAGTAAGACCAAACTTCAATTCAACAAGTACAAAAAGGCTGGAACGGTTGGAAAGAACTACTCGAATATCCTTGTTTTACTACTTCGCCTTAGACAATGTTGTTGTCACCCTCATTTGATAATTGATTTTGAGGCAGAAGCCCCACCAGCCGGCTCAGCAGAACTCTCAGAGGAACAAATGATTGAACTTGCCAAAACTCTTGAACCAGATGTAGTCTCAAGATTACTTGCTGCGGATGGATTCGAAGTAAGTCGATTGGTCTATATCTTAAAGTATCTTAACTGACATCTGAAGTGTAATATCTGCTACGATGCAACTCCAAATCCCAGCATCATCACTCCTTGTGGACACGATAATTGCCATGAATGTTTGACTACCCTCTCTGAGGAGATCACGAATCGAGCTGAGCAAGGCCATGACGAAGGCGGCACTGCAGCAAAATGTCCAAGTTGTCGTGGAAAGCTTGACATGACCAAGCTCATCGACTACAGAGCGTTCAAGAAGGCACATATGCCACCGCCTGGGCTCGAGGAGGAAAAGAATGTCGACGGCTCCGGTAACAACAGCGACGATAGCATTGACAGTGACAGCGACACTGACTCTGATACCGATACCATGTCTGATGATAGTGACGCAAATGGCGACTTGGGCGGTTTCGTTGTTTCTGATGATGTCGAGGATGATGAGGCTGAGCAAGGTGATGATGAGATCGAAGATCTCGGGATTGAGGTTCCCAAGTCCAAGTCGAAGTCGAAGTCCAAATCTAAATCTAAATTTAAGACCAAGACAAAAGAGAAGAGAAACAAGGGTAAAGGAAAGAAGGTCGAAAAGCAGAAGCAGCACTTTTCAATTGCCATGATGAAGAAAGAGGCTTCCAGATCTATCGAGGGTCATAAAAAGTATATGAGATATCTTCGAAAGAATTGGCAATCATCAGCCAAAGTCGATAAATGCATGGAACTTCTCGAGAAGTTTCAAGCAGAAGGCGAAAAGACAATTATCTTCAGTCAATTTGTAACCTTTCTCGATCTTCTCCAAGTGCCTATCGGAGAAAAGGGCTGGAATTGCGAGCGCTATGATGGTAGCATAAATTCCAAACGCCGAAACGACGCAATTATGCGATTCACGGACAAACCTGATTGTAAAATTATGCTCATTTCTCTCAAGGCTGGTAATGCAGGGCTCAATCTTGTCGCCGCATCTCGAGTCATCATCCTTGATCCTTTCTGGAATCCATTCATTGAAATGCAAGCAGTGGACCGCGCTTATCGTATTGGCCAACAGAAATCAGTTCAGGTTCATCGAATTTTAGTAGAGGAAACGGTCGAGGACCGAATCATGGAGTTACAACAGAAAAAGAGGACGTTGGTGGAGTCTGCACTTGACGAAGGTGCTATGAAGAGCGTAGGAAGACTGGACGAGAGGCAATTGGCTTTTCTTTTTGGTGTTTGAGGCAACGGAGAAGTCTCCTTTGACTTCCGTACGTGCTCGATTGCTTCTCGAACGGGCTGTATAGTAGTTATGAGGCGTTTTGGGAAACCCATAATCTCGCTTTGGCTGGCCCTCTTTCTTTCTTTGCACAAATTGGCATCGCAAGCAGGACCAGATCAGACTTTTTTGGGGGGGGAAGGAATGTTCAGATACACTGGGTGGGGGAAATTTTGGTCGGCTTTCATTTCCTTTGTTTTTTTGGCTCTTTCTCGTCGGATTTGATACCCTATCACCATGGCGTTTCGGGTCTGGATGGATGGATGGACGGATTTAAGGATTCACGATGAAACACGAGCAACGACAAACGAAGAGTGAAGATGGCATACTGGTATTATTTTCTGTTGTTACACTACTTTACTTTCTTTAATCTTGTTGAAGAGTTATTTACAAAAGTGCGCATGAATTGCTGGGGGGGAGGGGGGACGGAGATATTGATGGAGCTAGAGAGAGCAAGGGAGCTAGAAACAAGATGCATATTCGAGAAAGTGCATATACATCAAGATTTTCTAGAGGGTGAACAGAGTCGAAGCAATTCGAGGGAGGAAAAAAATGTAGAATTACATACACGTGCTTCATACCGTGGCATAATAAATAGTAAATGTATAAGATAAAATTTCTGTAATTGACTTTCTTGGTTGGAATTCATGTGACTATATCGTATTATCCATATTTAGGCAATTGAAAAATACCGAGTACAATACTGGAGGTTGGAGGATGAAGGACAAAGATAAAGATAAAGAAATACAGGTAGAGAGGGGAGTGAGTCCCAACTTGCAATCTATATTCGATATTCAAGATGGAGATGGAGATTGAGATTGAGATCAGTTTTTTAATGAATAAATAAATAAACTTTTATCTACTCTACTCCTACTCCTACTCCTTCTCCTTCCTTCTTATACATATACTCGAGTATATAAAAATTGTATTCAACATACATATTCGTATCCACTCATTCACTCACTCACTCACATTATACCTAGTATATATAGTACACTCGAGTAGTACCTACCATCTTCATCTTGTGTTAACTTTGTAACTTTGTTTCCCTCCCTCCTTCCTTCCTCCCTTCCTCCTCTCTCTCTTTTTGCTTCTCATGCCTCCTTTCTTTCGACAGACACTTCTTTATAACTCACACCCATCAATCAATCAGCCATCAATCAGCCCAAATGAATCCCAGACGAAAGGCAAACCCAAGCCCAAACCCAAACCCCCAAACGAAAATCAAGAAGAAAGAAGAGAGATAAGAAACGCCCCTTACTAATGAAATACGATACGATACGCTTAGATAGGGTATAATGCATTCATCCCATCCATCCATTCATCCATTCATTCACTCATCCCATCCCATCTCATCCATTCTGGTAGGCAGCTAGCTATTACAAACAAGCCAAATACAACCATTCCATGCAAGCATAATCAATTCAAACCCCCCCTCCCCCCAATAGAAAAAGCCCTTCCAAAAATAATTCCGCCAAATGTACTCTGGGGAACTACCCAATCCCCTCTTTTTCTTTTCCGTGTTCTCTGTTTCGGTTTCCGTTTCGTTGGAGGTTCCAGTGTCCTTTCGAACGAAGATATACGTATGGCTCTGTACCATCTATCTATAGGTGAAGTATCATGGAACGAACCTAGTGTTGGAAACGAAACGACACGCTCGTGACCTTAACAGCTTTCTCTGAGGATTTCAGAGCCATGTGTTACGCTACCGATGTGATATAATGCGAGATGATGTTGTCGTTGCGCCATTCATCTTGACACCTCTTTGGTGCCTATGTCGATGCTGATGGTGCAGGTATAGTCGCCATAGAATCCAGGTTTGTTCTTGCCTGTACGTCTTCCAAAGGTGTGGTGTAGTGTAGTATATAGTGTAAATTTCTGAAAGAACGACAAAAATATTGAAAACTTATCAATCCAGATGCAGTTCCCTATATGCAATACATGACTGCTCAAGTGAAGAATAAAGAGAACCCCAATGCGCCAAATATGGGTAAAATCAAAACCACAAAATCTATCTTTGCCATTGGACTCGCAGAAGATTTGCTGGGACTAGGTGTTGCAGTAGCGGTAAAAAGGCCTGTGAGAATTTCTGTAGTAGTTGTGACTGATGCAGTTTTAGCACTTCCCGAGCCGGCGGGTACTGTTGATGTACTGGTAGGAGCACTGTAATCTGAGGAGGCACTATAGAGTACTCCATCGATAATCGCTCCTTTGCCGGCAATAATCATATCCCTCTCATCTTCAGTACATGTTTCTGGAATATTGCGGAGGTAGCATGTATTTGTGGGAGATGCTGGGAGACTTGTGGTATGGGTTGCATTGAGAGGACCAGTAGTATTATATACTGATAAGTTGATGGTTTCTCCAGTCGAAAGAGAGGTACCCATTATTATCCGGGCAAAAACCTGGAAAGCTGTCTCGGGTTGGTATGCTGGGATACTGTGACCTGCATCGTAAATGCGACTAAAGGAAAGATTGCCAAACTGTCGTACAACACCACCAATATAAGAAGTGTTAGTTATGATAGGCGCATAGCCAGCGGCGGGAAATCTTAAGGCATATTCTGAAGAAGCTTGGTCTGCAATAGCCAAAGATATGGCTTCACCACCGAGCCAATTACAAATATAATCACGATCGCCATACATCAACCCAACATGGATTCCAGTATTCAGAAGCGCAGCTATTTCTGGGACGTAAGATTTGCGCTCGTAGTCTCCAGTGGACGTGAAAGCAGAAACAACTTGGAAATTTGTCTCAGTATAATTGACTGGTGAACCGATAGCAGATTGAAACTCGGCAGAATTGAGATATTCGAGGTATGTACTAGGTGGAAATGAATCTGGTAGATTATGGGAAATATCGTATACACTTCTTCCAGCGTCATAATAAGGTTCCATCACATTCGTTAGACAACTGTTATACGCATTTGAACAAGCACCGTTCACACTCGAGATGTTGCCTTCATTCGTAGGATCCTGGTTTGACACGGCGGTTCGACATTGAGTAATCAAGTCCTTGCAGCCACCAGAAGCATAGAAGTTTGCTACCGCCAATTTTGCCCTTGTGGGATTGATAGCGGTGAGACCAAAGGTATTATTGACTGCAAAGTCGGGATAGTAAGGCGCTTGAATCAGATCATCCACGCATCCATTTATTATCCCGAGTGATTTGAGTTTGATTTCAATGGTTTTGCTTTGGGACAGCGTGCCGTTTGCGCGCTTCGCATTCTGCTCTTCCCACAGAGTCGCAAAAGCCGGGCCATATTTTCCACCATAACTCTCTGCGAACAAATGAATATTCATAGCAGAACTATTATTCGGGGCATATTGTGGGAAAGCACCAAGAAATCCCTGAAGCATGTGCCATATAGCCATCCCCGCCATCTCAGTAGTATTGGCCGTATTGTTCACATTCAGAGAGCTGAATGTTCCATTCAAGAATGTATCCGCAGGTTGCGAGTTCGGAAGAACCTGCTGTGGAGTATATAAATCGGACGTAAGAAGATCGAGAGAGCAATTAGTAGGGGTATCGTATGAAAAGCCAACTTGGTTAGGCTGCAGATGTATCGTCAGCTTGGGGGATTGGATGCGGCGCTATCAGAAAGAGAACAACTGTGTTTGACCAACACTTTGATGGACAGCTTGGATTGTAGCATATCCAACAGGCTGTGATGTATATCATTGTGCTTCAATCGAAACTAAGTATCTCAGTGGCACAAGATGTCCTCGAGAAATGCGCGATCAAAGAAGCACCGTGTGTAAAAACAAACTCAGAATGCCACATACCTGATCAATATATAGCATGTTAGACCCTCTATCCCAACCCCAATCCCTAGCTTCTGTCGCAAATCTTCCCTGAGCTAATTGAACGACCTCACAAGGACCATTTTCGTTGAAGAGTCCAATCATTGAGCTGGAGCCTGGCCCGCCATTCAACCATATGGTAAGTTGATCTGTAGGGTCTCTCGCAGAGATAAACCAAAAGAATGTGTTCGTCGCATAGCTCCCCGGGATATTTACCCAACCCGTATACTGTTCTTGAGTATCGAAAACTGTTTGGCAGGTGCCTGTTGGTGGTGTTTTATAAGAGATGGTGATATTCCCATCGACTGGGGAAGTTATTCTAGTGAGGTTCGAAATGGGTGGGTATTGAGCGAATGTGAAGGGCAGCAGCACCGAAAGAAAGAGAGAGTAACGCATGATGGTTCACTCATGTTTCGACCGAGAGTTGAAGAAAGAGAATTGAAAAATCGAATCAATGAAATCCTCTGGTTGATCCTATGTTACGAGAATCCTACGAGAAAACGCATTGGCCGAAATGTGAAGCGACGTCTTCATGCAAGGGTCGATCGATAAGCTGTGCCTCGTATCTTTTGTTTTCTTAACTTAATGATAATTCATCAACAATCCATTTCTTGACCTTCTAATTGTGGTTATACGAAGATGTATATACAACAATAATACATGAAGGGGTAGAAGAGAAGAAGAGAAGAAGAGAAGAACAGAGAAGAGAAGAGAATTCTCAATTCTCAAACGCGCGCGCATTCTTCACCAAAATTACTTCTTCAACTTCCTCGAATATTATTTATTTATAGTTTTCCCCCCCTTCACATACCCCTCAACGTGCTGTACAAAATAGGTGTTCGGTCTACAGTAGTAAAAGCTAGAGCCAGCGTTCTCCGCTTGTAACGTTTCTTTGCAGCGTACCTGGGACAGTGGCACCGGTTTACTATTGGTTCTAGTCACTGTCGCCATCTTCAATTGGATGTGTGAGCCATATCGGTTCTAGATCATTAGTTAGTAGAACTGCACTCGGATCTATATCGAGCTTCAGTGATAGACGATAAGTACACGCCTAGACTACCAGTACTGGCACTCGCAAGATCTCTGGGAGACTGGGAATTCTCATATTCTCACGAGGTTGGTAATATCGAAGGAGAATGTTATGCGGTTGCCAAGTCTACAGCCAAGTTCTACAGCCATATTTGCGTTGTCCACGTCTCATTCTTACAATTCTTCGTTTGTCAAACCCCCATACCAAGCGCAAGGATACATGAACACAGCCCGCTTCACTGCATCGTATACACTAACTTTTCTTCCATCTCAATGAGATTCATCATTTCGGCCAACAGGCGCGAAAAGAAGTCAAGTCTACATTCATGATTGCACGTTTTGCATCTGTTCCAATTCTTGTCTTGATAACCAAATCACACCAGTAGTGCATGTGGATTTTTGATGGGCTTATTTCTTTTCCTTGAAAGTTACATTCGTAAATTTATATACCATTATATTTATATATACTTGTCAGTCCCAGCTATCGATGGCATTGGTTCTTTTATTGTCTTTCTCGTGCAGGAATAAGATATATCTGGTTACGTATCTCAGTGCCCTTGGTAACAATATCTTTGCGCAAAATTAGAGCAAGGCGGCTGCTGGATAGTTTCAGGAGAATCGTTCCAGAGGCTCCAAGTAATAACATTGACTTGGTCAAATTTGGTTCCATAAATTTCTAAATTAACAACCTCAATAATCCTCATAGCCTTAATCCTTTGTTTTCACACATATAGCTAAGTATTTGAGCAAGGCTTGAAGACTATCATTTCATCATAACCCGATGGCATCATCACAGTGAGTTCCATAAGATTTCCATGAATATTCAGGCCTGTATTCTGTTACAGCTCCTTACCCGAATCCTTGCGACTGCTCCAGATGCTATATACGATCATGGCCGAGTGCTAGAGTTCTTCAGTGACATGGTAGTCTTGTAGGAACGTTCGTTGGCCCGTTGCTCCATCTGGTCTAGACTGTTAATTATCAAGATAGATTTGACAGATCTGACCCTGAATATGTATCTCCAAGGCCTACTTAATTTGAAGCTCTTTTGAACAACTACCTAAATGTCTTACTATTCCATTGATGAGTTTCTCCTTTCATATCATTTACCTTTCGCATTGTCTATCGGAGATATATTCCCAATGCCCGAATGCATGTTATCGGAACCACTACAGTCGCATCTTAGTGGTGCTGATATCAAGTTTTCATATATACATGCTCGTGACGCTATGAGAGAGCTCGAGTATTTAGGATGTGTGTACAAGTTTGTTTTGATGGCGATGCAGCTTGTTGTTTCCAGAAGAATTTCTGACTCACTACATACGTTGGTGGATTATCTTTTGAGAGGTGGTATGAGGGAGGTTATGTGCTGTGTTAGAGAGTAGGGGATAATGGAAAGAGCGTCACATCGGGGAGAGTGATGTTAAAGGATGGGAATCACTACTTTGATCTCATGAGGTTTTACAATAATCTTGTATCTGGTGAGTGCAAATTGAAGAATGAACAGCCAAGGTGGAGAATGCTTATAGTATTTCTATTGACTGTATTGGAGTCAAACAGCAAAGCATGGGATGAGTATTCGTGGTGAAGAAAGGTCGTCATCATCATGCCAAACAAATAGAAATCGCCATACACCAAACCTATGAGTCGTATATTGTGTGTAACACGCTCACTGATCGAGGAATCATATCATATATGAGTCAAACTTCTGTCTCTCTGTCTATTTATGTTGCTCCGCGTTCCTCTTCCTCTATAATTACCTTCTTCACCGACATACGTTAATCAAAGTACTTCTGAGTAAGTAACTCCTTATCCTGTGTTTTCAGAAAGAAATGGAGAACTGACTATGTAAGAACAAAGTATAAACAACACAACATTCACAGCAAGGACCTTCCTTGAAAACAGACCTATCTCAGTTCAGCACTGGGTTTGGACCGATACAGTCTCTTCAACCGCAGGTTTTCAAATCCATATCTTCCTCGGAATATACGTTCTCACACAATATCTCGACCTCGCGTAGCAACATAACATCTCAAGAGCTGCTTGACTCTCCACCACCTTCCACATTACAAAACCTCAAACCTCAAACCTCAAGACCTCATCCCTTCATCCCCCTAAGTCAAACATCATGTTTTGCTTTACCAAAACGAATTCGTCAAGCGAGAAGAAAAGTAAAGAAGAAAAGCCAAAGAAAAAACCCAAGGATTCGGAAAAATCAAAGCCCGAAGGAAACTCAGATGGATCCAAGAAGCCCACGGATAACAGTCACCATGACGTCCCCTGCGGAAACGAAGAAAACGACGCGGGGGATCACTGGAGAGGTTATCCAGATCATGACGCTGAATGTTATGAGGAAGATTGTTAGGATGAACATAACTTGTTATATTATAGAGGATATATTGGTAGGAGAATTGTGGGAGGGAGATGGGTTGATATCATGACATGAATGTAATGGATTTCAAGTTGGTGGGTTTGGCGAGTAATGAGTTTGGATGTTTCAAGAATATAATATATATGCATGGTTTTCCCAAAGCGAGATTTCCAAATTCATGATCGTGATACTATAGTATGTGCCTGGTTTTTGATGATATAATGTATAATATATACAGCGTACACAGCGAAGCGCTCAGAGCCACAAGATCCCTTCACTCAATCAAGAAGAAATCGCTAATAACACATCACATGAAGCTAAATTACAAGTTCACAATACCATAAAACTCATCAAGAATCATGATTATGATTCATATGAGAATGAATACTCATCCACACTATGCACTAACACATGCTAACACCGTACCCAGGGTACGGGTATACTTTTTGTGTAGGGTCGGGTAGAACATGTGATTCTAAAGAGTCTTGAGAATATATCAGTCCACGACATGACTCCATGCACATAACATAACATGCAAATAACATGAGGCGACTTTTTCTCGGATCCAAGCTGGGGGTATATGTAAATATAAATGTTGAGTATCTTACGTATTACATATGAAATAATAAAGGGGTCATGTGTGTTGGATATGAAAGATCAAAGATCAAAGATCGTTTAGAGCAAAAGTTCTTCTACTAGACTACTACAGAGAGTCTAAGTGCTCAATCCCTATCTCATTCAACCAGGAACCTCACATCCCCGTAAAGAACCTCATCCATAATACTACTCGAGTATCTCTGCAACAATATTCCCCGACCAAATAAACAACGACAAGAAGTAATGAGCCAAAAGAACCCGATGAACTTCCATATCCGGATCTGTAGCAAGTCTAGAGCTACAAGATACAAGCTTCCTCCAGTGGCACTATATAAAGGCAGCACGCAGTTCTTCTCTAGAGACTAGACCTGCTAGATAATAAATCACAATGTAGTAGAACATAACAACAGCATATTTGACATCCCATCCCATCCCATCAAGCACAACCCCGCGCACCCACCAAAGACAAGCAAGCAAGCTGCAAACGTACACCCAAGAGCCCCCACGAACCAACCCAACCCACCGATAACATCATAGCATCATACCATACTAGTAGTTTCCATGAACATCAACTCGCTCATCACTCTCACCGACAGAACCAGCGTAACGCAGCCGTGTCGTAGCTGCTAGTTAAACGTGCCAATTTTCAAGCTACATACATCGGTTCCCTCCCCCAATTCCACTCCCTCGTTTTACCACATACTGTGCATACATCGCCTCACCTCACCTCACTCAACTCCCGAGATACAACCGTCGAAACATAGGACGCACAGCTCAGAAAATGATCTTCTCTTCTCTTCTCAACCCATTCTATCACATCCCAGCTCATCCCATATTTCTCAATGCTCATAGTCCGTCCGCACAAGCAACATCATGCACAGCACATCACAGCACATCACATCACACCACAGCACTTGCCAAAGTAAAGCCCGAGTGCTCGCACTCGCATCATGGTAGACTGCGTTAAATTTCTCCACGATACGATACGATGACGGAAAGCGATATCCAATGCAGATAGATTACATTACATCATGGCCCATGGGGTACTACCGGTGATAAATACTGTAGTATGCACTGCGCGCATGGGAACTCGTGGCTGAACAAAGTATACGTAAAGAGCGCCTGGATATGTCTAAAATACCAACGAATGGTGTGTTAGAAGTTTGGTACGCTGTGTTGATACTTGATGCTTGATACTTGATACTTGTGGGTTGTATTGTAAACATAATGATGGATTGAATCCTAGTTTCTTTCTCATCAATTGATTCCGTTCAACAAAAGAGGAAATAAATTCCGAATATCAAAACTCAATCTAGAATCTATACTCTTTCCTAAACCCTAAATCGTATCGTATCGCACTCATACCGTACTGACTGTATGTATTGTAAATAAAAGTTACTATCCCGCCGCTACTCTTTGATTTTCTAACTCTAATAGCTAAAGCGAAGCCACTTGGATGTATAAATCAATATTGAATATTGAGGCTGTTAGCTTTAGTGCTAAGTGGATAAATATTGCCAAAACCCGTATTTAACAAACAAGAAAGAAAAGCTCTTGCGAAAAATTTCCCCACAGAGTAAGTTATTACACAGGACAGGACTAAACCCCCCAAAAACCTGTACCTAGCACCTAGTTGTACAGTAGTCGCGCGCCGGAAGTCAGTGTTGCAAATTCCGTGATGAGTTGTTAGGATTTGCGCGGCAGCAAGCTCAGCTCAGTCCTGAATCTTAACTTATTTCCTCATTTGATGGTGATACTGTACTCGGATTTTGATTTGAGTGGTGGGATTCTTAGGTTTGTTGAAGATCCAATTCATATCAGCTGGTATTGTTCAATTGAATCATCCCATCTGTGGCTAATGATTGAGGCCATGCCACTTTGAACTCGGGATGTGTTTACTCGGTACTGTATGTATGGCGAGTAACTGAAAGTGGAATGGAATTTCTGCATTTCAAGCATTCTGCTAGCAGTATCATAAGGGATATCGGTGCTCCTCCTCTTACCAACTGACTCGAGAAGCATACATATAAAGTGCACTCAATCTGAAACAGCTAAAGGAGAATCGGCGGTATGGAACTATTTCCTGTGACCATTGGAATAATGACTTCTACTGAACAATCTCTGGGGACAAAGGCCTATGATTTGTAGATCGTAAGGCTGTCGATACTATCCTTTAGGCGGTGTACAATGTTGTGCGGTGTATGATCGTAACATGCAAAATATCACGAGTCGTTCAATCGTCCGCTTTAGCGGTGGGTGCAATATATGGCATTGGCTTGGTGCGAGCCGCCTCACGCGATGTGCAAGCCCGAGAAGAAACAAAGTTCCTTCAATCTTCAAGGTCTACGTGGAGAATTCGAGACCAAACGCGACTAAGTGCTAGTCAGGGCCGCATTTGAAAACCTTTCTATTTAAAAAAGGATTAAGATGTCCCTTTCATTTGCCAATCTTCAGGACGCGAGTAGCGAGGCACATTGCCGGTGAGACATACACTGAAAAATCGAGATGCCCAGGGATTAACCCAGTTTTGGAAATGAAGCGAACTTTTGAAGCATCAAATGCTAAATGGTGCATAAGTGGGATAGATGACCTTGTGGAGCGAAAGAAGCACAAACAGCATTGACAAGGAGCAATTTGTTGTATGGAGTCTTCAGCAAAAGATGGGAGAGCGCGGTGTACGCCACCAATTGGCAAAAGCTCTACGGCTGCGGGAGAGTCCCCGGATTGAGGGATGTCATCTTCCCGCCCATTAGTTTTCATGCTAAATGCACTGATGTAACTACAGAATAGGTAGGGATTGGTAGACAACTTTGCCCACCCTTTACCAGTGCTCCTTCAGCCTCTTCTTCATCGGAATGATCGGTTACATCTGCAGTGTGTATCTAATCTCGGCGATCTATCAGAATGTACCAAAATCAGAAATGCCACGAGGTATAGTTACGCTAGAATGGAAATCCTACCCTCGCAAATGATACGATTTACCAAAATAGCATCCCCTAAGCCAAAGACGGTGTGTTCGGCAAGGTTTGTATAGATTAGTCGTTATCTGCGGCGCAGCAATTTCAGCCCAATAATTGCTTTTGCTCCTCAAGAAAAAAGTAAGAGCCGTTTTAGTATGTAACGAATGAAACAAAGTTCTTGTAACGCATTGGCCACGTCGTATGCATTTTGTGCCCTGCAGAACCGCAACGACATATGTATCCGAAGATGTCTAGGGCATTCGTTGATCAGGGAGGGTAAAAGAGTAGATCTACATATGCAAGGTAAGTATATAATAACATAATTACTATAGCATTGCTGTATGAAAATAAAACAGATTTAACTTTAATAGAGTTCTTTTTCATAATATAACATGCGGAACAGCTTCTCAGTGGTCATCAGTTAACTTGACCATCATTCAAAGCCGACAAGGAAAGTAAGTTAAGCATGAAAGGGCAACAATACAACACCATGTCGAGTAATGAGAGTTTCAAACTTCGTATTAAATAATAATGGAAGGAATGGGGTCCCGCTGGCCGTCCCCAAGTGGGTTCCTCTCATCATGTCTTGCCGTCCTGGTCGGTCTGGCTTGTTTCTTGATCGTCAGCTTTCTTTCCTTTTCTTTTGCTTTGGATAATTCTCAAGTTTATAAAGACCCATAAGATCCGAAGTGTCCGATATGAGAGTGAAACAAACATTCATGCCCTTATTCTAGAAGGTTTTGATGGAGCTTCTAAAGTCTTGGTATTATGGCCAATGTGGGTACAGTAATTTACTGGGATGGCACATCCTTGAAGCTTGACCAATCATTGTATTCCCAATTTTTTATTCCTGGTGAAATTGGAACACCGATGTGCTGGGAAAGTGTAACATTCCGTTTCCGGAGAGGTAGCGGTTAGCAGTGAGGAAGTCAAGAACTTTCCCGCACTTTCCATAACATCATGAGCGCTTGAACATGTGGTTTATTAGGCACTCCTTTAACAAAGTTGCAAAGCAAAATAAAACTTAACAGAGCAGAGAGTATATTGGGGAACAAGGGTCAATCGGTGCAGATTTTGATACTTCATCGTCTAATCTTTTGTGAATGAGCACCTTGGTAGACTGACTTGTTTCCGGCTATCCCTTTTTGGCAATTTGCAAAAAAAGCGACAGTCTAAGTGGGTGGAGCCGTTGCAGTGGGCTTGAGATGTAGTGTCTCCGGTAGTAGAGCTGCTAGAGCAAGACTTTGCCTGGCAAAGACAACGCATGGATAAGACAGCGACCCGGTCGCTCACCTAGCGAATCCAATGCCATGGCCAGCAGGGTCTGCACGTTTTAATAAACAACAAGAAGCATGGTTCCATGGTCAGAACTCAGCAATGAGCATGGTGAAGCGCCCTTGAGTCTTGAGAAGTTTAGGGAAAGTGGGGTCTAAAATGCAACGAAGGATTGAAAAGCTGTGATACTTAATTTATTAGCTTTTGTCTGGAGTGACAAAACCTACAAGGAAAAAAGGAGAAGGACGGTATAGAGAAAACAAGGGAAGACGAGATTGAAAGACAAAATGAAAAGAATGTCTCAAAACCTTCTAGAAGCTTTCGATAAGCTAGTTGACTAATCTGTACCGAACAAACCGTCATCACATCTCATCCCTTCGTGGCTCCTCAAACCAGGTGATCTCTTTTCACGTTATCATTATCTACCCGACGATGTATATGTTAATATCTCAAGGATTATATCCTTCACTTACTGTATAGTATATACTCTTCATCCAATCATTGCTATATTATCGGATAGAAGAGGCAACGTTCTAGTAAGATTTAAAGCAATTTCGACCCTGGATGCACCCATGTGAACTTGGGGTTTGGCGGTATCCTTAGATGCCCATCTATGAAAGACTACCATACAAGGAATACCACATTAACTCCAATCGGCTCTACCGTGTTTTTAAGACTTCAAGTAAAGAATAGTCACGAGATCGATATTTGAGCGTTGCATTGAAGCTTTCCCGGATACTCTCCCGCTCAGGGGCAAGACCAAAAGTTCCTCCTCCCCCTGGTACTATGTATTTATTCTATACCGCCTCCTAGTTCTTAAATGTCAAAAACACTCCAGAACCCGCTGCCCATCTCCCTATTACTCGCCCAAGCCGCCCCACGTGTCTCGCGTTGAGCCGAGGATCGTGATCGCTTCTCAATTTCTCAAAAGCTATTGAAGAATCGACAACACACATTTCGCAAGTGCTACGATCCGAGGCTCTAAGCAAATGCATCTTTGCTGTATTAGGTATCTGTTCAGTGTTGTTGACAGATCCCGTTCTTGATCGAATACGACAGTGACACTGATCGATATGCAAGGTCACTGTTCACAAGGCGGTTAGTACACGAATGATCAAGGAACGGCCTACCTAAGGTACCCGCGAAAAGCAATGCAATCAGGTACAGGCACAGACACATTGTGGCTTAGCTTTTTATAGGAGTTTTACGCAAAATTAGCTTTACCCATCTATCTTTACCATGTTCGGTTTCCGTAAACCTTATGACGGTGTAGGGTACGTACTAAGAGGGCTGCTCAAGATTTGCTAGGGGGTGGAACTTGTCAGGACTCCGGAGATGGCTGATGTTTCCAAAGGGCTCAATACGGGGTAATTGGTTTAGTGTAGCGGCCTACCTTACTCCTTGTAATTCACGCTCTTTGACATAAAATTTGTCACAGCGTAGCGCTTGTGAGGTCACAAATGGTGTAACTCGCAAGCATATACGATAAACGCGGTTGTCAGACGGGTTTAGAGATTTTTGAATAGTACTAGGGCACGAAATACTTATTGCCTTTCTAATCTACACTGTACAGGACCACAGGTAGCATGTAGCGTGGCTGCGTGGGGCATCGTTGATCGAGGAGCATGAATGAAAATGCCCCCCCTTATAGTACTGTAGTCACTAGATCATCATCTTCATCATCATTATCCATCGTAAATGGTGGATATACGCATTGTAAACAAAGTTAATTTACCACAATTGAAACGATGGCATGAAAGCGACGAGAGTTCGGAATGGTTGTGATACCGGACCGGTGTTAGCATTATCCTGACAATCTTACCTTAGGTCCACCGTAAGTGGTTTGGAACGAAAGTATAATATGAAAGTGGCATGGAGCTGTGGCAATCGACGCCCCCAAGTCAGTCAATCGCTGCACTTGTATGGTGCAGAGCATGACGCAGAGTTGATATATGCTCAGATATTAGCCCCTTTAAGGTAAAGAGGTATGGCGAGGAGTACGTGTTGTACACTGTACCATCCTTTTATTACTGGTGCCTGCGTCAACAAGAGAAGCCATTCATTTTTGAGAGATCGCGGTGACAGGATCTATAGGATTGAGTCGGGTTTGACAAGGGTCACTAGGGGGGGATCTTGGTCACTTGGAAGTTGGAGAGTACTCGCAAATCTTCATCTAGTCAAGTGTATGTAAATATTCACATATATTAGAAAGAAAGTGGATGAAGAGTGGGTTGAGAAGTGGAGGTTGATTTGATCGGCATACTCGAGTTACTGTACTTCAAGCCATCTTCTTTTATAACCATTGTGCCCTTGACATATGGCCATGGTGGTGTAGACTGTACAGTGTACAGTGTACAGTAATGTAGCGGGCGGTACAGTATATGTAACACTGAGTACTGTACCCATAATACATTGAAAAATGCGTTTTTTTTTTAAGTTTCCAGCGGTCAGTCTGTCATCAGTCAGTCTGCCAGTCTTGGAATACGGTACTGAGTAATATCCCTCCTCTTCTCTCCCTTACGATATAAGTCGCTAAAAGTCTAATAAAACAGGGTGGGTGGGTGGTCAGAACTTTAGTGTTACCAAACCAGGTCCCAGGTCCTAGGTTCTCACGACCAAGCCTGCAAAGACCCTAACAAGCCCTGTAAATGGGAAAAGCATCAACAAAATTAGATACCCATACCACTCACTGTACAGTGTATAAGTGGCATATACCCACCTATACATATAATATATCCACATATACACACATACAACCACATACACCCATACCACTTACCCACTATTGCCGAATAGAAGGCCAAAAGAAGGATTCGAACCCTTTTCTTTTGCTTCTAGTTTATTAATCCTTCCCTCACCCCCCCCCTCCCCCCTAAGACTGCAACCCTCCCCTCCCTCGTCTCTTACTCCCAGTTCTTCTCAATACTTCCGCATTCCTTGTCATTCCTCAAAGATACCCAGCATCCCACGCTCTTAAGTCCAATCTACCATTCTACTACCTACGCCTTACATACGCATCAAACACTTAAACCCTAAAAAACAAAAACATCTGTGTAAATCTTCCCTATTCCTTCCTTAAACTCTCTTTTCTTTCCAATCGCAAAACTCTGCGCTTTGATCTTTTGGCTTCTGATTCGCCGTTTCTAATTGAAGAACATCAACAGAATATCTCATCTCGATTGTACAATACAGTATCACTTATTATTTGATATCTCTATATTCATCTTGGCGCATAGTCAACTATCAAAAAAAGTACCTGCCGCATTGTATCCCGAGCTTCTAATTCAGCCCAGAAAGCAGCCGCCATCTTGAGATCTCTTCTCCGCCCTGCAGCAATCGCATGGTTCCTTCCGAGGCATCTTAATAACCTTCGTGTCACCTTAAATAACTACCACTTCACTCAACTTCAATTCAATCTCGTAAGATTGGATTACAATCTCAATGTAAGTTTGCACATCCTTACCCATCCATCGTATATAGTGACAGGGAAAACATTCACTGACACTCGACGGCGTACTAGTACATCTAAACATTCACCTAGGTTCCTCGAATCTTTCAAAGTATCTATCTCTCTCTCGGGCACTACGAACGCAGTCTACAGACGGATACATCTTTGCGACGCAAATACTGGTACTTTGTGTTCAAGTCCTGATCATTAGAAGGTCTTGAAGAGTCTCAAGTGCGCATACATACAAGGAGGAGAGAGATCATACTACTGGACGCAGCTCACTTCTTCTCGAGAGAACAAGTTTGCAGATTAACCAAAATCCATTCAAACAAACCCGCCCGATAGCCAAGTCTGGAAACGCGCCACTTCAAAGGCACTTCCCTCGTCACATCTCCGATTTGCCACTGATCCGACACTGATTCGACACATCATCTCATCAGACGAACCTTTGGCTCGTGCCTCAAACACCGCAGTATCCCGAACCAACCTCTTTCAAACGAGGTTCAGACATATTCTCAAGTTCCAAGGTTGGAACCATCACTCATACGGATAGTATTTCTGCAATACATACCTGGTAGAAGAACGCGTATGCGCAGTCGGATCCAAGAAGACTAATCAACATCCTCTCAAAATAAGCTCAAAATACACGACGAATCTTTCCTAAAGTGGAAAATCATATTCATATTTTATCTGATTTGGAAGCACTAAAAGAACCGTCTAATTTGATCGGCTGTACGGTTGCCCGTGCGTCAGGATATTCCCGCATCCCCACCAACCCAGTGTCCAGATTGGCGGATACATCCATCGTAACTGGCGGCCATCTTTTTTGAAGCCGTACAAGTGCAGTGGCCCCTAGTCATTAAAAAGGATTTAAAAAAGGTAAGCAAGCAAGCTCGGATATTTACATATTCACACACATATACACATATACACATACACACTACACATACATACTTGATCCACTCAATACACTCTACTCCACCACCCATCCACTCATACATTCATCCACTCTCTTCCTGACTCCCAGCTCTTCCTACAAATTTGGAGAATTGGCGGTGTGCACCGTGCTTGTGGCTGCCAACACCACACAGCATTTCTTTACCCCATAACACTTTGCTAATCTTCACCCACTATAGATTTTTCAAAAAAGAGAAAAGAGTCAAACGCCCCAGAAGAAAATTTAATCTAAGATTACTTTAAAGCTTTGGGTTCAGAGTGAAAATCAGTCAATCACGTTATCAATTCACTACGGCTCAATCTAGCAACGAGTTTAAATTTTATATTTTAAATCCTTGCAAACTACCTACAGCCTCCCGAACACTGGTTCCCGAGACACAAAGCAACCTTCGAGACACGGTACCATATTTCCAAACTTGGTACGAACGCTTGATCCAAGCGTCGATCACCTCCTATAATCCTCATCATTCATCTTTACTTTATCCTCTTAGCAGGAAAAGAAAACTTGCATCACCATGGATATCAAAGAGATTGTCAATTCAAAGGGTGTGAAAGGAGCTGCAGCAGCGGCGGCAGCATCAGCATCAGCAAGTGGTCAGGCTCATGATTTGCATTTATTGCAATCCATATCTCAAGCCAACAGCTTACGTATATCTGATGCTGGTTCCGAACGAGGTACTTCTCCTCATGGCTCTGAACATTCTCAATATTCTACCCCGCGCATGGGCATGAATGGCATGAATGGAGCACCAAATGGCATGCGTTATCCTTCACCTCCTGGTATGCAAAACTCGATGCCAATGATGCAACAACCTTATCGACCCGATGTTACTTTCGATAATGGCATGATGCCCGCACCACAACAAGATAACACTCGTCAACGACAACCTGGGGATGTCACCGTTACAAAAGCTTTTCCCTGTAGCACCTGTGGCAAAGGATTCGCTCGCCGAAGTGACCTTGCAAGACATGGTGAGTTTCTTTGATAATGATAATCTAGAACCGAATTCTAACATCCTTTTCAGAACGTATTCACAGTGGAGTTCGACCTCATGTCTGTGATTATCCGGGCTGTGGCAAACAGTTCATTCAAAGATCTGCTCTAACGGTCCACTTACGTGTTCACACTGGTGAAAAACCTCACACTTGCGAACGTTGTGCAAAGGTAAGAGTTACTGTGTATAGTATGGTCTTGATAAGCACTGCTAATTTCAAGTAGCCCTTTAGTGACTCCAGCTCTCTCGCTAGACATAGGCGCATCCATTCCGGAAAGCGACCATACAAGTGCCCATATGCGGATTGTCAAAAGACTTTCACACGAAGAACCACTTTAACACGTCACCAAAACCACCATACTGGAACTGTCGAAGAAGCTGCTGCTGCGACTGCTGCTGCTCTTGCGACTCGTCCTGGTAACAATCGACCTAGCAGGCAACGTTCCGATGGTGAGTCTTATTCAAACAATGGATCTCCCATGTCAACACCTTCACCTGGCCGACATCTCTCTACTTCTCCAAGTTCCGACATGGCACCGATGAATGCTATGCAGCGCCACCCTGGTGACTATGGATACATGAACAACAGCTCTTTACCCGGACATCTTCGAGGTGATTATGGCGTACCAAATCAGCCACCACCAGTTTCTACCGCCTTTACAAATGGTGGCATGCAACGACCTACATCCCATCCAACAGGCTATGGCCCCCCGCCGAACATTTTAGAGCCTCCTGCCAACATGGAACAGCGACAACCAGGCAGTGCAAATGGTAGTCCACACATGACCAACATGGGCTGGCAGTCACCCTCTCAAATGGCATCTCCATCGCATAACAACAACTACGTCTATCCTGACCCGGATCCATATGGCTCGGGTGCTGCGATGGGCCAGATGTATTATCCAAACTCAAATATGAGACGACCACAGAGCACGGAGCCAGAACAATATGATATGAAACCAAGAATGAATGAAATGTGGGCTGCAGCTCAATGATGGGAGATAACATTTTCAGGAATTGCCTTTCTATGCCTCCAAAATTCTCTGTTTCTCATCGCGCATTGAATTTCTTCGTGGACTGTGTTTGATACCCTGTGCGCACCACGGCTCGTTCTTTTTTTTCTTTTGATCGTTCATTTCTGATGTTCGACAATATTGCATACTATCAAAAGGATTGATTGTTCATCTCGATATCGGCGTTTTTTTTTTGAGATTTCATTGCGATCTTGTGCTTTTTTAGGAGGTCTTCTCAAGGCGCAAAACAAAGACTCTCTAGACCTCATGGATCAATTGGCCTTGCTTTCTGGCTGAGCAAACTACGGGATTGTGGATCAGGGCGATGATCATGTTATTGGTCTCTTTCACCTTTCGCATTCTTTGCTCCTGGTATCAAGCTTCACTGCACTCATTTCTATCTTTTGGAGCTGCTCCTTGTGGTATGAAATGCATGCATTAGCTTATATGATGGTTGGGCGAAAAAGCTCAATTTCTTTTACTCCTTACCTTATTCTAGGGTAGTGATCTAGAGATTGGGCTGGCCCGATTTGGGCCAGGGGATGGGGGGTGGATAGATTGATGGGTTGGTTGATGGGTTGGTTGCTAGGTGGCTGCTGCTTTTTTGCTGCATTGCTGGCGCCAATATCATGTGTAGAATTGCCATTAATGAAAAATAATTAGAACGAACTCGAGTTTTTCTTTTGCGAGACTCATTTGGTGACAATATACTTGTATCTGAAACGCAAGGGGAACTCTGTGATTTTCACAATTGTGCCTTTTACAACAGCTTTAAGTCCACGGCTCAGTCCAGGTGACTTGCCTGAAGAGTTGAGCTTTTAACAATATGTATCTAAGCAGAAAGTTTTGGGAGACCTCGAGAACGTTTGAGAATGGAGTTGAATTTCCAATTATGGGATCTTTTGCCTTTTGCACCTCGCGGCCAATAAATCTAATATGCCCCAGCCGTATAGAACTAAAAGTAAGGACCGGTTAAACTCCTTGTCATCTATCTCTGTAATGGTTCCTCTGTTTATCTCCTCTGTTTCTCTACTTTCCCTTTTCCACCTCCTGCCCTTCACCTCGAATTCTCTCCCCGCTGCTGATCACTCAATGATATCCTTCTTTCTTGACATAGAAAGCGGCTCTCAACCTCAAACTCCATTCCCATTGCGCTCTCCCCCATTCTTTACCCATTTCCCCTCCACATACTCCACATACTCCACCAGCGCATCAATCGTACAAACTCTCAAACCCCATTTCTTTCCAAAAGCTAAACACCCATCTCTCCTCAACATGCCCGGCTCCGTTCTAATCGCCTCCCCGACAACTTCCTCTCCATCCTCTACTATCTCACATATCACTCCCACCGGTGATTTTCCCGCTAACCTACAAAACTCCACCGCCGCCTCCGTATGTCCCGGACGCTCTCGTACTCCTCCCTCTCTAGCCCGCAACGGGAATACATGGCCCGGTCTCCTCAAATTTTCTGGCCCGGCTTTGGGATCCGCGAGCGTGCGACAGGTGAGAGCGCGATCGTGTGCGCTGATGCCCGTGCTGGTTTCGGGGCTGTCGGCGTCAATGCTAATGGTATAGGCGGTGCGGTTGGGGTCCTCGTTCGAATCGACCATTTGGGGGAGAGCGAATTGCGTGGTTAGGGAGGGCGGGATGGGTGTGCAGATTAGGCCCGAGGTGTGGCGCACCATGAAGGCCATTTTTTCGGGGGTCATGTCGCTGGCGGCTATTATTAGGTCGCCTTCGTTTTCGCGCGAAGTCGAATCGAGGACGACTATGAATTCGCCATTTTCTGGGAGGGGGAGAGGTTAGTTGGTTTGGGGGAGAGAGGGTTAGGGACCGGAATTGTGCGGATGGGAGGGGGGCTTACCGAAGGCGGTGATTGTGTCTTCGATTGTGTCGAATTGTTGGGATATATCTGAGGAAGGCATCTTGAAAGTCTGCGAGGTATGTATGTTGTTGGTGTGAAGTGAAAGTGGGAGATGAGAGTAAGAGTGTGTGAATGAGAGAGAGGATATGGGATGAATATAAATAAATGCCCCGCTTCCGAACGATAGTGGGGGGATGTCGCGAGATGTTTAGCTATTTATTCTAGCATATGATTTAACAATTCAATTAATTACCATTATATTTCCATCAAAAATAAGACATATAAGAGCAAAGAAAGCCGATAATTGTATTCACAATATATTCAATTAAAAGGACACGAATCTAGGTACAGTAAGAGATGGCTGAACTCATAAGATGTCCTGAGTTTATTCTGTTTTCTCTGAAGATTACTGAGGCGGATGCAAAAGATCTTCGGCACCGGAAACTAAGGAATTCTTGGTAAGGCACTGACCGAGGCTGACAAAATTCAATTGATTTCATGTCAGCAAATCGTTCTCAACAAATCAAAGCCGAAAGTTATCAATTGAGCATTTGAGCCCCGACGAAGTCTATTCCTTGGAATTGATTACCTATACTTATAATATACCTAGACAGTTTTACATTAATCCGATTGGTAAAGAAAGAAACTTGGGCTTTAGGCTTGATGAGAAGGATCATACGAAATACATAACACAGACATCAATCCGTAACAAGCAAGATGACCTTCACAATCCCCACGCCACTACGTCCGACATCCCTCCGAAATCTCAACCTACTTCTCCGAACCGCTCCTCGATATATCCAGAACCAATTCCGATGCCAATCTACATCCTCCCACTCTCATTCGTCGGTCAATCCGGATGAAGTATCGCATTTCAATGCTTTGGCTTCAACATGGTGGGATCCGCATGGTTCTTCTAGGTTATTGCATTTGATGAATCCGCTGCGTCATGATTTTATACGTACATGTTATGCCTCACAACCCATACCACCTGCGGATGCGGGCCTGAAATATCTGGATGTAGGATGTGGAGGGGGAATATTTGCGGAGAGTGCGGCGAGATTGGGGAGTACGGGGAGTGTAACGGCGATTGATCCTTCGCCTGTAGTATTGGATGTTGCAAAGGGACATGCGAGGAAAGATCCAGGGTTGGCGAGAAAATTAAAGTATTTGAATACTTCGATTGAGGGGTTACCGATACCGAAAACTAAAGAGGATCAATATGATGTGTTGTCGTTGTTTGAGGTTATCGAACATATTACATACCCGTCTTCGTTTCTAGATAAATGTGCACCGTTTGTGAAGCCCGGGGGGTGGATCATCATGAGTACGATGGCGAGGACGTGGACGAGTTGGTTGACGACGAAGGTGGTGGCGGAGGATATTTTGGGGATTGTGCCGAGGGGGACGCATGATTGGGATCAGTATATCAATGAGGAGGAGTTGAGGGGACATTTTCTAAGGGAGAGAGGTTGGAATAGTCCGATTGTGAGTGGAGTGGTTTATGTGCCGGGGTTGGGGTGGAAGGTGGTGCCGGGGAGTGAGAAGGTGGGTAATTATTTCTTTGGGATTAGGAGGGATGAGGTTACGCAGGTGTGAAGTTTGTGGTTGGGGTAATGAAAGTTGGGGATATGATGTTTTAGAGGTAAATAGACTTAGTCTTCGGGAGAACATGGTGGAGGCAAACGGATCATCAATGGGCGTTTGCGAGCGAGCTCGACTCAATTAGTCCTTGACAATAGGAAGTGTCAATTACGGAGCATTTCCTCACCCAAGTCAACGATTCTGCCTTCTCTTAGGGGGTTAGGCTTCGATCCTCATAGATCAGCCTTAAGATACTTTCCTGGTTCATTCTACCAGTAGTCATAGACTTGACTCAATGGTTAAGTTATGCATATCTAAGTATAAACAACTATTTGAGTACATCACATATCTACCGGATGTGCTCGCAAGATTTGACGTGTTGTAAGTGAGTAGCAATAGTGTCTTTATTATGAGATCAAACAATACAATTGCCGTATAATCCAAATGTATTTATATATCTTATGTGCGTCTATTATATTTTACAATTACCAAAGAACTCCTTCCCATCACTCCAAGAACAGGATCAATGTAGGTATCTACACATATATATCGATAATGTGATAATATCATCCAAAAATCCCAAGTTCATATATGCCATTCATCCATTCTGCTCCTGTGAATCCTGTCCCGAAATTTTTTGGATGATAATCTTCTAGATCTTCTGGTGCTTTTGTTGCATATCTGTAGAACTATATTGCTAGTTTCTTGCTAGTTCCTTGCTAGTTCCTTCCTTTGTATAGTATATTGAATTGCTAGTGTGATGGATATTAGTTCGTTGTAAATAATAAATGGTGGAGATAGATGTTTAGATGAATAGATAAATAGTTAGATAGTTAGGCGAAAAGCAATACATCTTAGATATATAAGAAAAGTTGTTATTGGCTTGTGATTGGGTTATTATATTCAATTTTATACTTATTAAGTGAATTACTTGAGTATATAAAGATGTAGATGATATTAGATTAGAGAGAAGGAAGAGTATTTGAAAGTGCTTATATTTATAGAACTTGTTTGTATTATTGCTAGCTTGATAAATTGTTACTACTTCGATATCTATAACTATTCGGCTAGCGGCTTGAGATATTCTAGATAGTCTAGATAGTAAAGCGAAGAGTAGTATATTTTAGATATATAACAAAAGTTGAGAAAAACCTAGTAAGCAATTATCTGAAACTATTGGAATACTATATATATATACTAGAAGAAGTGAATAAACGAGGATTTGTATTAATTTTGATATATACTTGAGAGAAGTTTATAACTGCTAACTTAATATAGATATATATATCTACTACTCGCTCGATATTTACTAGCTCGGCTTCGGCTGATCTGGATAGCTAGATGAAAAAGCGAAAAGCAATACACCTCAGATATACAACAAAACGAGTGAACCCTCTTCTGAGTAGCTTAGATAGCGACAAGACAATACTATATTGAATATCTACTTGATTTTAGGTAGTCTAAACTGCTAAACGAAAAGCAATACACCTCAGACGTGCAACAAAACTTATCAAAAAGCCTAATTGGTTATCATCTGAAGACTTAGGTGAAGTTATTGAGATAAACTCTGAAGTGAATTTAGTGATGACAAGTGAATAAAGCCAAAGGAACTGTTAGAATTCTTCGCTATCTAGCTGTGGGATGAGAGTGCAACTTTATCTTGTGAAAACTGTGCCATGTAACTTGCATGTCTTGCACGTTATAGATACCGCTTCGCCTCATCCGGCTTGCATTCGATTGTTCTCTTATGTTGTAGCTTGCATATTTTTTTTATCTGCGTTGAGGTAGTATTGCATAGTTCATGATTATTCACTATCCTAAGGGAACTGTAGGCACATGTCATACGTAAAAATACTTCCTACATGTGCTGTTTGATCGTATATAATCTGAGCCCTAAAAACTTTCAATTTTCATACAGTACTACATTACATGTATCGAGCTAAAACTGACAATTATCTAGTCTCTCCCTCCTGAACTAGCTTCACTCATACAATAGCATAGCAATGCTAGCACATCTTACATGTGTCGCCGTTTTGCATGTGCTACCGTAGATTTAGCCTGAGTACTTTTGGCACATAATCAATATTACACATATAGCATGTGCCATTTGGGCACATGTAGCAAACATGTGTCGAGAATTGCTTTAGGGACTGTCCGTATGCGCTGGGCCCTAGAATGATAATCTCTTGACATGTAGAGCTTACGAATGAAGCAATCTCATTTCACATCGTCCTAACAGATCCTTATTCCGTATCTCCAGTCTGGTTTGAGCACTAACCATATTTTCGGGTTGTCCGATGATCTTTAGATCAAATTTTGGAACTGGAAGGGATAATTGCTAAGAAGTTGTTAAACTTCGTCTGAGATATGTAACTTCCCAGTTTATGTGGCAACGTTCTAGAGCTAGAGTATAAACAATGAGGAGAAAGGCTAGATATCTCACAAGCATCAGCATAAACTTTCCGCGGAACTACACGAGGTCGCATGGCGATGATACTCTATCAAGACAAATAACTATAGGCATTCAATCTCGCACCGGTCACGATTTTATACGAGCATGATGACCTTGGGAGGCGATAGACTTGTGACAACTCGTATCCAAAGCCTGCCAACACATTCTTAATCACAAACTCATCCCCCAGGCCGCAGTCCTTATCCCAGCTAAGGATGTCAAGATGATCAATGTAATCCAAATCCATCATTGATCCCTTAGGGACAAGGGAGAAATAAGGAGGTGAAACGTACATCCGCGCAGTAATAAGTCTGTAAGGAAGGTGAATGTCTCCGATCATGAAATCAAACATTGACCCGGTGAAGCCTGAATGAACTAGCACTCATACAATAAATAAATCGTATATTTATCTCTGTTGGCAGAATATCTCCAACTGATGAGATGTGAACATCAAGCAAAAACACCTCAAATGCAGCTCAAAGCCTCAGGCACCAATAGCTCAACCTCCTCGACCTCTTAAACTTGATCACCAGTGCACGGCCCCAGCCTCGCGCAAAATAATTCCAAGACGCGACCACCCCATCGCAATGAGTTCCATCAATCCATCCACCCCTCTTTCCATACACAAAACCACAATCCGTCAACACAATGCCCTCACGCACACCCTCACCCGCTCCCCGTGGCCGTTCCCGCGCACGCTCACGTTCACGCACACCATACTCCAGCGCATCACGCTACAGCCGTTCTCCGCGCCGTTCAATCTCTCCCCGTTCTAGATCTAGATCTGCAGGTAGAAGTCGGAGTAGGAGTCGAGGAAGTGCAGCTGGTGCTGGGAGGGCTGGAGGCGCGAGATTTAAGAGTGAGAGTCGGGGGAGGAGTTTAAGTCCTAGGGGTCGTAGTAAGAGTCGAAGCAGAAGTCGGGAGAGAAGTGAGAGTGCTGGGGCTGGAGCAAGAAGTACTAAGGTTTGTTTGCTTGCCTTTGGTCTTGTTATCTAATTTATGGGAGTGTATTTTTGGCAGTTGTCTTTATATGCGATTGCTAACCATTGGTTTTGTTTACAGGTCGTAATCGAAAAACTCACCAAAAATGTCACTGAAGATCATCTTCGTGAAATATTCGGCAGTTATGGCGAGATCAAAGATTTGGATATGCCTATGAACAGAAGTTGTAAGTTTTTCCTCCCCAATTCTTCATGTTATCTCATTTCCATACTCCACCTACTCAAAAATAACGAATCTGTCAGCTAACATTCTTCAAAGTCAACACCAATCGCGGTACCGCCTATATTCTCTACGTTTCTGCGTCATCTGCCGAATCAGCCATAGCCCATATGCACGAATCGCAACTCGATGGTGCCATGATAAATGTATCAATCGTCTTACCCCGCCGCAAGTTTAGTCCACAACCACCCATGGCTCGTCGTGGAGTAAATATCGACCCAAGAATCCCACTTGGTAGCGGTAGGAGTTCTCGCGGCGGTTTCGATTCTAGAGGTGGTGGAGGTGGAATGGGTGGCGGTGGAAGAATGATGGACAGGGAAAGAGAGAGGGGTGGTGATACTTATAGACCTGGTGAGAGAGACCGCGAGAGATCGAGAAGCCCTCGGAGGCATAGAACGAGAAGTCGGAGTTTGAGTAGTCGATCACGGTCGAGATCTCCGAGGAGAGACAGGGGAAGAGATAGGAGGGATGGTTTTAGAGGTCGCGGAGGCCGAGGTGGAAGGGACAGGGATGGAAGTAGAGATGGGAGGAGAAAGAGGAGCCCCAGTTATAGTAGCTATAGTAGCTTCGACGACAGGAGTAGAAGTAGGAGCCGAGGTCGAGGAGGAGGTGGTGGTGGTGGTGGTGGAAGGGGGAGACGCTAAGATTGACATTGAGATGAGAATGGGGTCAATCTATAGCAATTTGGAGTTGATTCAAGTACCGACAGATATCGACTTATTGCGAATCGGTATATGAGGGACACCGGGAGCAAAAAAAGTGTACGAGATACATTTCCTTTTTTTTCACCCGCAAGGTGTGTGTAATATTGTAGTGTAGGTATGTAGCGAAGGAGTTTGGGATTTCGAAATAAAAAAAGGATGAGCTAGCAGGGCGAATCAATATCAATAATAAAATCATCAAATTTGCCTAGAGTGTAACAAGCGTTAGTACTCTTGCTCGTGCCTGCTGTGTGTTCTTTCAGATCATGTGTTCAAAAATGCTACTCATTGTCTTATGATTTCCACAGTGAGAAGATTCAAATATTTGACCATGATTTTCCTCCCATCAGCAGAGATTTTTTCTATGATATTTGAAGTCTATTTCAATAATTCAAGCTGGTGGCCCAGATGAATCGAAATCATAGTGTTAAGACTTTCAAACCTCGCAACCATCAATTGATCAGTTGATCAAAGCCGAGAATTATCGCAATACCCCCCTCTCTTCTCAGGATCTAAGTAATCTATGATGAGAAACCGTCAATTACTACCTAGTAGTAGTTGGTTGGTTTGTGGAGTGTCAATGGATAGATATTATGATCAAAAGCATATCCCATGTCATGAACTTCCTTTAGTCTTGTTGTTGTACCGACTACATATTTTGAAAGTTTAACATATACCAGCATCTTACTTTTGATATCCTAACATTCAAATATATGCACCTGCATCAAGGCGACATCCATAACCTGATATCATGGCGAGCCAAGCAAGACCCAATGATCGTGGAGCAGTCTACTGTTGCCTCTACCCAATCCTCAACACTAGAACCGCAAGTAACTTCGCCCCATCAATCTCCCACTGAGAACAACGAGACTATCATCACATGAGCATATGACATTGCCTTTTAAGATTCTACACACTACCAATTCTCGACTAGGCCCTTCAATCCCCACAGCATTCACAAAGCGACACCACCACAGCATTTGAATTCAGAAAAGAAATCATTGCAATCACCCGAGTAAGCGACATCTTTTCGAACAGGAAGCGTACGATATAAAGTTCCATTCATGGAGATTAAAGGCCCGCTACAAAGGGAAATTCTACTGGCTTACGTACGGCTCATGCGAATGCCGCAAAGTTAGGCCCCGTAAAAGCGCCTCTCGCGATGCTGGCGAGATTGCTTGGAGTGGTTGGGAAGTCTCGTACGAAGGTTGGCGGTATAGATATCCATTATTTGTATTCGAGTACACTATACTATCTTGTCTCATTATTAGATTGTTTATGTACTAGTCAACAAGTACTGTAATTGCGTCAGAATCTAATTAACACCCAGCTAGCTACACATAACTGACTAATCTAATGATCAATCCAATTGTGCATCTATTCTTATTGATCTCGAGAGATTCTGTGCTAGAAATGTACACATTGTCATCTTAATTTCTCCCTCGTCTTCCTGCTTAGATATGGCTTTGTGCATGCCATTTATTACTATCATCATTACCATTACCATTACCAGTATCAGTACCATTACCCCTACCCCTACCCCCACCATAGCCAATAACCCCCTCTATTCTAACCACCTACCTAGTGCCTACCTAATTATGTACAGGTACAGAAACATTGAAAAGTAATATGCCATTCCATTTAGACAAACGATGATTCTGGTGTTGGAAAATAAATTGGGGGTATTTACATGCGGTATGATAAGGTGAGTAAGAATAAAGTAACCAACCCATGATTCATCTGCCAGACTTCTGTTATTTCTGTTATTTCATTTATTTTCTTGTTATTAGACTCAAGCTCACGGTGGTCATGCGAATGATTCAGGTCAACACAGAAATGATATTCACTACCTAAATGCGAACCCGGTCACCAATACACAATTGCTAATCATCAGGTTCCTCACTTATGAAATGACTTGACCTTCTCCATTTCATCCCAACTTCCCATAAAGATACCTGACCTATCGTGGATACTCTCTGGTACTACCTCCATCATTCTTTCCATTTTGCTATTGAGTGCTTGGCCGCCGGCTGGAAAGTGTTGTGTTAGTTATGTGTTTGAATATAGAAGATAAAGATTTGGTGATATACAAAAGGGAGAGTAACGAAAAGATAGGGATATGAAATAGGGAGAAAATAGAGGAGACATACCATTCTCAAAAACCATAGCCATAGGTGCACACTCGTACAAAATTCTCAACTTTCCCTTGGGACTCTTTTTATCCGCCGGATAGGCAAAAATACCTCCATACAACAATGTTCTATAGGCATCTGCCACCATACTTCCAATATATCTCGCGCTATAGGGTTTCCCACCTTCGACTTCGGGGTATTTTAATGAGTTGAAGTAGTTTTTGGTGGAGTCTTCCCAGTAGAGGGAATTTCCCTCGTTGACTGAGTAGATAGATCGCTGTTTGGGTAATTTCATATCGGGATGTGTGAGGATGAATTCTCCTAATGCGTTGTCCATTGTGAAACCATTGACGCCGCCTCCCTTCATTGTGATAACCAATTGGGCCGAGGCGCCGTACATGGTGAAGCCTGCAGCGATGAGTTCGGTACCGGGTTTGAGAAGATCTTCTTTGGTGCCTGTGGAGCCCTCTTCGAGTTTGTGGATGCCGAAGATGGTGCCGACGGAGACACCAGCGTCGAGGTTGGATGATCCGTCTATGGGGTCGCATGCTACGGCGTAGCGGGCGCCTTTGGCTTCGGGGAAGAAGATGGCTTCTTCTTCTTCTTCCGAAACGAGGACGGCACATTTTCCGGAAGACCTCATCGCGGCGATGAAGAGGTCATTGCCGATAACGTCGAGTTTCTTTTGGTCATCGCCGGTGACGTTGCTGGATCCCGCGAGTCCGGTTAAGTTGATGAGCGTGGCGCGGCGGATGTAGTATGCTATCGATTTGAAGGAGAATTGGAGGGCATGGCAGAGAAGTCTAGTTCTTGTTAAATGTCCATAATTTTAGAAAGTTGGATATTGTAGGAAGCATACGTGAAATCTCCGGTTGCTTCCTTGACTTTTGCTTGCTCTTCGGTGAGAAAACGAGTAAGGGTAACAATATCTATGTTAATGTGCTCTGTCGAGCCTTGATCACCGCCGGGAGACATTTTGAGGGTATTGAGAAATGGGCTTTTGAATTGAGGAATGTGTAAGGGAATAGAAAGTGTTGTTGAGGCGTTTCAAAGTGTGTCTTGTTGTTTGTATTTATTACTGGACCTCGGGTCTACGCGGGAATGAATTCCGGAAACAAGTGTTCGCTGATATTGGGATAGGACGACAAGGCCGGGTAGCTCGTAACGTGGGGAAAATATGGAGAGAGAGAGAGAGAGAGAGAGAGAGAGAGAGAGTAAATGAAAGAAAGAAGAATGAAAAGGAGAGGGACAGAAAGGGGAAATAAGTACTTTTTCCCCTTTTTTATATCATATTATCATATATAGGCATTAGATCGACAACTTCATACAATATTGGAGCTGATCCCCTCAACTTTTGAATGCTGTTCTCAGAATGTTGGCTCTTTCCAAGCCCCCCACGAAGCCCCGCACTCAGGTCCCGTAATGTCACGGTGTGTGTTGCTTTGTTCGTTCAATGCCCCGCGCTAAATGGATCAGAGGAATGGGGGGCCGTAAAGCGGTAAACTGCAAAACCACAAACGCAACATGAGTAGTAACATGACAATGATTTTTTTGGTTGAATCGGTTGGACGAGAAACATAACTCCTATGGTTGGTAACACTATCGGTCTGGAATCATAATTTAATCGTCTCTCTTTTCCGTTCGCAAGAATGTTTTTCCATCAGAAATGAGGTTAGTTTTCGGCGTTAAATATAAAAGACGGTGAGATATGGCAAAATCAGACGCTTGCCAAAAACATGTCTTGATCACGTGAGGTAGTGGAATCGCATAATTTCTTCCTCAGGTTGCATCTAGCTGGCTGGCGCTAAACCACGAACTAGTTTAGCGCGCGAATAAACTTTTCAAAAGCTACAAAAGGTTTTCGTTTTCTGCCAACTTGTCAAAATTTTTATTCCTCAACACAACAACTAACAATTCTGCTTCATGCAGTATGGACTGAATTGGAATGATTCAACTCATTCCAATTCAATCCAATTCATCATAATGGTAAGCGCATCTATCTCTTCTTCCTTTTCCTTCATTATATGATGACAAAATACAACCGCAAACTAGAGTCTTTGATCCCTCGGGAAATGAAACTTTTGTAACACGTCAGTCTGATATTGGATCATAAATTTTTACTCATTTTAGCATTTCGATGACTTCGAACCATTGCTAATAATCGAGATAGATGTCAATTTGATGCTTTTCGCAATTGCTATAATATCTTTCTTCGAGGCATTCTTGCTCATCTATCAAATTGTAAGCTTTCTCTGTTTACCTTTTTCTCCCCAACATATAATTTGTGATGATGATCAGTTTGTGCTTTGCACGCTGGAAATTACCGACTGAAGTCCTCGGACTTTTGACGACAAAAAAGGCTGAAACTGAGCAAATTCTCCCAACCCAATTTCAATTGATACTTTTTGAATCTGAGTTGATGCTGACTATATTCTAAGATTAGATGAGCCCATTGATAATGAGGTACGACTCAACCCTCTTCCTTCCAATACCACACAACTGCACAAAATGATGAATGGCACTGGGCTCCGACAGTTCCAAAATGGTTCTGGTCTTGATGGATATGCCTCTTTGCGGCAGGCCTAGAAAACCTCGCCCACTGATTTCAGACATCTTACCAACATTTGTTGTACAAGTTTGACATATGGTTTCTGATTTGGAAACAGGCTGGGATGAATACCTTCAGCATTCGTCATGTGTTCCAGATCTTGATTGATGCTGGAGCACGAACGCCTTAACTTTTCTGAGGCTTGGCCCTCTAGGTAAATAACCATTTTCTCTTTTTAAATTGTACTCTTTATGATGAGCATTTTTAGATGACGAGTCTGATTGGAGTTTTCCATGTTGACAACATCAAAATTAAACCATTCATGCCTTCTGAATTTCGACCAAAAACCTTATCTATTATTCATTGTGTTCAAGGCATGTGCTAATGCCAAACTTGCAGGTACCTAATGCGTTGCCATGCTCCTTCATTGTGGCCGCTGCTATGATTTCAATCTAGTTGGTAAGGACTCTCTTTTCAAAAACATTCATACAGGCCTCGAGCATTCTGATGACATCGATCGACAATGACAAGCATATGTCCTAGCCTCACGGTTGTGACGAGCCTATCTTAACTGAATATGCTTATGCTATTAATGACTTGAATCTCAATTATGGCCATTGCTAACGATCAATGTTCAGATTCATCATTCCCATGATGTTACAACTTGCGTTGATATTATTATCCTAATCCCAAATGGATGTATATATTGCATGGTATGTTGTTACTTTTTATTCCGTATTCTTCCTTCCTCTCTACTCCTTACATGATGATTATTTATCACGACGGTCGACATATCCACACGTTGGTAATTGATGAAACTGCCTATGACTGGGCTTTTGATCTGATATTTCTTTCTGTCCACATTGTACATGTTGCTTCTTAATAATGGAACCTTCGCTGATAATCCGCACAGATGACATTTACACTAGGGTGATGCCTATTTATTTTCATTGCGATACATGGCTTGCCATGTACGTGAAGAAGATGTTACATTTCCATATTTGTTTGGATTTTCTACAAGACAAGCCACTCTCCGATCTATCATCCATCACACCGTCTCGGTATTTCAGCACATGAGCAGTCATCAAATATTAGATATTTCTTTGGTTGACACAAACATACGATATTAACTGAGCTATTTGAGTCTGCTTCTCCACTCCGCAGAGGGGTATCCCTAATTCTGACCATATCATGAACCTAAAGTTTAGACCTGACACTGTTCCCATTCATTACCATTCATTATCATTTCCCCCAAAAGCGCAAAGGTCCCCATACATAGCCACCCAATAATACGCAAAAGCTTAGACTCCTAGAAACCTGCAACACACTCCTTGGTATCATTTATGTTGCTGTAAAAGGATTCTCCCCACTCGCTGTTCTCCCTATGACCATCTACAACATATCCTCCCCATTCGAACCATCGCATGAACATCAATGCAACCCCCATGCCCATCTCCCGGAAACGCATTATCCAGCGCCATGTAATCCAATAAGTCCATGCCTCCCACGTTAACCCCGTCGGCCGTCTGCGTAATATTCACCTGACTATTGAGATCTTGGTAAAAGGCGGAGCCCGGAGGTAGATACCACATTTCATCGTTGCTGTTATTGTTACCCCAATCATTGTTACCCGAACCTGGTGCGCCGAATATCGAGTACGTGGAGTCGCCGTTGAAGGATGGGCCGCCGGGGGCTGCAGAATAGTGGGTGCCGGCGTAGAAATCACCTTGATTGAGGTCGTAGGGGGTGGCGGAAAGGTTGAGGTCTGTGTTGGGTCTGGTTAGAGTGGGGGTTCTGAGAGGTGTTGAGGTCGTGGACTTACCTGGAGCATTCGACAAGTGGTAACTTGGTAGGCCATCATTCCAATCTCCAACTGGATCAGCCGGATTCCGCCTCTGTCTCTTTGGATCCGATTCTTGAGGGAGTGCCGGAGTACGAGTTCTACTCGCAGTTTCTCCTGAAGGGGGAGGAACTTCAGGGGCGCTGATGAAGCGGCTTCGAAGTCGAGATGTCAAAGTTTCTAGTAAGTCCGCAAATCGGATGCCGAGATGGACATCATCGACGACACAGTTGCGGAGTGCATCAACAGCAGCATCCATAAGGCTGATACTTATCTCAACGTCATGTTTGGATGCTCCCAAAGCAAATGTTTTCAACAAAAACATGGCGCCACTGATAATTCTGAAGTATGTTCGAACAGGAGCATGCTTAAGGTAATCGTTCGGTAGTAGCCCCTCTACGACGGTACGTAGTAGGTTGCGACATCCCTCAACGACTTCTCTCACATATCCCTGGTCTGTAGCTCCAAACCCGCCGAGTCTTGCTAAAGGTAGCTTTCCAAAGTAATTTTGGGTCTCTGGGGACATGGCACTACCTACTGGTAAGCCCAAGTCATTGGCAGTGTTTGTTCGATTGGTTGCATTGCTCGTGCATCTTTCGACAACAGCCTGTAAGGAGAGAGAGTTGATGTATATTCTAACATACTCATACTCTATAGTCAGAATATGTCGAATGTATAGAGGTAATCCAAATCTGTCGAATTCGCGTTTCCATGAGCTTAACATTGGCTGGAAATCCTTAAGTAGATCTGTATAACTGCCGTCCTGGATGATCTTGGTCGTATGTTGCCTAGATCTGAATATTTTTTCATTTCCGATGCGCATAGCATTACTGATACCGGCCCAGCAATGGATAATTTGATCGTCCAATTCTAAGTCGGGGATATAGTTAAAATTTGTAGCAGAGGTTGTATTGGTTTCGGGAGTTTTACCGTCGGTTGATAATCTGCGTTTTCGTGGAGCAAGAGCAGGATCTGTTTTCCGCAGATTTTCAGGAACCATATTAGTCCAACCTAAACGTCCTGCTAATTGCGTAACATAGATTAGCAATAGACGTTTGATCCTTGCAGCTCTCAAACGATATGATTCCTCATTGTACTCTGGTCGTGTCATCTCTCCACCATCAGCCAACGATTCATCAATATCATCGAAAACACCTAATTCGTAGCCAAGACCCATGGCGGTACTCAGCAACATCCAACACATTCGATCACTTCTCCAAGCAGGTTCCAACCAACCTTCGATTCTTCGCCCACCAACACCACCAGGTAGACGGTGGCCACCCTCATCATCCGTATTGTAGGCGTCTTCCTTGTCAGGAATTGGTAACATAAGTTCATCAGTTGCTTCCGCGGGAGGAAAATGAAGAGCACGAGGATGCCACTCTGTTAAGACCATAAGACTTTCGATTGTACCAAGAGTTCGAAGACTTCCTTTTCGAAGTCCTCTCCATGGTGCAGTGCTTGATGTGAGAGAAGCCTCTGCCCCGGAACCGCAGAATCCACCACCAAATGCCTCTTGACCCCAAAGACATCTCTCAATCATGCCTCTCAAGTAGGTCCAAAGCTGTTCATGAATCGCGTGCGATCTACAATGTCCTCCGGCTCCAGATATCTTCATATACCGGCTCGAAATTGTCAATAATGTCACTGTAAGAATTGGTTCTTCGGTTAGAAGCATAGGGTGGGTGTATGGTTCCTTGAAGGTGGGAGGAGAGATGGGTGTTAGTGGTGACAAGAATTCATAATAGCTAAGCAACAATTAGCATTGGTATCAGTATATAGTAGGAAATCCTTACTAAGTTATGTATTGAATTGCTTCCACTGCGGTGAACCACCCTGCACGAACAAACCTAAATCTCGACCAAGCCTTGATTGCATCCTGGTATCCCAGATCATGGTCTCTCTCCAAAGGGATAGTACTACCAGATGATAATGTAGGGTCAATTGAAGCTTCTGGTCTTATAGTTGTGTGTCGCATGTGGCTTATAGGAAACGAAGTATGCTGAGGTGCAGGGCCTTGATAATTCTGTGAGGCAGACTGTGCTCTATGTCCAATTCTAGGAGATTCTTGGTTGTTACTATCAAGTCGTGGTCTTTTGTGGCCGGGACTATAGGAAATGTCAGTATCATTGCTTCATGAAAGGAAAGCATTCCCAAATCATCTAGCTAGATTCGACTAGGACCACATCCTCTCATCTGAGCATGAAAGACTGTAGTATTATGTGGAACGGCGATGGGACAGCAATTATTCCAGATGAAAGACTCAACATACTCATCAGTGGCAGCTTTGTAAAGGAGATCCAAAGCATCATGTGGGCCATACACCTCCTGCCTCATAACTTCTTGTGCCTCTGGATTTTCTACATTCTCGTCTCTTTCTTCTTGTTCCTGTGAATCCGATCGAGGTCTTCGCAATGGCTGGGTTCTTCCGATAGAACCACCTGGGGTAAGAGGTGGTCCAGTATCCAGACGTGCACTGTCTGGAAATGCACCAGTTGTTGATCGAGCAGAAGGGGGGGCTCCCATAGATGTTTGTCTGTAGGTGGCAGGAGGGGAACCAGAAACCATCTTTCGGCCATTGCGTGTTACATAGTCATCGGCAAACTCATTGTCAACACTATTCTCTCTACTCCCATCTGCCTTCCTCTTTCTTCTTGTAGCCGAAAAGTAGCATTCTTTGCTTTCACGTCGACATCGTACACATGGTGGATCACTTGGATTATCGACACTTCCTAAATCACATCTCACTTTGCGACGACGACTATAATTGTATTAGATCGGTCTGAGGTAAGATATGCAGATAAAATTGCTTACCATGGAATGCAAGCCTGGTAGATTCTTTTATGGTTCCCTCCTACTCAAAGATCAGTCAGTCTGCATATACAATTGTGCCAGTGATGCCTTGTGCGACAGTAGACATTGGGTAGACATTGGATAGAGCGTCGCAAGGTCCACTGACCATTTTGCGCCTTGGAATTCTGCTGACCAGTAGAAAGTGTGCCATCATTATTCCGTTCACTCTGTTTCTCCTGCTGTGTAAAATTAGTCGTCGGCGCCGACATGATAATAAAGTATTGAAGCTCTTCGCTTTCCCACGGTTTAGGCTTTGCGTTGTTTTCCGAGATAAGATCGTAAGGGCGTCGCAAAGCGTAAAATGGTGGATGGTGGGTGGTGGGGTGGATACAAAATCAACAATTGCAAGGAACTAATTAACCTTAAGCCTAGGTACTTGTACAAGAACTTACAAGTATTGTAGTACTCTAGCAAAGTTAAAAAGGAGGGACCCAATCATCAAGTCTTGAAGAGTAATAAATTGTGAGTTGGAGAAGAATGTTTTCTGAACGGAATTCCCATGTAGATGTTCCGAATCTTTATCTTATTAAGACCTTCCTGTAAAAGTAAAGAGTAATTATATTTAACTAGCCATTTTGGGTAAAGCTGTATATCCGAAGCTACCAATCTTTAATGTATATATGTATTTCTAATTCGGACAATTAAGGCTAAAATCAATCTTCGTATTCACTTCATTTGCATTTGCCAAAGTTTGATTGGACACATCCAGAGGATGGTAATAAAATATAAAATTTGAGTTACCCCTCCTTTCGTCTAACATCTAATTTGTATGACCTAGGGCTTTCAATCATCTAATAAGGGGAAGAAAACTTCAGAATCTTGTATGGACATTCTTGCATGGACATTCATACAAGCATGTCCAATTCTGAGTTCATTCAAAGGGTCAGATCCATAAGCAACATAATTATTTAGCATATCAATGGTTGATGATTTTTAATATTCTAAAGAAAAGACATGTACAATCTATTATAAAGCTCAAGCAATTAGGATGTCTTGGGGGCTATCAGAAGAGAGACAAGCTACATTACCTCTAAATACAAAATAGTTCTATTCCTTTGCTAAAATGGTCTTTCATCATTTCTTTTGGACATTTCTAGACTGCTGGTGAATGGACACCTACCTGAACTTCATTGGCTTTGCAAATTTCCATAAGTAATACAAATTCAGACCAAGTGGTATATAATTTGAAAGGAAAGTCTCTTACATCCCACCAAGAATGCCATCCATGTATATACCAAGAAACTACGGAACCTGGCTTCCAATACCTTGCTTTCAATACTCTATGCCCAAATCCCTAATTCAAAAATGCCATCCCTTCAATCTCATCATCGAAACTTAACATCTCATTCACTCCTATCATCCTCCCTCGTCCTCCCCAAACCCTCACCAGCTCTCTCCCCTCAATCTTTTTCTATACCCTCACCTTCCCAAAAGCCACCTCCCTCCTCCCCAAGTCAAACACCCCATACCAATTCCTTAAAAACCCACTTCCTAATATGATATTCTTGACTTGCCCATCCTCCCCATTCTCCTCTTCCCTCGCCATAAACAATGACACACATCTATGACCCCCTATATCTTCCCTATCCACTTCTAACGTGTATTCATAGGGCGTCAATGGGAATTCATGCTCCCCGAGATACAGCGTAATAACCGGTAAAGTTTCTCTCCGGGAACAAGGGATAGAGGGTGGGATATCGTATCCGTGGAGCTCCATTTCAAGATAGTTGTGCAGTGAAAAGACGAGAGAGGAGGGGAGCCCAATGCCGGGGTATGAGGTTTCGAGAAGCGCGATATAGGGGCGGAGGTTGTAGGAGGAGCATGTACCGGAGATGGTTAGGGATTTGCAGGGGATTTGCCAGCGGTTGGTTATTGGATCTAGGAGATTTGTGGATTGCTTTTGCGTTGAGGTGACGCTTAGGAGGGGAAGAGGTTTTAGGAGACCGGTGTAGAGGGTGTGGTTTATTGTGCCGAAGGTGAGGAGGCCAGGGGTGTCTAGGGTTTGGGGGAGGAGAAGAGTGAATAGTGGGTTTGGGAGTAGGTTCTGAGAGCGTAGATTGAGGAAAAGGTTCGAAATGGAGTTTGAAGAATAGTCGGATGAGGGGCCTAGTCCAATAAAGCCATCCCATTCCAGATTACCCCAATCGGGATCCGTGAATTGTCTTATACTATCGATGGCGCCGAATTGTTGTTGTAGAATTACAAGACCGGCGAAATTAATGGTATCGGAGGTTAAATTGCCAAATGTAGAACAGCGTCCATAGTCCATAGTAAAGAGAGTATCTGTCATTTCTTGCGTACTCGATAAGGAGTAGTTGTAGAGTTGGTTGTGAGAACTACATGTATTCGTGCAGTCGGTTGACAGCAGGAACATGTCATTGTCAGAGATAGAAAGAAGAGCTCGTGAATTCTGTCGTGGGCTCCCAACTTCTAGATCTATGACATATACAAGTTCATTCCAATCCTGTATTTTGATCAATATCATCATATAAGACCCGCTGTGTTGGAAGACTTACCCATTCCGGTACTCCACTCCCGTGATTTGCTTTCCTGTGACCAACTACTCCTTCCCTCGTGGCCGCCAAATACTCCTCATCATTCTTCACACCTCCAACTGGATTCTTTAACCTCTTCTGCCCCCCTTCACCATGATCGCCACTCCTTGAAGCCCGAGTCCTCTCTTCCTTCACTTCACTATTCCTATGACTATTAGATCTACTCCTCGCAATCCTATCTTCTCTCACCACTGCCCTTTTCGTTTGTGCAAAAGTCGAGTTTCTTGCTATAGAGTAGATGGGTGTTGAAAATATCTCCGCTTGAATTAATGTAGCTGTACATGCCACACAAACCATTCCTAAGTCCGAGATCTTCATGTTTTTGGCCTTCGGTGTATTTTCTTGTTGTTTCTTCCTTGTCTTCTATTGTTACTCACTCCGGATTGAAGCATATGAGTACCGACTGACTAAATAAGTCTTGCTTTGAGTAATAATCTGTGAATCACCGAAATCATCAAGATGATACCAGCAACAAGAACAAGTGAATGAATGCAAGAGAGGAACAAATATCTGAACAGCACACATACAACAGGTAAAAACGAAAAATAAAAAAACTAGGATATGAAACAAATCCTTCGAGAAATATACGGGACTATATCAACAGACAGACCTCTCCAACTTCATATAGTGTTGATTTTGAGGCATATCATTATTGCAGCTGCGCCACCCCTGACTTTTTGTCATATAAATTCCCTAATACCCACAGCTTATTTGTAGCCTTGTAGGCGGGTATGCAATAATGCGGCGATGGGTATATTTTTAATCTTATTCCATGGGTAGTAGCCTGGAATTGTTGGTTCGAACAAAATGATACCATTAGAATGAACATTTTGGCGAAACGTGATGGATAGAATTCCAGACATTCGGATAAGCGCTATGGTGGTGTCCAGGTTTAGATTGGCGCGGTGATTTGGCCTGCATTTAACCGCTCGAATTGCGATGCGACGTTCCAGGGGGGGGCGAGCACGTGCAGTGAACAAAAAAGTATGGGTCCGGTCTAGATCGTTGTAAGGTTCTAAAATGGTCAGTTGGCAATTTCGTGAATATGTCTTCGTATCATATCTCTCGCTCACTGCCCTCAAATTTGCCAAATTATTTTCCTCGTAGACTTAAAATGGCAATCTGTTCTTTCCATGCGTACTTTCGATACCGAAACCAAAAGTTAAATCTCATGGCAAAAACTGCGTCGTTAAGCGAATTATATATTATATCCTGCAGCAAGAGCCGATACTCATAGGCCTAGGTGAAGTTCCAAAGACCAGCCAAACTACATGTGTGTCGTAAAGGGTGGATTGGGCGCAAGTAGACGAGTATACTTCCTAATAATACCCTCATCAGCGGATCTAATGCATATAGTACTCCCGCTAATGTAATATCATACCCGTGCCTGTAAGCTAGAAGACGATGCTGGCAATTATGAAGATTATGTAGGTTATTGCCCTGCTATAATGCTCTATTTTCATAATAGCTTGTGAATCAACTACGGCAAATCGATAGTGATGCTTCCATTGATCTTTGACGCACCTATCCCTAATCTTTTCTCGACAGCGAATTGGGATTCCCGATCTTTTAGACTGTAGTCAAACAATGAAGGACTCTTAGATTCGTTTGTGTATCAAGACCATTTGGTATGCTGGATTTATCTGGTACATCAAATACACTCAAAACGCTAGATTAAATACAACGATTCACAACTTTCTGAACATTGAAAGCTTTCGGATCTGGGCTGCAGCCCAGGCGATTGATAATTATGCAGTGAATTGTTTATAATCGTGCCGTCAAAGGGTGGTAGAGCAAGAAATACGCCATTAGCCGTCAACAGAACCACCCCAAACATACACATTGTGCAAGACTGACTGATTGTGAGGTAGATAAGTATTGAGATTTATGGTACTTGCAAACTGTACTGTTTGGAAAGGGGTATCTGTTATCGAGGTCTCTTACAGGTACCGGCACTACTTGTGATGAGTTCAACTTTGACAAGTTGTGGGCATGATTAGCCCCATCTATCTAGTGGAGACGCTTCTCGTTGCGACCTTCGGGAGTGTTTATCAGGATCTAAATCGACCGCGAGCACTAGCGCCGGATAGCCGTAAACTGACAGGATATTCGAATCACCATGTTCGAATCCTCTCTTCAAAAAGGCCGAGATGACTGCAGACTTGTGATAAACATAGGAGACATTCTTTGTCAAAACTCATGTTCGTCGAACAACTCATGGAGAAATTTATATGCCCACCTGGTACACATATTGATCCGGCCGTGATCCAGTTATTAGCGAGAATTGTCAGACAGCTTGATGGACAACGCAGCTGTGAACGTCGTTTGATCAATTATTTGTGGCAGTCAGGAAGGCATTATCTCGCCATCTATGCCCTCGCGTTTTATCAAAACATTCGACAAAAACGATACACAAAAGCTCAAAGGCTAGCGTGGTTGGAATGGAATGCACAGGACTACTGCAAATTCCCAATGTCAATGAAGATGTTTTTATCGCATCCACGATTATAAAGTCTGATCCATAATAGGGATGTGTTCTGGATTGTAACCACCATAATCCGTCAGGAGTGGTCTTAAGGGCGCCATCGAAACTCTTGTAGAGGTGGCGAAGAGCCCAAATCTTGTTGCATATCCTTATTCCTGGGCAAAGGGTAATCCCCGCTCGTGCTTCATAATCAAATTGGCAAAGAGAATGTACATAAAGTAGTTCGTCCTACGTACCGATGGCATCATTAGCAAATCCTAGCCAATTCGCTTGAGTATCAATCCATTATCGTGAAAAGAGGAATCGGAAAACTGTCGCGAAGACCCTCGTATAGGCGATGACGGTTAATACCAGTACGTTCCTACCAATATTGACATCTTCCGAGAATGGAAGCGGCCTCAATATAACAAGTTCGAAGACCCACATACCATTACTTACTCTGTAAATAAAGTGAATGTTGTCGAAACATGTCATAAACTTTCGCTCTCTACTCCCTTCTGACACCTTGATCAAGTATAGCACAGTCACACTCGAGAGCACGTTTTCAAGTTGTGGGCTTCCGCAAATTTGGACAGAATTATTGATTTCGAGCATTAAATATGTCGGCCCTCTCCTCTTGCGCCCATGTGTGGATTCAACAAAGCCAATTAGGAGAACTTCCGCCACTTTATCTCAGCAGCCGCTCATCAGAGTCCAAATTGAAGCATATGGAACACCAATGGGACCAAGTTATTCAACAGTCCCGAGATATGCATGGTGCAGAGGCCTTGGACATGATAATGCTCCAAGAAGAGTTGGAGAAGGGGATGTCGAAGGAAAAGAGAATTGCGGTACAAAATTCCGTCATCAGTGTGAAAGATGCAGAAAGGAGAGCTGTGTTGACTCAGGGCCCCCTTGGATGCAAAATGGCGGATTCCGTAAGAACTGAATGGAACAGACCCTCTTGGCATGAAAAGACGCTAAACGTTCCGTTCTATTCTGATTTATTCTGATTTTATATATATTTTTTGGTGGTGCGGATTAAAAAGTGAAGATTGCTAAAAGGTGTCTTCATTGATCTGTTGAATATTCTGTATTTTCTACAGAGCCTTATAGGCTATCATAGCCTATAGTTTCAAAATAAAATCCGGAACTATCTCTACCTCCGCTTTGACTCCACTTTGAAGCTATTCCCACTTTCGCTTAGCAAACCATTCAAAAAATAAAGCTATCCTTTAATCGATGATGATCTTCTAAAAAGCTTTCAATCCCTATTTAAGATCTTCAACTTGCTCCACTTCTATTCATTCAATCAAGATATATGAAGATTTTAGCATCCGAGTGATAAAATGGTTCCGGGTTATTCTATACTATTCCTATAAAATATAACTTTTCCGGAATCCGGGTTTTTTAAAAAGAGCAGGAGAGCCAGGAATAAATGCTAGAATTTTGCATCCAAGGGGGCCCTGAGGTCTGGTTGGCGAGGTTTCCGGGATTTATGCTAAGAACCGATAGATTGGCGGCTACTAGAGTCACGGATACGAAGAAAAGGCCGTGGCCGTGGGTGGTTGGCAACCATGGCTTAGGGAATGGAAGTTCTGGTGATTCAAGTACGAGGAGTCGATGTGGGGAGGCAATCGATATAAGACATAATATGTTGACTGACGAAAGATATATAAAGCAGTGCGCTGATTTCCGGTGGCAAAAAATGAAACAGGTAGTCGTCATTTTTGCATAAGCAAAGATAACTTCCGTCTATGCGTTATCCCCAGAACGTATCCGAAGTTTGGCGCGAACTGATATCAATAAATTGCCGGATGCCGGGCTCTTGGTTTTTTCAACCTGCCGCTCTAGCCAATTTTTGTGATGTGCGGCCGCTTTGCGCATCCTTTTCAACTTCATTTGATACCCCTTTCTCATCCTTTACTTCCCGCATGAGACCTGTAGGATAACAATTATCAATACTCTTTCCGTATTAACGGAGTCAAACATATTTTTGAAGGTCTTTGGCAACATTGCCTTCAAACGGGTGAGGAGTCGAAACGGAGCCATTCAATGTTCGAGACAGTGTTGGACAATGAGAACTCAAGTTCAAAATAGTGGTATTGAACAATAAAGATCGACCATGTAAAGAGTCAAGTCCACCATCAAGTTTTAAGTGAAGAAGGTCTTGTGTATGGGTGTTGTTACCGGGAACATTTGAGGTGGCCGGGGATCAATCGATCTCCAAGTAGATATTGACAAAGTCTGTTTTGGTATCTGAATAGTCTATTTTGGTATATTCAGTTGGAGTAGAATCCTCTCCTTCGAAGGAAATATGCAGTAATTTATTTTTTGAGACTCATTCATTATAGGAATAGACTATATTGGGGTTTGCAGTGGTATGCCTGGTCAGCTTAGCCACAAGAAATTGCTTGATTCAATAGCCATTCTCGTAAGAAATGTGGTGTTTAATTTGCCCCTCCCCCCCTCAAGTGGTTTCCTTCCCAATAGGCGACCAGTAAGCATATCAATTCTGAAAATATATCGAAAAATATGACCAGAGCAGCCACTCGAATCATATTGGCTCCAATGCATGCATTGACCGGTAAGTTCAAGGAATTCGTGTATGTCACTATCGTTCCAATAATGTAGTTCAAGAATTACCTTATGAATCAAATGAAAACTTCATTCAAAGCAGGAAAAAACCAGGGTCATTTATTATCAGCCAGACCCCTTTGTTATTCATTTTTTTTGGTACGTATGTGGGCCTCAAACGGCTTGGTTTATGAAGTGATGGGACTTCAGATGATTTGATGATCCTGATGGGTAAGGATTGCAAACAGATCGAAGGTGGCATCAATGCTAAGAAAACCAATCTTATTATCAAAGAGTTTCTTCACAGAGATTCTTCACGAACTCCAAACACCTGCACTTGAACATCTTGAGACGCTTTTGTCTCTTGCTATACTCTAGCATGGCAAGCTACTGCTTTCAAAGTACGGCAATGAACTTGAAAAGGAGATTTTTCAGTGTAGGTAGGTCAGCGAGATCACAAGCTACAATATCATCCCCAAAACCTGTTATTACACATAACCGCTTCGGAATACGACACCTCATCAACCGTTCACCTGCACCCAAATATCTAGCTTCATCGCTCGCAAATCTAGCTGCATCAATCACTAGAGAGACAGAAAGACTCAATGCGTACTTGAAAGATAAGCTTCGACGTCAATTCTGCGGTGGCATTTCCAAGACTACCCGAAGATTTGAGAAAGTCGAGAGAGGAAATAATCATGGCTACAAAGGAGTTGGGTGATCTTGTTAAGGGAGCGAAAGAAGGACTTAGATGGTTGGCTTGGGATGTATGTATATTTTCCATACATTTAAAACAATAATTAACTAATCATTTGCAGTTCTACGACGTACTTTCGCTTGGAGCCATATATCATTATGGTATAGGTACAAGCATAAGCCTCGTTTCTCTTTGGTCAAATAAACGTAATTTTTGGATAGCCAAAGCCTTTCCACTACAACGCACTGTGACTTTTGAAGAAAATGCGCAGAAAGTTGGATTGGACGTCAACGTAAGAAGATTCATGCGCCATGCGATGACAAAAAGGATATTCCAGGAGGTTGAGCCAGAAGTAGTAGCACATACAGTTGCTAGTAAGATGTTAGCAGAAGATCAGTCGATGATGGACTGGGTTGGAGTTTGTGTGGAGGAAGTTTGGCCGGTACGTTGATATTCCGAGTTGACAGTGTTCCTACTTCCTTCATGGATTGACTCCTTCTAGGGTGCAGAAAGAACAATAGAGGCCCTCACACAGTATCCTTCAGCCTCCGAGCTCACTCAGACAGGCTTTTGTCTCGCCAACGGAACTACTAATAGGTATTGAACCTCTGTTCGCCCCCCTCGGAAAATGCCCTCTTCGTGCAAAACGTTTCGGGAAAGCCATGACATCTTTCACCAGCGGCAAAGGCTACGAAGTATCTCACCTGATCGACAATTATGACTGGGCTTCCTTCAACTCTCATTCCGGTACCATCGTGGATCTCGGCGGTTCTCATGGTTTCGTCTGCATAGAATTAGCCAGAAGATTCTCCAACCTCAAGCTCATTGTCCAAGATTTGTCAATAACAATCGCGACTGCACCTGCGCTTGATGCCTCCCTGTCGACCAGAATCATGTACATGGTCCATGATTTCCATAATCCTCAACCCATCAAAAACGCAGATGTACATTTGATCCGTTGAATTGTGTATTACCACAGGAATAAATGCGCAGCAAATATGCCATGTCAACACAAACCAGCATCAAAGAAAGGAGCAAGAGTTCTTATCGACGATTATTGTCTCCCCGAGGCGGGAAAATATTATACAGCAGTGGAGGTAAAAGCTATGAGGACTATGGATTTGAACATGTTGTCAACTTTGAATGCCCAAGAGAGAGGAGAAAGTGATTGGGACGAGTTGTTCGGCGGAGTCAAGGGCTTTAGGTTTTTGGGGGTGAAGAGACCAGTTGGATGTAGAATGAGCTTGATTGAGGCGGTTTGGGAAGGAGAGGAAAGTGATGAATAGTAGTGGAAACTATCCTGCTGAGAAGATATCTTGATTATCAGCTAGGTATCAAGATGATTAATGTCGAAAACAGCTCGGCCGACTTTTGTACAGACAACAATATTAACCTTAAATCCTTAGTGTCTCAGATGCATACTAAAAAGACTAAAAACCCCAAGAAAACAAACAAAGTGAAAACTCGGCTCAGCGACATTTTAAGCCCGTCGTCTTTAATTACTTTTGATCAAAAGATGCCCTAGACTCCCTACCCACCGACGCCTATCCATGCATCACTCGGGTATTGCCAATTTGACATACAACATAAAAAGTGCTAGCCACAAATAACCCGCATCCCGCAAGAAATAATCAGAGCATATCCGTATTCGGAACCCAAAATAAAACTTCCTGGTCTGCCGTAGCGAAATGGTTGTACTTGGGGTTGAAAGCTACAATTGCCGAATCTCCTGCATATTCCAACTCATGCAATGGGTCGAGCAGTCGAGTTGTCGTAGCTGCAAGTGTATCCCATACCAACACATTCTTGCCTCGGGATCCACTGATTACATATCTTCCATCGGGAGTAAAACAGCAGTCTCCTGTACTGGTGTGGATATATTCACTCGATGAAGGATCCAAATTATCTGGATTGTGGTCGCCTGCTCCTAATCTTCTTGCACCGCCTCTATCCCTCCTCAAAAATGCCTTTAGATGTCCATCAAATGCATCCAATAAGAAGTGGCCATTCCCGGTCGTGCCTAGTAATAAGTGTTTCCCATCATTCGAAAATGCCAGTTTGTTCCACCCTCTTCCAATTGCTTGCGGAGAAAATTCTTGACAAAATGGTAATATGTCAAAGGTAGCAAAAGGCTCCTTATCGAAGTTGCGGAAGTCATAAAGTAAAATGGACTGAGCAAGCGGAGAAGCAGTTGCAAATACGTTTCCGGAAGGGTCCCATGCGGCGAGATGAACACCAGTAAGATTCAGAATACCAGCTGGGTTGTTGGAAGCTGCATCCCATATTCGAAGAGTGTTGTCTTCAGAGCAAGAAATGAAATTGTCCTGGCCCGGGTGGAGCGATAGACATGTGACATTTTGCTCATGGCCTTCAAAGTAACGTATGTAGGAGTTATCATGGGCTGAAAGGTAACGTATTTTATCTATGTTTTTGCTTATTAGCTTTGCTTTGCTATGACTGGAAGTTAGGTTGTAACTTGCGGTCTTTCTTAGTACTAGAATGTATTATACAATGTTCGGCATGGCCAAACATTGCATGATTACACCCATACTTGGCACTAATATTCATCTTTGAGTGTCTCCCATCGAGAACATCATAAATTTGCATAGTATTATCAGTTTCTGATGTGATAAGCTGACTGCCATTGTCATTGAAGTTAACAGACTGTATGAAGTTAAAACTGGGGGGAGTTTGGCCCTTGTCTGCAGGTGTCGGAGAATGGCGGAAGAGCTTGATGAATTAGTAATTACTCTTGGCTGACTAGCTGGCTAGAATCAAACTCACCTTGACCGGATTGTACAGAGAGATCATCTCCGTGAGTTTGGCGGTTGATGGGGCTGATGAAACTCCATTTACTTTCAATATGGAATTCCCGTTTGCTCCTATCGGAGAGTCAATCATCATAGGAGTGGATGACATATTGTTTGTTGATACCGGTAGCCTTTATTTTATTTTACTGTGGTATAAATAAACTTCAGGAAGAAGAACATGTTTTGATCTTGATTTTGACTTCGACCAAAATACCTAAGACCAGCAGAATTCAAAAGACTTCATTCACTTTGTTCCAATTTGATATCACCACGTGACTCAGGCTAGATATGATACCTACAGTACTTCTCTTCTTCTTTATCGGGGTCCGCCCCACCATCTACGCGCTACTCCGAGGAAGGATGATGAAATGCGGTGATAGAGGTCTGCAGAAAGCTCCAGCTCCGACCCTCGGCCTCTTGCTACATTGCGATAAAAATATTATTTATACAAAAGAGCTTCGTATAACACAACACAGTCAGCTTTCATTATAGACGTTTGTATTCTATCTCCACTCCCGGGGCGTATTCTTTCTTTTTCACACTCTGTAACTATCTTGAAAGCGAACATCTACCTGTTTAAACGTCTCCAAATCTGGTTAAGCATAGCAATTTCTATAATAAGGGTAGGAGCGGGGAGAACAGCAAAATGTCTACGACTTTAGGGTGCGCTTCCCAGATTGTCCCCAAGTTTTTATATATTGACCCAAGGAACTAGAGCCTTTGTCGCCGGTGGAATAGCAGCATGCGGAGCTGTAACTGCAACTCATCCCTTCGAAACTGTGAAGATCCGGTAAGAATACCAATTTCGGACACAAGACACCGCACCGCGAAGTTACTAATGTGAAACCACAGCATGCAATTGCAAGGCGAACTCCAGGAGAAAGGACTCCAACCGCGACTATACAAAGGGCCTATTCACGGTGTCACAACTATTGTACGGAATGAGGGCATCAAAGGCATATATCGAGGAATCGGCGCTGCGTATATTTATCAGATGATCCTCAATGGATGCAGGTTAGGCTTTTACGAACCTATACGAGGAACTATTACTGGCGCATTATTTGATGATTCGAAAATACAAAGTTTGGGAATAAATATCTTCTCGGGAGCAACATCGGGGATATTGGGTGCTGCAGCAGGAAGTCCATTTTTCTTGGTCAAGACGAGATTACAGAGTTTCTCACCACAAGCGCCAGTAGGCACACAACATGGTTATAAGAATGCTATGGATGGAATGAAAAAGATCTACGGAGCGGAAGGGGTAAATGGACTTTACAGAGGAGTGGGAGCCGCCATGGTTCGGACAGGCTTTGGAAGCTCTGTCCAGCTACCAACATATTTCTTCGCAAAGCGGAGACTTGTGAAGCACCTAGGAATGAAGGAGGGGCCAGCATTGCATCTTGCAAGTAGTACAGCTAGTGGGTTTGTGGTATGCTGCGTTATGCACCCACCAGGTAAGCAGATTTTGATTGGTAAAACATACTTTCTGATGCTAATTCTCTCAGACACTATCATGTCGCGTATGTACAACCAGACCGGCAATCTGTACTCAGGTATTCTTGATTGCCTGGCAAAGACCGTGAAGACTGAAGGAGTCTTCGCTATTTACAAAGGTTTCTTGCCACACTTGGCTAGAATATTACCTCATACCATCTTAACCCTTAGCTTGGCGGAGCAAACCAACAAGCTGATGCGAAAATTTGAGAATCGAATCCTCCCTGCTTCGATAAAGGATCAGGTTTAGAATAATTACTAAATACCCTAGACTATTTGCAGGCTGCGTTAGACCACGTTGTATACCCTCATTTAGATTATATAGTGCATTTTCCTCGCGGGCAACCAGGAAGAATAATCGGTGTTCAAACACGGGACTTTTGGGATGTTTTTAAAATGATGATAGAATATCGTCAAGCGTTTTCATCCGTTGATAGATCTTGAGCATCCATAACATAGAACAGTATCTGAACTGATATTTTCTCTTGATGGCCGTGAATCTGGATTTTGATCGCCGCCCCAACCATAGATACCATCAGTGCCCTCTGCGACAGGAAGCCCGCAAAGCCCACAACCCTTCGATGTGTCATCAGTCGTAGGTTTCAATTTGCTTGATGTTCTAACAACATTGGCAACTATACTCGGGAAATTTTCTTCAACAGATTCGAAATACTGTGCCATTAAATCATCGATCGTTGTTGATTTTGAGGAAGCAGATATATGGGAAGGAGGCTGTTGATACACCACTAAATCCGAAAGAGGTATGGTTGAGGAGGAAAATGTCATGATCTCTTTCTTAAGAATATCTCGTAAAGGATAATTCAAGCCTATTCCGTATGGTGATGGACCATCGGAGACTTGCCATGGTAAAGAGAAGCCGCGCCCTTTGGCCGTTTCAGTGAGCGTCTTTTCTGCTAGTCGTGTAGTAGTATCACCGAATAATATGCTCTCGCAATCATTTCTTTTGGCGACATCCACTAGGAGTCTATTTAACAGCGTAGACACGATATCGGCCCTTGAGGTTGCAGATGACATTGAGGAAACAATTCTTTGCAGGTCCAGACTTGAGGCTCTATTTCCCTGAGTAGGAAGGTCAGATATTCCCAAAGATGCCCAATTAATACCTTCCAGTTGTAAGGCTTCCTGAAGTCCGTAACTTGTATATGAATGCTTGGGGTATTGGGTCTCGTATTTTTGTAATAAAGCAGCAGAGGCTTCTCTGTCTGTATCATCCAGGTAAAGGTCGATATGTACAACGAACAATTCATATGATGCCCGATTCATTCGCTCGTGTTGGGTTTGGAGATGTCCATCTAGCATATGGAGCAAGCATGACGACGAAGGCCCGAAGGAAAGTGGTAGTAATAATTTCTGTGGAACTTTCGAAAATCGTTTGCCTTTATAGGTTTCCATGCGCTTCACTGCCTTTGTTTTGATATACTGTGAGAAGCATTTTCTGCCGGAAAACAGCTATTAGTATAACTCTTTTCCAATGCTGCAAGGTAGGACGAACTGGCAAACTGATTCTGATCGGATCTGGAGTGTCGCCTGAAATTCGTTACATTTCTTGCAGATTAAACTTGGTTGTTCCGCAGAAAGGTGCACTTCTTCGGAATTTGTCGTCGCCATCGCCATCTTGTTCACTTAATTCAAATCGTTTGATGTTTCAAGTATATAAAATGTTTCTTATTTGTGCAAATCAAGAAGAACTTTGACATTTATGGAGACGAGGCTGGGGCAAAATATTGCCCGAGCATGTGTAAATTTAGCCATATCAAGCTAGCCTGATCTGTGCCTTACGTTTCCTAAACCCGCAATGGAGCTCTTTTATCATCATGAGAGATTTCTAGTCAAATAAGTCAACTTGACTCAATAGCAAACTTTTCATATATTGTGCGAATATTTGGAAGCTGATCGTCTGCATGTAAAGGCGAACGACAACATTGTTTCCATTCCAGAATATCCACATCTTGTTATCTAGGTACTAAAGTAACTCTCATTCTGAGCCCGCGAGGCTACAGCAAGCATGCGAAGTTGGCTTCATGGGTTCCTCGCATTGGGACTGTCGACCCTGACAGTTGGTGCGTTGGAGGTCAAAATGGTATGTCTCAAAAGCAGAGATGAGGTGCTCGGTCTGACGGTGATAGCAGGATGAATCTAATGACAATCGACAAGTATGCGCCGGCATGTACGACCGGAAGACTTGGGGAGGCCCGGCTGAGCCTCATATATTAGTAAAATGGCTTCCAACTACACAAGACTCAGAAGATCCTGATCCAACTGCAAGTATGATTATTTTCGAATGGAGGGACTATGACCTCGTTGGTGTATTGCCAACCATAGACAGCATTCAGGTATGGGTCAACTTTATCAAATGTCCACTTACATCATCCGCTGATACTTGAATCTAGAAAGAATTCATTTGCGATCAGGAGAATATCAGCAATCGCTTCTGTAATAGCAATCAAACTGGGCAATTCCTCTTGGCGCCAAACGCAACGGAAAAGTCAAATAGTCAGCTCTACACTGCAGCGGTTCATCTTAACAGTACTGATCCACCAATCAATTATCCTATCAAAAAGACTGGATATTACTGTGTTGGTACAACTGGGTATTTGCCTTCAAATGTTAAATATACTGCGGTCGTGGAGTTCCGAAATGCCTATGGAGAGCTACCAGCAGCACAAATCCCAAAACTGCCATTTTACGGTATTATCACAATTGTCTATGCTGTCATTGGGATGTATGTTATACCACGCCCCCAATTTTTCATCATCGAAGCTAATGGTGGATTGACAGTCTTTGGGCATTTCTCTACGTGCAACATCGAGAAGATATTCGTCAGTAACCTTAATGAAGTCTGTTGTTCTTCATACTAATATCCCCTCAGTGCCAGTCCAGAACTATATTACGGCAATCATCGTTTTTCTGATAGTTGAGATGCTAATGACTTGGGGGTTCTACGGTAAGTTGATTTTCTAGTGCTACGGAGACTCTACTGACATATATAGACTACCTCAACCGATCTGGTAGCAATATCGGCTCAAAAGTAATGATGATTATTGTTGCTGTACTGAATGCAGGCCGTAATTCTTTCTCATTCTTCTTGCTTCTCATTGTATGCATGGGTTATGGTGTTGTCAAGCCCAGTTTAGGCAAGACAATGGTTTATGTCCGTTATCTCGCTGGAGCTCATTTCGTCTTTGGGTTGATTTATTCCATTGCGAGTTTGACGATTACTCCTGAACACGCTGGTAAGTTTCTTGGTTGCTAGTGAAATATGCTTTTGTTGATTGATTATAGGCCCACTGGTTTTGTTTGTTATTTTGCCTTTGGCTGGAACTCTTACAGCATTTTACGTGTGGACCCTCAATTCCCTCAACTTGACTATGAAGGATTTGAATGACCGCAAACAAACGACGAAAGCAAGCATGTATCGCAAACTCTGGTGGTGTATTCTTCTCTCGATCATCGTTATTTTCGGCTTCTTTTTCTTCAACTCATTTACTTTCGCTTCGGCTTCGGATCCGGACTTTGTTCCCTTTCATTGGAAGTCCAGATGGTTCATTCTCGATGGCTGGCTCAACATCGTCTACTTAGTCGACATTGCATTTGTGGCCTGGGTATGGAGACCCAGTGCTAACAACAGAAGGTTCGCTATGAGCGACGAGTTAGCGCAAGACGATGAGGGATTTGAGATCGCCGATTTTGGCGCCGAAGATGACGACGGAGACGACCCTGAGAATTCTGCAGCTCGCCGAGGTGACCGAACACAACCCGGTCAAGAAGGGGCAAGATATGATCCTCCCTCAGGAGCTAATACCGCAAAAGAAATTCCAAGAGAAAGTCTTGATGGGGAAACAATTTTTGCGGTTGGAGAAGATGGTGATCGCTGGTCGGATGATGACGATGACGATTCAGAGGCGGGAAAGAAACTTGTCGGTGGAAATTCGAAAAAAGACGCACACAATGGCTCGGACTCGGATTGAAAGGCTTCTCACCAATTGTGTATAATATTATAGGTCGGCGTTGGGTATCATTGGTCAAGAAATAAATACCATTTTATTTGCAGGCTCGGTGGATTCATCATAGCATTTGTACTTGTTTGTTCTTCTAACAACGTATTTAGCAATAGAATTTGTGAAATTATGGATGACCAAACTTCATATTTACAAATTTTCTGATCAGGTGGAATGTTAAAACGTGTCTGGGTGGTTGAAGAGGTTCCCGCTCTTGGAAATGTCTTGTTTATCCATCCTCGCTACCCCTATTTCAACACGAGTATTCATCCAATTTCATCCATCGATTATTGGAACTGCTCCATCCTCAGACCCAGAACCTCACTTAACGGTCTTTAAATGATAGTTGCTATTTCCTTGCTCTGACAACCACCAGCTTCTGCTAAAATTGGAGTATGAGGGCATTGAAGGTGTGTTCAGATTACTCGAGTAGGTTGGAATCTTAACCTTGATGATTCATTATTCAAATTGGGTTAGAATATTTTGTTGATTTATTATCCAAACCGGATTACTCAGTAGAACACTGCTGATTCAATGTACGCGTACGACCATGCAACTACAGCTCTCTCTGACAATACTGTGATTCCAAAACGTTTTTTATATAACCCTATTACTAAGAAAAATTGAGAGGCATGATGTCCAGTGATATCCAAGTTTTCAGAAGCATTGGGTTGAGCTCGTTCAAAACATCAGAAGCTTTGAATCTGAACTTTGTATAAAATTAAAGGAGACATCCATAAAGAGTCATCCATCCCATTCTGAGCCATTAAGTCCAACCTTCATACCTCAGCATCACTAGTTCCCCTCGCACGAATACAAACCGGCTCGCCCCCGCCATATAGTTCATTCCTTTCGACGTTCCATCTCCATCATTAATACTCCTCCCAAGCCCCACCGTAGTATTTTTCACCCGACTTTCAAACTCCCCATTATCCTTCAACGAATTGTGCATGCGCGGACTCGTCTTGATAAAATGTGCGAGGGCTGCTCCTTGGGCAATACCCATGTCGGTGATTAGGGGACGGAGCGCGCGCGGTACAGGCGAAGGCGCGGTCGCTGGGTGAGGTCAAGTGGGTTACGGCAGCGATGTGAAGCGGCCAAACAAAAAAAGAGGCGCCAGCTGCGGGAAAAGAGAAGGAAAGGGGTATGAGGCGAGTGGGGGTTGGTGTTGGGTGAAGATGAAGGATATGTTGGGGGTGCTGGGGTTGATGGGAACAGAGGCGTCGGGATAGAGGGTATAGAAGAGATAGCTGATGGTGTTAGGGGTTGAGGGTGGGTATTGTGGAGATTGTGGAGGGGATGAGGTGAGAAAAGCGAGGTAAAGTGGCTGGGAGATGAATATGGGTTGAGTGTTTGCGATTTACATAGCTCATACATTGGGGCTTCGAACACAAAAACCCATCGCGTAGTTTAATGAGTGTATTTGTGCTCAACCGATATCGAGCTATGTAGCTTGTGGATGTAAAAGGTGAAGGTCTGATATCAAAACCTTTGAGAATATACTGTCCAATTACCTCAATTTCTAATGATCCGTGAGTTTCGTATCGAGTACTTCACATGTACGCTATCCAGTAGCCGTAATATATGTCGTAAGAAACTTCAAAGATGAGATCCGTTGCTTCAATTTCTTCGCCCTGGACCGTCTCAGACTTCCAGTCTGGGGCAAAATTTAATGAATATTTGATGTAGCTCTTCATCGAGAGATAGTACAGTGGCAATAACGTGTTCGCTATCGTCTTGTTTGCCCGTTTGGAGATCAGATCGAAAGTACGCGAATTTGTCTAGCATGGAAAGCATTTTGAAGGCGGGATCCCTAGCGTTAAGCTGCTTGTATACCGTGGCTCGTAATGCCATAATTTCTGGCGGCATCAGTACCTCGCGCTGTAAAGCACTTATGAGGATATGGGTTGTTATCTGCATGAATAGACCAATCCCCGCTCGTGTTCTAAATTGTGAAGGGCCTCGAAGCTCAAGAAGCGTTGATGCCCCAGTGATATGTTCGGTCCATGCTTTCAGGAATAATCGGCTTGTACGTGTCTCTGTTTCGAATACAACCAATACCATAATTGAGAGCAATGTCCTATCTTTGGCCTCATAAACTGGTGATCTGAGTGTATCGTTGACACGCATTAAGGCAACTATGTGTTCGTAGCGAGCTTCGCCAAGTATCTAAGGTGAGTTGGTTCTATTAGCAAAGCTAGCAAGGTCAACAGCCGTCATACTGATCGATAAAGCTTCGTCCAACACTCCGTTGCGATATGGGTCCTTGAGGTAACTGGAATTCCCATAGGTTAGTCCGGATACTCCAGCCACAAAATTGGAGATGAAGTATGAGGTACCCTGATTAAAGAAAGATGGAGCTAATATGGCTCTTGGTCGTAGAGCTCTCAGGTTCTCGTGGAATTCAGATTTCTCGTCATCTCCGTAGCTTGACGATGGCGGCGATGTACTTCAACTTTGAGGTACCAGCTATTGAAGATGAAGCTCTAATTGTTGGTTTTGCTCTAGCTGCAATGGTTGTTCTTGTTCCCCGCGGCTTTTCTCCAATAGCCCTGACTCTCCTAGCCTTTTCCTCGGCTTTGGCTTTCTCGATGACAGCGAAACGTCCATTCCCAAATGCCAAATCGCACATGTTCCTATAGCCAGGACATATTTTTCTCGCTTTCGTAAAAAATTGGTACAGGTTAGTTGTTCCTGCCCCCACTGTACGAGACAAATAATCTGTTACCTCGCGCTCGTTTCCTCGTTTGACAGAATTGTACATCTAAATCTCAGGTGCGTAGCTTCGGTCAGGAGTGAGCCAGCCTGGGTATTTGGGCTTTTCTAAATGTTGTGACACCTCAGCTCGGTCCGGTACCAATGTAGCGGATTTTGAAAAGGCAAATCAAATGTATTAAAGGTCGGTGATTTTATACATACCCGAAATTTTCTCTCCCGACAATTTGCACACCCTTCTGAGGGTTTTCCACAATAAAACATGATGAGTGACGACTAAAAAACGATTCCTTTGGACACAATTGAAACCACAAAAACCATGATGAGCGACGACTAAGAAACAGTTCCTTTGGACACAATTGAGAATTAAAGCAATTTTGTCAATAGGTAGGAAGACCAAAGACGTTTTTACAAGTCATGCCACGGCTTTATTGCTTTGCTTGAAATTGCAAGCACATCAGCCGCGAGCGTTTGCTTCTGGCGCCTGCACAATTTTGAGGGTTCAAATGACGATAATGCAGATACACCTACCTAACTGTACCGCAGCAGCCTGAATTATTCGTTTAAACAGGCTTCTGTTCCCATTGAGTAGCATCTGAAGGCACAATTGTGTGGAAAATGAAGATACGGAAACCATGAACTTTGAGAGGTCTCGCACTGCATTCCCAATGTGGGATGCTTGTACTCCGTAGGTGATGCTACTGCATGACCCGCATGGCAACACTGTAAGCTCGCTGCTGTTGTCATCTCAATGGCTGTGTCGAAACAAGTATGGTACCGATGAAGAACTACTCGACGCTTCCCCATTATGATTTATTAGCATCAAGTTGATCAACAGGAAGCAAATCAAGCGATGCATTAGCTTAATCATCGGAGGCTGAGCCCTAACCCCATATGCATGTCAGCCACGTTCTGAACTCCATGCATACCCAATTAGGTTTAGTACCCAGCCATGCGATGCTGCACTGTCATTACGTGATGAGAATATCATGAAGTTGGTAGTGGTTTTTTGGGTTCTTTCAACTTTCTTATAGGTATCAATGTATGGGGTAGAATGATTGAGGTAAAAAGAAATGACTGAGGTGGTTGCGTATATAATGTTTGACTTTTCCTGCAGTTGTGTTATTTGCTTCTATCCTTCTATATCATCTAGTCGGTTGCAACTTCTCTAAACTTCAAGAACATCTTCATTATAATCAAGAACTGCATTGGAACTTACCCGTCTTCTATCTTTCACTTTAAGATCTCTAATCTAAGATCGCACTCTCCACTCTCAACCCTCAACTCTCAATCTAGCACTTTCTCCTCCAAGACACACGACCATGGCGATCACTTACCGCAACGGTGTCGGGATCGGCGAACTAGTCGTCTACATCCCTTCCCTCTTCCTCTCTATCCTCCTTGCCTTCCGTCACGGTTTCGGCCGCAGTTCGGGTTGGTACTTTCTCATAATATTCTGTCTCGCCCGGATAATCGGTCCCTGCATGTCTCTCGCCGCTATATCCTCTCCCTCAGTATCTCTCTTCACCGGCGCACTTATCTTACAAAATGTCGGCTTGTCTCCTTTGATTCTCGCTACTCTGGGTCTCTTGAGTCGCGTCTTGACTAGTATTAATCGAAATACACATACACTCGTTCAACCGAAATTACTAAAGCTCATTGAGATACTTACGTTGATTGGTTTGATCCTCGGTATTGTTGGCGGAATCAACGCGAGTGATGTGTATACTACGACTGGGATATGGATTCCGGGAACGGATAGCAAGGTTTCCAATATCCTTTTCATCGTTTCCTTTGTGGCTCTCCTGGTTACCACCATCCTTACGAGTTTCTCGATATCGCATGCGGAGAATGGGGAAAAGAGGATTCTACTCGCAATTGCTATCGCATTGCCTTTCCTATTCATTCGACTCCTGTATTCTATTCTTTCAACTTTCGTAGCACATTCTACGAAGTTCAACTCGTTCACAGGAAGCGTCTCCATATTGTTGTGTGTGGCGCTTCTTGAGGAACTAGTTATTGTGGTAATTTACTTGGGAATTGGAGTGACGTTAAAAGTTCAGCCAAAAAATATGGTTGCGAAGGGAGAATTGCAACGGGTTCCAGGGACGTCGGATAGTGAAGAACCGCTTGGCCAACAAAACCATCAGGGACAGAATCAGAATCAGAATCAGAATCAGAAATCTGGAGCAGGGACTGTGGTGTTGGGGATTGCAAAAAAGACGATTATTGGGAGGCTGGTTATGTCGTTTGTGCCAGAGAAAAGAGAGGATGTGGAGATGCAACGTTATGCTCGGAAGTAAAGAGGAGTAGAGAGGGTAGGGATGGTTTGAGGAAGCGTGGATGGGCTTGTTGTGTGTTTTTAGCGTTGGTGTTGGGAGGGTGGGAAATGGTTGGAATGTTCCTTTGTATATTTACTCTGACTCATAACTAGCTAGCCTGCATATAGAATTCCTTTAATCAATCTCAAAATCTCAATACGCGCTAGCTCCTGTTGACAGGAAAAGAAGTGTCCATATCACTGCTCGAGTGATCCTTCTAATCTTGTGTTTTTCAAGATTTCTGGTCGAATATACTGACTAAAATAGACCATACTGTCGAGGATATCTAAAGTATACCGATACATGTGTCTCGCATTTCATCTCTCTCTCTTCATTCATTCATTCATATTGAAGATTTCCTATTTAATTTCAACTCAAAAGTATTACTCTACATTGAACAAAAGACCTGGGCCCATGAATGCACTCTTCTATTGTATTAGGCTCAACAGGACTCTGGAGGAACTAATTTTACTACCCAGCATATTTCCTAGCCCATTGCATGAAACCCAACGAGAATGAAGAAAAGGCATCCCCCTTGAGACAAAAGTGCACTACACCCATGTCAATTCAACTCCCTAGTCACCATTTACTGATCATATCTTCTATCTCCATGGGACCAGGCTGATTATTCTGACACTAGATGTCTAGCTATTCAAGCGCCTTGTTATTATAGAATATCGACCTGTACTCTGGATGTATGACTAGGGGCAAAGCTGATCAATAATATTTTCCTTCGATACATCTCACCAACCTGATCTGAACCTCCCTTCCTTTTTCCTTTCCCTTCTCCCTCAAAACCCCGGATCAGCCCTAACCCTCGTCCTCTCAATGTCCATCACATATTTATATACTTTTCCCGTATTCAAATCCACCTCGCTTCTTCTTTTATGCCATAAATCAAGCGAGATACGATCGCGTACGAACGTGAATCAGTACTTGCTTTCAATTGGGATGAGGGGGGGGGCTGCTCGGGGTTACGATTTCTCTCGAGGCTTTGGGGGGTGATAGGAGGAAGTCTGGAGTGTGGGGGCATATATGTGACGGTTGTATGGTTGGAAAGGGGTGGGAAAAGGGACATGGGGGGAGAGGGAAGTGTACGAGGTAGGAAAGTGAGATGTAGGTTGAGCGGGTGGTGCATGTTTCTTCATCTTTGTAAGGGTAGAAGAAGATAAATTCAGTGGCGGTGTTAGTGGTGAGATATAGGAGGGTGGCTCTTGTTGTGATGCCAGATGTGACAGAACCAATTTGACCTTCCGAGATCTGCTTTTAGATCTCTAGTAGGCAATCTCGCGTAATTTACTAGATCGTACGGGCATGAGGCAGGATCTGACGCTCTATCCATTCAAGAAAAAAGTAGGAGAAATGAATTTATGACTTGTTGTGTACTCTTACTTTTGGTTTTAAAATCCGAGAGGTTGTGTTCAGTGCAGAAGTTTGTGTCAGATATTGGCCCGTCGGGGATCAATTTCCCAAGTTGAGGTACGTTTGGTAGAGGGGCTCTGGTTGTTGTAATTGTGGATTAAACTGGTTTTAAGGCAGCACCACAGGATTGGTAGAGAAAGATGTAGGGTCTGTACTGGTAGTAGTCGGTAGTGGATTGATTGAAGCTGGATTCGGGTCTATAATTGTAAGAATTTGCGGGCTTGGTGATAGGAATGATTGGTAAGTCAATTACCTACCTGATTCTGGCTGAAACGTTCGCACAAACCCCATATCATCTTGGATAATGAAAGGATTATTCCTTGATTGCCCTTGTTTCATGGAAGGCGTGATAGATGAAGAGCTTTGAGACGTAGAGGAACTTGGTGTAATAAGTTGTGTTCTGCGGCCAGTATGTGGAATATTTGCTAGCGTATTCGCAGCAGCAATTACAGATGAAGGGGTCAGATCTACAGTAGAGCTCGATGCAACTTGTTGATGAGCATGATGATCTGGTAGACTCGCTAGCGAGCGATGAATACTCGAGGTTATGCGAGCAAGTTCGTTTTCTTCTTCTTCCTTGCGTGAAATGAAGAGCTGTTGTGCCTTCGGAGATATAGCTGGATGGAAAGGAGGAGTCGAAGGATCATAAACAGTACGACTTGAGCTTGCTGGGTGACTTAGATGGACTGTGTGATTTTTGAACCGACTTAGATTCCCAATCATGGGAGGAGCAGCAGGATATTCATCATGTCTACCAGAAGATGACATGCCAGAATCGGGATATTCCCATGCGGAATGTTGAGGCGTTGAATTTGATGGCGAACTTAGATCAGGTATATTCCTCCTCAGTGTCGCAAAGTAGTGAGATTTCGCGGGGTCATAAAGATTCTCCAATGATGGGTCACGATCAGTTCTATCACTTCCCAATCTTGGGTCGTAATCAGAACGCGGCATTTGACCCTGTGCTGAGTCCCTTCTTTCTGGAACAGATGGAATGAAGCTTCCAGAAGCCTGAACCGAATGCAAAGTTGCATATTGATTTTCGTGGGATGTGGACCGCAATGGCCAAGGTGTATACACACCGCTATTGTAGATATCTGGCGAACCTCCAGGCACTTGGTTGACAGAAGCAGATGTATGAATCGGGTTTTGGTGACTAGCCTGTGCAGAGTAAAATGAAATCGAAGGTGCGACAGACTGGCATTCAAAGCTAGTAGAATCGTTGTTCCTGTCCTTGTTGGTTGGTGAATTGCTAACACGTCGTGGGCTTGGTGATACTGAAACTCCTGTCGTCATCCAAGATTTCTGAGGAGAACCGGCAAAAGCATTTGAGGTAGCATTGGTAGAAATTATTTCTTCGGCAGGCGATTGTTTCGTAGGCTTTTTACTAGCCTTCTGCCTGACTTCAGTATTCGCATTTGAGGCAATCCTAGCCAAAGCTCTTGTGTTTGATGTTGGCTCCCTCCTAGGACTTTGACTAAAATCCGGCTCCGCAAAAATCTGCGCCCAAAGTAGCTCTCCCGCTTCTTCCAAAGCGCCCACAGCACCCCTTTCAAATGCTGTTAAGAGATCATAGACTTTTTTGCCGTTTGGTGATATATCATTGAGATTTCTTCGAGATCTGGCTGGTAAAGCCTCAATCGCGCGGAGTTCGTTGACTTGTGGATTATTATTAGCTTTGAGGCTGCGTGGCTTGTAGTCTTTGAGATATTATGGTGTTATGGATGAAAAATAAGGAAAGAAAATATAACATACCTGTTGGTTCTCGACGGAATCTGTCTTTGACGGCTTTTATGCGACGATCTCGAAGGAGACGAGGTACGTCATCTTCGTCTTCAGACATATTGGAAATACAATTGCAAGCTACCTATGGATGGAGAGCAAAGAGAAGCAACGAGTTACGTCCAATAAGGATGAAAGTAAGCAGGGTAGGTCGGTGGATAATGAGCTTCAAAAATCAACAATATGTGTAAACTAGAAGAAGAGGACAAATAGCGACCATGCGAAAATGTTGAGAGATTCTATAGCGGGAAATTCAATTATTGCTTTTTACAAGAGGGTGCAGTACGGGATGGAGTGAAGCAGTAGATGGGATGAAGGTCTACAGCCTAATCACCCCTCCAGATTCACCTTTCAATCCTTCTCATATAAGCCCAAATTAAATGGCATTACCGGCCTGGAATCGAATTCGCTATTGCTCATATGTTTCAATTGTCAAATGGCCAATTTTCATTGGTTTTCTCATCTTCTCGAGCGTTACTTTCTTTGCTTGTGTCTGTGTATATGTGTACACATATACATAAATGTCATTGCTGTACACTGGTTTATCTACTAACCATGATGCGTGTGAAACACAAAATGGAAGATGTCATTTCTTTTGCCCTTTCTAATAGGACATGAGGTTATATTGGTTAGACGCGACGGTAAGCGCGGAATAAGCGACGACAATGAGGTACTGAGAGTTTCACTCTCTTGCGAAATAAATGTGGCGCGGGCGCGTTAAGGATACAGAGAAGATGGTTTTGACAAGAGAAGTAATTTCAAACTTTTTCCAATCGTATTCAATAATGCTTATTACCTCCTTTCTCTTGTGAGTGTAATTTGGTTTTTGTGTGCACTTCAGAACTATTTTTTTGGTCGACTTTTCGAAAGTCTGGAGGATATACGATCCAGATCACACGTAAAGCAATATATATCTACAGTACACGGCGCCGTCGCCGTCGAGGACACAAGGAATGAAGAAGAGACAACATAGAACTGATTTTGAAGAAACGCGATGTTGAAAAAAAGATTTGCGCATCCTTGGCAGACAGAATCTAAATGGATACTATGATGGCCAAAGAACTGGCGACGCTCAAAACAATATTGCAGCAAAACCATATGCTAAGCATTGTTCCTTAAACCCGACTGAAATAATTCATAGCAAGCACACGAGAATCAATTTTCGTTTCGAATAGAAGCCATACAACCACTACGTAATGAATGACCTTTACCGCATCCGTTAACTTTGCATTTCGGTAAAACCCCAAGAATTACACGAGCATACGGTCTTCTATCAAATGGTGCTCCATGCATTATCAATGGGAAGCGCAACGCCATTAATCGCCCTCGCTCCATCGCTTGCAAGATACAGAATCGCTTCAGCCACTGCTGAAACAGAAATTGGAGGGTTTTCACCAGGTTTGATGTGAAGAGCTTGCACCGGCCTATAAAGTCGTCAGTTTAAAGGGAATAATGGTAAGTTAGACTTGATAATATTACGCAAGTATGCCGTACGCTTCTTGATCGAAGCACTCTTGGTTCATTGAACTGGCAATGTTGGTCATTACGCCTAGAATATGTATCAGTGTGTTAAGAGAGGAGTTTGAATTAGAAAAAGGGCAATCCTGACCTCCGGGACAAACAGCATTACATCTAATGCCCTCATCCCTAAATCTGAATGCAGTGTTCTTGGTCACTCCCAACTATAAACTTGTTAGCTCTGACGGCTCACAGCCTGTTCATTAGAAGAAAGCGAACCAATCCGTGCTTTGAAGCTGTATAAGCAACCCCTGCTGAAGCACCACTCATTGCAGCTTTGCTAGCCACATTGATAATGACACCATTTTTCTTTGCTTTCATGACTGGTAGAACAGCTCTCATCAATTTAGTAGGAACTGTGAGATTGATTGCAATGACACGATCCCATTCACCATCCGTGACATTGTCTGCTGCAGCAAATGCGTCCATTACACCAGCTATATTGGCCAGGACGTCAATCTTGTCACTGGAGGCCTTGTTAGTATTTCTGGAGCATGTTTGGATGACCATGGCTCGCTCATGAAATCCGATCCACCAAGGATCAAAGAAGAGCACTTACCCAAATTCAGCAAGACATATCCTGACCACATAATCGCACTCTCCATCATTTCTCAAGTCTCCTCTATGGAAATGGAACTGCTCCAATCCACATATTAGTCAACAACCTTCCCTATTCCCGCATCTCTTATTGCCACGGAAAACAATTGCCAAACGTCAAGTGATGTGCACTCACCCTCTCCTGATCCTTCATCTCTAACTCATCATAATCCATTTCACTGATATCCACCCCCAATACCCTATACTGATGACTCAAAAATAATCTCGTCGTCTCCAGCCCCATCCCACTTGCGCATCCCGTCACAATGGCAACCTTATTAAATCCTACTCCGTCAACCATGTTTCTTGGTGGTAAATTCCAGTTGGCTCGAGGATGCCACTGATCCTGTGAATTCTGCTGTGTCATTTTAACGGTCCTCCGAGGTACATAGGTAGGAGTATTTTCGATAGCAGTTCTGGAATTTGGGTTACAGAATACGAGTCCGGACACGGGTCACGACATATCCGGACAGTGGACATCAATTTGAGGTGGGTATGTGATTAATGTTGACGTTGATTAAAAGGTTGTTTCTCATCCCACTCGGGCCTCAGATTGACCGAGTGATACGAATACGCTCGGAATAGGCTAGATAGACCTGACAAATTACCGTAAAACAGAATAAAGATATCTTGATTCGCCTTATGAAGTTGTTATGAAGATATACCCCAATTCCTTTGTTACCACATCGTCCGATATCGATGCGAGCCCGGGTAGATCAGAAGGGGGGGTTGGTGATAATTTTGAATACTGGATCCGAATGCAATTTTGCTTGTACTGTATATATCAATGGAGGGTCCCAGTCCATATGAAGTAGCTCGAGGACTTTTGATGTGTTATTAATTACTCGAGTTCATGTAAGGGATTGTAATAACGATCTGAGAAATTGACATGGGAATGAATTTACTCTACTCGAGTACGGTGAGGCACAGATGCAAAGATGCAAAGATGATAATAGGGATATACACAGGGTATTCATACTATAATATACTATAAATCCTTCTTAGTATTATGAGTATTTGTAATTTCATTACTTATAATTATCATGGATCAGATTGAAATTTATATATAAAACTAATTCTTATAGGTTTGTTAAGCTTTGATTTAATCGATGTATAAACATTATAGGGCTATTATAATGAATACTACTGGCACATTGTGGCTAAATACTGAACACTGAATACCGAACACTGAACAATGAACACTGAACGCTGAACTAAACTTCTGCTGAATATATATCCTCTGACTTCCAAATTCCAATATGACAAGGCTCCTTTCTTTTCTTCTCTTATCCCATCTTTCTCTTATTCAAACATCATCTTGAAGATTTCAGCCATATCCCATCTAAGCTTTTGAAGACGCCTCCGTCTCCTTAATCTTTTCAAATAACCTCAAGAACACTGCTGAGTCTTGGGCACCTCCGATCTCATACTTCCCCTGAATGGTGAAATTCGGTACTCCACTAATCGAATTCCTTCGCGCAGCTTCGACTTCTCTATCAACCTCTACTCCACCCTTCTCACTCTCCAACCATTCGTTGACTTCTTTCTCATCCAGTCCAGCTCGTACTGCAGAATTGCGCAACACTTCATGGTTTGTAATATCCCCTTCCTCTTCAAAATACGACTTGAACAACGATTCTACTACTTTCGTTTGCATGGCTGGCGACTTTGTCTTTCCCAACTGGATAATACGGTGACTATCCCTAGTAGCTCCTGTCTTCCCTCCAAAACTAAAATTGATACCAACATCATTTCCAATTTGCGAAAGTCGGTTGAAGGCTGCTGTCATTCTTTCCTCTCCAAAGCGAGAAAGATACCATGCTCGTTTATCAACACCTATTCGTGATGGTTAATCTCAGAATACTCCAATCACCAAAATATACAGGAATCTAGTTTTTACCTATTTTAGGCGCTTCTGGAGCGAGGTAAAATGGATGCCATGTGATACTAAACGTATCATGGGAATCAGGGTGTCGTTGTTTGTATGCAGTGATTCCTTGCTCAAGCTTTTGCTTTCCAACATAACACCAGGGACAAACGGTGTCGCTAACAATCTCAATATCGAATTTGGTCATCTTGCGCAACGTGGCCTTGAGCATCAGATAGTACTGGAGTGTGATAGAAAAATGGTAGTGGAGGGAATTAGGAGGAGGATTGAAGAATAGATGAAGCACAACAACAGCACAAGGGTAATTAATATGGAAGAAGAGGAAGCTGATGATTACTGATCAGAATGGGGAGATTAGAAATCAAAATTCAAATTCGGCATCCCATCCCATCACCCATGCAATGCTGACCCCGTTAAGTAATAGAAATAGATGAAACATGACTTTGTGTGAAATGTTTTTAAAGGCAAAGGAGCTTTACTCGAGTATTAAGAATATGAGAATAACTCAAAACTCAAGTACTTGTTTGATTGAGTTGTTGATGATTAATCATTTGTGTGGCTTGTGGTATGTGGTGGCTGAATACTGGTACACAAGTTTTGAGGTTCCATAGAATGGGAAGAGACTCATATAATATGGTACCGTCGGTTTGATATCCCTCCACTCTAAAATTTCAGCCTTCAGGAAAATGCAGTCCAGGCTCACCATCACAACCTCCCGCCATCATTGCCATCGTAATCATCAAACCTCCTGCATTGGGAAAGTACGGCGTCGGCACGCGAGATCCACCCACTGGGTACCCAGCGTCATCAAACTGGAAGTCCGGATGCAGAAGATACCCTCGTACACGGGGTATGTGCCATTGATGATGGGAAATGGAGAAAGCTTTTCTCGCACATTTTTTCATTCTTCTGGGATGGACTGCATCTGACGCTGCTTCCAGCTCATGGCAACATCAAGGCCAAACCTCCAGTACGCCAGCTCGAAACTTGGGTTGATAGTCGCGTTTGGGGTTGTATTCTCAGAGACAGGATACACCGGTGGGCCCAAGTCGTACACTCCAGTGGTGACATTGTACCACGCGAAAGATACCATAAAGTAGGCCGTCGCTGTTAATATGTCGTCCCATTTTCGAAGTGTCGTTTCATTGGGAAACGAGCGGTATTCGATCTCAGCAAAGTACATGGGGTGCGGTTGTTGCCATATTAGAAGAGAGTTAATTCCTCCAGGGGCGCTACGACCGGTCGGATCACTCATCTTTCCCCAGCGGGCACCTTGGTACCCCTGAAGACTGGCCCTGTCGCGTGACGAGTTGAGGAACTGTTCGTACATCTTTGGCATGCTCCGCCAGAGAAGATCAAAGTGATTCTATCGGGCGAAAGGCATAAGATGCCAGAATACCATCTCAAGCTGCATGCATGATACTTAGCTATGATTCTGGATCAAGCCAGCCTCATTGTAAAAATGAAAATGAAATATCATCGGGAGTACTAACGTGAAATTTCCCGTACCACCCGTTATTTACGAGACCATATTCTGAGATGATCAGTAAGTCTCAAGAAAAAATGGGTCTCAGCACTATTCTATATGCCATACCTTGAGGCGGGAGAGACGAGGCTAAATTGACAGCTAAAAGATATTGAGATAAGATGATTCGTCGCTGAAGCTCAGTGCCAGTCGTGGAGTCGACAGAGCTTAGGTCGATGAAGGCCCCTGTGTCCCAATAAGACTGCCACCACGACTTAGAACTTTTAAGATCGGCTACGGACAGTTCAATGTTTCCGGCTTCACTATAACTCTCACTGTCCGAGAACGTCCCTATCATTCTCAAATTGTTCAAGCCTGGAGTTTTGAAGAAATATCGATGCGTGCCCTCTTTGGGGCCCGAGACCTGTCCTTCATCTTCCCATCTTGCTGTGAAACAGTAGCTGGTATTGTCTAGAGTATGCTGTATACGAGCCTCATTGCTTGATTGCTCGAAACATCGATAAATGTAGAGTGTTTGCTAGCGTCGTTCCACACTCCGACAAATGGCGCATCAAATTTGTTTACATCCGAGTAAGGGAAATCAAAAACAAACCTAAAGAGCCGCTGTTAAGTAATTCGGACTCCACATTGATCATGATGGTTTCAAAGTCCATTGCGGCTGATACCTCAACACGAATTTGGCTACTGTTGTAAAGAAAAGTTGAAGTGATCACGCCGCTCCATAGGTCAAGAACCTGGCTCTTCTCCTCTAGATCGCCCTCGGTGACACCAACACAATTAAAGCAAAAGCCAATGTTGCCCAGATTCAATCGCTGAAGATTCTGGATTAGCCAGTTTGATATGTCAGCCTCTGCGGGGTTAGGCTGGTCGTAGTTCACAAGCCGTCCATGAGACCACCAGTCCAAGCCGGTGAAGTCTTTGTTTTGTTAATGACTAATTTTCGATTCAAGTGAGAAACCTCTGTCTGGCCTTACCTTCCACAGATGTCTGGTTTGGGATCATTGGTAAACTGAAATTATGCCAGCCCCATGTCGACATGGTTGCGAAAGGGCTGAAGGTCTGGAGACCAGTCACATCCACGCCGAAGGCGAAGTTGCCAATTACCGACCTGAAGAGGCGTAGTAGCCGAACTCGCATTGCGATAGACATTGTAGGCTTGGACGATTTTTTGCCTCTGTATAGGAGCTTTGGCTTTGGCAATCCAAAGGAAATGAATGCAAAATGTCAAGACGATTGAAACATACATAACAACATGTGTAGTATATTTTAAATAAAAGATTTCAATTGAATTTTTATAATATAACTTATTTGAGAATCTGATTTATATAATGGATTGATGAAGATGTTGAGTGCTATGAAGGTCGATCGATTCTTCTGGGCTTACGAGGTTACCCTAAATTATAACTACCGAGCTGCATATACCCGCCTTAGTTCTTCCACCACTCAAATCATTCTGCCTATGCGGGTTCATCCTTACCAGTGAAAGGGACAGGACGAAAGGCATATACTCGAATTTTTACCCTGCTTGTCAACTAAAAGAAGTTGCCCAGGACCCCTAGTATATGAAAGAACGATGGTGTGGGCATGGAAGATCAGTATATGATACCTAAATCAAAAACAGTATACATTGCTCGTTCTATTCTGCCCTATTCTCAAATTTTTCTTTTCCCGAACTGTATTATAGGGCCAGTTCTCAAGCCGATAAAAGTAACTTCGGTTTGGAAGTCGTCCTTGTTTCTTTTTCTCCATCCCTGACCAAGTGCTTCCCATCTTTCATAAAAGGTATATTTGCAACAACCATATGCATCTCTTGGATGGCAAGTGTTTGGCCGGCGTAGTTCCAAGTCCCGATAGAAAATGTATAGAAATCCGACTGTGCTCGAGCCACATCTTCTGCAGTAGCACCGTTTGTATCATTGATGATACAACGCTCCGGCCGATATACCCATGTATTCTTTGATATATCTCACCATGATGCATAAGTGACCAGACACAAGTTCCAATCGCCCTGTGGTAAGAAATGGCCATCGATATGAAGACCTCTAGAGAGCACTTCTTGCGACAAATTCGTCTGGTCTGGTGCAGGCGGCGCCATATGCAGCGGTTTCATCGATGTAAGCAGGGAGATATTAGCATGATGAGAGTTTCTGACCACCTTGAATCTTCTCCAGGGAGTTGAGGTACTCCTGCTCCTGATCTCCATTGGAAAGCTCTTTACATACTTGGATGTTGTGTGTATTGTAGAGAAATATGACATACAAAGAATCTAGTATGGTACCAGTGCCAGCAACTATGAGAAGGGCAGCTTTCGAGAAAAGTATGACTAGCGTGTAAGCGGTCCAGGGGCGCCGCTCCCTGGATCCTTGGCATCAAGAGGATAATGAAACATACATTTTCTTGGCTGCACATCGAAACAGACTTAGGCCAGCATGAAGACTCCAGAGCGCTTGCATCTAAACAGACTATCCTTGTCACAGTCGTTGTGACTACCTCACGAGTAGAGCCATTTCTCTATTTCTCCAAGGCTAAAGAGATCTTCACGGAGAATAGGCTGATAGTTTTTTGAGGTTCTGAACACCCAAAATGGTTTTAGAATACAAAATTGTCAGGGCTGGTTTGGATGTTATTTTCCATCACACAATCCTTTCTCTTTAAAGACTACTACAGACTCTAATGGGATCTTTATCTTCAAAACTCAAATGAATACATGCTAAAGCTATATGCTTAATTTTCTGTTATTGAAATTTTCCACTTTGTTTCTTAAAGAGTGGATGCAATCGAATCTGTTTATCTAACAATAAATTACAATCCGTTCCGTTGAAATGAAAGTTTGCCATTGCGGAATTCTCTAGTACAAAAGAGCGGATTACTTAAACCAGCCGCCACAGCAATTCAAGCACACTTCTCTTGTTCGCTTAGTTTCTTCCGGATAATAGGAGTAGTTGATGTATTACTTCAAACACTAGACTACAGAGCGGAACAAGATATAAGAAGAGTAATTTGACAATAATACACAACTTTTACTGCCTTGGTCATTATAACATTGAAAATAAACACCAATTTAAGGCTTTTTGAGGCTTTCATTAACCTTGCTAGCCAAATAAGAGAACCGCAACCTAGATTTTTACAAAAGATGCTACAACAAATCTTATCTTTTTCGAAAACAAAACACCAGGACACGCCCATACCTTCATCCTATATCCAATATCCGATAGGTAACATAGTACTTACAAATTTGAAAAGTCATCGAAGCGGAAAGAGCGGATTCTGTGATAAAAGGAGCTCTTCCTAATAACCCATCCAAGAAAGTTATGAAGTAAAGACTTTCCCCACCAAACAAGAAATAATCAACCACTGCTCTTTGTCAATTCCCAACATGCGCTCACTTTAGCTAGCTGCTAACATAGCCTGGTCAACAAGACTCAGTCGAAACCCACATAAACACTCCTTCTTCCCCTCAAATTAACTTTTTGTAGCCATCATAAATCATGATACGAATCATCAATCTAAGTTCTCGACGAGATTAGAAGTATTACTAGTAGAAGGAAGAGGAGAAATGTGGCAAGTGAGGAATATCCGAGGGAAAATGTGTAAATTAATATTTGGTAGAGATAGAGTGTATGAGCCAGGAAACAGATCAAATCAAAGGCATCCCTATGAAAATCTCATTTGAGTCATAACCATCTACTGTTCGATAGCTACAAGCATTGTCATGATATCCTTGAAATTTCAACTCTATTCGAAAGAAAAAGTCGAAAAAATCAAATGATCATGGTACCTTCTTGTAACAGGATAAACGAAAAGTCAAGGCAGACTCTCGAAACCCAAGGCAAATTCCGATGATCCGCCTTTGGCTTCCTCCGTTGGTACCATGTTGAAAAGGAAGCCGAAAATGCACCCAGCGAGCCCATCTCGCAACTCTCACCCATCACCAAATTTTTTCCACGATCACAGCAAGAAACGATGCCCCAATATGTGACATCTTGTGCTTACCAAGCCATCTACCATTCAAACTCCTTGTCGTGATCTTTCCAATAGTTTGCCCTGTTCTTAGACTTCTTCTCCTCCATTTCTCGACGTTTTCTCGCCATGAAAGCTTTTGCTTCAATATCTCCCCACCCTTCCTTATTGACGGTATATTTCACGGTCTCATCTTCATGTCTGCCTACTACGTCTGCCACACTAGCCGTGATGTCGTCTACAACCCGACCGTAGTTGTCTGCCTCTCGGATTTTGCAACGGACCCCTTGAGACTCACAATGTTGCGTCAGGGCCGTGTATGTCCCAAAAGCTCTCTATCAAAGAGTTAGCAACTGCCCATCTTCAATTATCTTTGCAAAGCTTTCAGCATTAAGAACAGCGTCTGGCAAATCTCCGAAAATGCTGAACATAACCTTCAATCTACATCGAGTAAGAAAGCAACAAATTTCGTTGAAATTGAACAAATGATTGAGAGATAGAGAATACAATCTGCGACATTCAAGCACTGAAGCTGCAATTAAGGCAATGGATGTAAGGGAAAAAAAGAAAAAGTACAGTATGCAAATAGGAATTAGGATCGGGGAACATGAAACGTGTTATACTGACGTAGCAGTTAGGACAAATAAGTCTGTTATTTCCAGCGTGTGCAACGGAAAGTAAATGCTGGACGAAGCCCGATTCAGTGTCGGAACTCTTCCTTTGAGATGTTAGAGTAATGGCCCATATTGAGATATCAACCAAACTTACTTGCAGAGTCGGTGAGGGCACTTATACTTTTTGGTGAATGGAACCCAGTACCTTTGTGCTCGGAATGCAGGGTCTTTAGGATCATATGGTGCATATTCTTTCTCGGGCAAAGGGTTAACTAAAGGCCGCATGCGAAGAGGTGGAAGTCCACCTGTTCGAGCAATTGCATCCGTGACTGGAGCGGCTGCTTTAGGTGGTGGTGAAACAGGCTTTCGGGCATTGGCGATGATGTGCTGACTATCCCAGATCGAATTGAATTTGGAGTCCTCGAATGGCGCATCCATGAAGTTGGGAGCTTTCATGCCGGCATCCTTGAAGTCATTTACACTCGGCAACGATGGAAAGTTGTCTTCTTTCATAGAAGGAGCGATAGGTATTGGGAATCCGTTTTCGACATACTCGTATTTGACCTCTTTGGTGGGCTCCGGGATCTCAGCTCTTTTCTTTGAAGGCTTTCTCCAAGGTGTGCTCATTGCCTTGCCGACCTCCGTGAAACTGATCAAGTCCTCCTCTGGTTGTAATTTCATGATGGTCTCAGGTACATTATTTAATACCACGTCGTTGGGTAGATTTGATGGTTCGTCTTCTTCCAGTACTAAAGGATTGTGAGCTTAGTTCAGAAAGAAACGGTGATAGGAGATTACTTGTAGTTTCCCAACCTCCAAATTCAAAGTTCGTAGATATTTTACCCTCAAAGATAAGCGGTGGCGGCTTGCTATCCGTAACGTTGATAGGAGTATTCTGAGAATCCAACAAGCTGATACCAGTTCGTGGGCCGGCGTTCTCATCAATATCCCTCAAACCAGCAGTGAATTTTGCATGCAACTGTTGTCGTTGTCGTCTACGAGCGGCCAGGGTGTGTCTAGTTTCAGAGTTAATTGCGTGGCAGCTATCGAGTTCAAGGTGAGCAATCAGAGATCCTAGACGAACGTATTGTTTGCCACAACCCAGGCATGAAAGATCTTGTTCTTTTGGGTGCATCTAGAATTGAGTAAGATGTCAATCAATCATGACACTTCAGAAACTCAATAAAAATTGACTTACAAAGGTTCGGTGACGCTTGAGACCTTCATCGGTGTGAAAATCTGTGCTGCAGATATCACAGCAGATATGTTGTCCGCTGGTCATCTTATGATTATGATAGGAACGCCATTCTTTGAATGTTATTTTACAGGTCTTGCAGTATACCTTGGTATCGGGCACGGCACTGTTCGTCTCTTCCGCAGCCATATTGGAGGAGGCTTACAGGTCGTAAATTATGGTTGCGCTTTGATTGTTGAATTTGGTTTTTTGGAGACAATCGAGGGCGGGCGGTTTGAGACTGTGATGTCAATTTGGAGGTGTCGAAGCAACTTGAGACTCAAGAATTTAATTCACGTCCAGCTTGACGGAGTTTGAAAGTTTGAAAGCAATATTGAAAAAGAGAGGAGTGAATCGCAGTAAGACCAAACTCCTACTTCTAAGAGATCGTCCTCCTGTAGTGAAAAAAATAGCAAAATGTATCAAGCTCAGATGATCGTGGGATGAAGGTTTTGTAAATATTGAGGAGGTCGAAGAGTTGAAGGGTTGAAGAGTTGTAGAGGTGAAGAAGTGAAGAAGTGGGAACTTCGGAAGGGAGTGGAAGATTCTGGTTTTGGCTGTGTAGTATAATCATTGGCGAGGAATAGGATCTTTATATAATAATTTTTATATAATAATTCTTCTTTCCGCCAATCTCATAAGGTTCGTTTTGAGCAAGATATGTAACGATACGTCCTTTAATAACTTTATATTTGGAATAAACTTTTATTAATAGATATAAGATTAATCGATAGCTTTTGTTTACTTTAGAATTTCTAGATATCTCAAATCTTATATATTATACTTTTTCTACTATACTATAACAATAATAATAATAATAGTTGAAAGATATATATATATTACTAGAATATGGTTTTCTTATCTAGTAGTAGAACCTCAAATATTTCATTATAAAATTATAGGCATTATTCCTTACTAACAATTAGATAAACAAAACAAAACAAAGCAAAACAAACGGGAAAGAGTATGTATTGAACGATAACAAAGCCAGTAAGTGAGCCCCTCTAGTGAATTTAGTATTGGATTAATGGGTGGTGGTAATAAGTTTTGAAGAATAGAGCAGGAAAGAACGAAAGAAGGAAAGGAAGCAGCAAATAAAGTGTTCTATCACTTAGTTTTGTCTTCTTACTCAGTACTCAAATATTATTAGTACCCAGCAGCTTTATCAGATGCCTCCAAGCAGCCTTTGTCTGGTATGGTATTTGCATATGTTAAGTGAAACAAACTCTTCCACTTTGAAGAACTCTGAAAGACTTGAATAGTGACAACATGAATGTCAGCTATGCATCCGATGTCTATAGCTATAGTCAGAGGGTATCTGTTGATATCTCTGAGCATCCAAGAGAGCCAGAGATGACTTGGTCTGCTACGGATACTTCTTTCATATTACAACAGCAATGGTAATGCGGAATAGTACAGGCCATAATACATGTATAAAAAGTAGGAGAATCAAATACTAGTACTGCAAAAGGCCATCATGAGATCTCATCCCAAGCCTAGGGTGGTTCTCATAGCCATTCATTGTCCCGAGCGCATTATGTTTCTTAGGGATCTATTGATCGCCATATCTCTGCTGTTTTTGAGATGAACTCTTCGTTTGAAGATGACAAGCTCAAGTGGGTTTAGGAGCTTCAAAGATTATGAATATCGCGATGTAGAAGAGAGTGACCGTCTGTTCAGACTCATTTAGGTAGACGGTGAGTTCATGAAGTACTCGTAGATTAGTTCTATATGCCTCACCTCTCAGACACCCTGGGAGAACATCAAAGAATTCCATAAGTCCCATCTTAATGCTTAAGGATACCATGCCACCGAATCGATGAGCATTGTCGATATGATATACTCTTGTTGTACTGAGCTACTCTTAAATCTTTTAACAAATATGCTCGAGTAGATGTTAGGAGTATGACTGCTGTTACTGCTGTTACTCATTAGCTGCTTCTGAGAAGGCATAAACTCCACGCTTTCATATATAATGGCTGGCGATGTTATGAGTGCTGGTATTGGTGACTATTATACCAGAATGTCAATTGTTAATTAATGTTCTCTCTCCTATATATCATTTTTTTTGTTCTCGGAAACTCGGGCTATGGTTACATAATACGGAGGCCGAATATTGTTCATGTTTCGTCAGTGAAGCTCAGCCTTGATGGATATTGGACAAGAACAAGAACAAGAACACAATCACAATCACAATCTGTTATTTCAACAACTTCTCAAATAATGCGATCAAGGGAGTTATGTACCTCTAATAACTCTCATGTCTACTCTATTGTCTCCAAGTCCTTCTAGATCCCCAGATCCTACAAGAATGTCACGAAAATGGGCTAGAAAGTGTGAACGTTATTGTTGCATTGGTGCAACTTACTTTCCCATAGTATTTGTGTATAGTATTACAACCTGGGCTGTCTGGGTAGAGACTACAATCGGATTTCTGGCAGATGGCAGCAGAACATTCTGGATAGGTAGGTTTCATTGTCGCATAAGTGAGTTTTTAAAGCTAATGAACCATAGGCAAGGGGACATCAGTTTTAGGCATTGTCGTTTATCTCCTCCTCAACTGGTCATATACGACTGCAGTCTTCACAAGTCCAGGAACTACCACAGCCGCAAACCATGGATATAGCGCCCTTCCAACACACAATCCTGTCGCGACAAACTTTACGGTGAAATCGAACGGGGAATTGCGCTATTGTAAGAAATGCCAGGCAAGGAAGCCAGATCGATCTCATCATTGCTCGACATGTGGAATTTGTGTATTGAAAATGGACCACCACTGTCCATGGTTAGCTACCTGCGTTGGACTGCGGAATTACAAGGCCTTCCTCTTGTTTCTGATATATACGACATTATTCTGTTTTCTCTGCTTCGCAGTATCCGGGACTTGGGTTTGGAGGGAAATTTTGAGTGATGGAGAATATACCGACTCTTTGTTACCAGTCAATTATGTCATGTTGGCAGTTGTGTCTGGAATCATAGGTCTGGTTTTGGTGGGGTTCACAGGATGGCACATTCTACTTTCATCCCGTGGTCAAACGACGATTGAATGTCTCGAGAAGACTAGATATTTATCCCCACTAAGAAAGTCGATGCAGCATCAACACATCCCTGAAGATCAGAGTCATGGGGCATACGAACAATTAGAGAGAGCCAGAGCAAGAGATCGATATGAGGAATATCTTGACGAACAAGATTCTGAAAAGTTACCTAGTGCATTTGATCTTGGGTGGAGGAGAAACTTCAGACATTTATTTGGATTGAAGCCATTTCTATGGGCGTTTCCGATACCCACTACCACTGGGGATGGATGGAGTTGGGAGGCAAGTCCAAAATGGTTAGAAACTCGAGAAAGACTCGCACGGGAACGAGAGGAACAAAGAAGCAGAGAAAGAGCTGCTGGCTGGGGCGAACCAACATCTCCAATAGCACCCCATCCAAAACTAGAAGGAGCTGGCAGACATTATGTTTCTTATCCTACTCAACACAACCGGGCAAATCATTCTCAATCCAAAGCAGACCGAATTCTAGGACGCAGTCCAAATCAATATGTGGATGGAGCAGACTCAAATTCCGTTTCCATGCAAACATTGCAACCAAGAGACAGCGACGAAGATCAATATGAGATTAGTAGTGATGAAGATGAAGCAGAGAGACGAATTCTCGATCGAAAGGCTGCCGGTGGGTGGCCCCAGAGGGTTGGAGTTGTTACGAACACATTATTGGGGAATACAATAGCACGACAAAAGGACGATGCGAGAGGATGGGATGAACATGGACATGATGACGATGTAGATTAGATATCAATATGTGCACTGATTTTTTTATATCTGGGATTTGGGTTTTGTCTATTTCATCCTTTGTATTGTACAAGTCAAGGTTTGGATACTGATGGTGTGGGTAGATGGATATATGGAAAATTGAGATGCTATGCTATTAACATTTTCATTCTTTATAATAATTACTAAATTTATTCCATCACACAAGTTTATTGCAGACATTTTCTTCCTTGTGCTTGACCTAGAACACTCCCACGCTCAGCCCTATTTAAACATTTCAATTTGTCCATACCCTCTTTTTTTTCATCTCCTTTCTAACCTTCTTCCCTGTCCTGAAAGTCGAAATTCTCGGCTGCAATCAAAGTACACATGTTTCCAATTCGATTACTGCAAATCCTATCAGTTAAAAGCCTTTGATATTCATTAAAGCATCACTAATAAAATCATGGAAAAAACAACAATTCCAAAATGATCTAACATCTACCTACCCTCGCTAAATGTGACACTTCTCCCAAATTTGGTCCATTTGCTCAATTTGGCGACTTGCCTGTAATCACTTGAAGGATCATCAAACTGATATCACAAAGTGTCAAACACCGTTTTTCTTAAGACTGCTTGATGTACCAATGAATACAACATGTTGTACGCAAAGAGATTTTAAATTAATTTCATGTATTTATCACCGCCTCATGGATTACATATATCCACATCACCGTTCACTGCACATTCGGGTTGCAATGGTCAGAAGACAAGTTGTAGGAATAGACGTGTGATACTGATTGATAAGATGCTGAGATACTGACTATCTATACATACACCGATCAGCTCTGTCCTCGATCTCCATCAGAACTTTCCGTACTCAAGCTTATATCCTCAAGTACCCGACGGCCACATCCAATTTCCGCCCCTCCGGCATCCAAGTAAGAAATCCATCACGTCAATCGACGCATCAAAACATTTTGCAATAACCAGAACCAATGGAATTCGAAGAAAAAAACCCCGACTCAAAAGACCAGATGTATATCGAACAAGGTATCTGAGGTGAAACAGATGACGAGAGTAGAGGGGAAAAAACAATTAATAAGCGGTAACGCTAATGAGACAAGGGTAGAAACAACACCAGTGGGCCAGCCATGAGTATAGAGACATTAGGTGCGCCAGGGCGCGATGATATAGAAAACGAAAGTGGAAAAAACCCCAGTATGCCTGACCAGCCTCGTATTGTTACCCGTGACCCCCTAGAACAAATGCTCAGGGGCAAAGAATTTAGAGAAGAAAAATCGCTATATGCAAAAGAAAGAGAAAAGGGAATACCAGAGATGAACCGACGAACCTCCTCGTCAAAACCAATAGTGTGGGATGAAATGAAATGAGGGATATAAAAACCGAGTCTATCGAAGGAAAAGAGAAAAGAAATCGTAGCAATCATTAAATAAGCTCAGTCTTAGTACACGCTATCGTCGGCGTCATCCATCCCCTGAGAGATCATGGAGGGTGTTGACACGTCTGAAGCTTCGATGTCATCCTCATAGCCCACGAGAGCCTGAGAGTGAAGTCGGAAGGAATCTCCCATAAGTTTGGTGATTCTACAACGTGTTAGCATGATGAACTTTTTAATGATACAATGTATTACTTACCCCCACACCACAACTTCATCAAGCATGCTACCCCAGACACGAGCGACTGTGGAGCTAAGCTTGGAGCTATAGCCATCTACAGAATCATGTTCAAAGAGGGCTTGAATCTTGTTGTACATGACCTTTTCCTCCACAGTTGGGGCCTCCTCGTCATTTTCCAGGCGATAAAGCCACAAACTGAGGATGATCATGAGATCCAAGCCACAGAGAGGATGCTCGATACTCCAGTTCGTAGCAGAAGTCCTCGCAACCCAACGGATCCCTTGTAGGGCTGCAGTTTCAATGCAGTTGTAGCACTCTTGGATAACCTTAATCATCTCACTGGATCGCTTTACCTTATCCCTAGCATTTGACATGGCAGCGGCAACTTCGTATGAGTCGTGATACCTCAAGACCTCTTGGATTGACTTCAGGTCCACTTCAAGGCGAGCCTTAGCATTACGGAATAGAGCCATGGCGTTGAAGATCAATGGATGTCCCTTGTGAGGGGCGTTGAGAGGAACTGAAACCAGTTCCTGTTCACAAACATCAAGCGAATTTTCCCATGTCTCTAATGCAAGTCGCAGTTTGAATTCTAAGACCATATCTTGAAGTGCTTCTGGACTGCGTTTATGATACCAAATCTCAAGGAAGAGTGCATTGATCATGACACGAGTTGCGAAAGCACTATAGCGTAGGGATTCACCCTGGAACAGATTGTCATGAGCTTCCATAAACGAGGGAATCTCGGCAGCTCTGAGGTGTTCTCGCCAGACAGCTTCGTCAGAAACGCTCAGGTTCCACAACGCTTCGGTTGAAGGGAGTTTTAGATCTTCAAACTCGTTGAAACTGATGGCAGGAGTATGGTTGTAGGTCAGTGTCAGCAGGCCAAAGAAGATGTATACCGCATAGTACGTTCGTCGACAGCCTTCATCTTCTACCCACTCAGATCGGGTTGGTGTAGCACCTTCTCTGGCGTCTGTACGAAGCTTGAGCTCATAATGATTGCCGGCGACCATGTTAGCGAGTAAGCTCTTAATCGAACAAGCCCATTCCAATCCTTTTGGGTCTCCACTCCAGCTTGCAAAGATCATATTGAGCAGCGAGCTTTGCATGGTCCATAACGGGCACTTGCGTGAACTAAAGTTTTCCTTGTTTTGCAAGAACTGATTCACAAGAACCTTGGAACCAATGTGCATCATATATGCGAATTTTTGATCAAAGGCATAAAGAGCCCCAATGGATAACACCGCAAGTAGCAGTGGCGGTGAAACTTGCGTGGGTTTGAAGGTCGAGGGATGCAGGAAAGGAAGGTGATGATGGAACAAGCTGAAGTAGGTAGAGAGGAAGCGATTCAATGATGCCAATGGAGGAAAACTAAAGCCTTCAGGAATTGCTCGCTCACTATCATGGCGACGGATGTTATCCAAGATGATGTTACGCTCCTCGTCACCCAAGACTTGAGGTGGCTTCGTTGCTGTTGCTTCAGAACGAGGTTGCATTGGCGACAATTTGGGGGTAGAAGTGACCGAGGGTGGCAACGATTCAATCATCGACTGTAACGCGGGGACGAGTCCATTGTAGCTGGATGACGCCTTGAGCTTAACGATGGGTGGAAGCTGGTTTGGATGAGGCTGCATCGTACCGCCACTTGTGAAAGACGCCTGAGAATCTTGGGAACCAGAAGCACCCGAGGTAATTGAATGAGACCTTGGCTCTGTCACAGACTGCGGCATAAAAGAATCCCACGGTACCTGAGGAAGCGAAATCGCCCCGGAAGGATATGTGACGGATGGTTCCATAAGCGGAGTACCATTATGAGAGAAAGCCATTCCAGGTCTATTCTCATAAGGGCCTACGCCTGCGTTGCGCATTGCTGCAGTAGCTTTGTGGTGAAGGTCGGTCATCAACATAGCGGCGGTCTCTAAGTCAACCAATCCATCGCTACTGGCTTCGATCTGTTCGAGGGCCGATGTGTCAATAGCAATGGAAGATTTAGCTGAGCCCGATACAACAGATGCTTTTGGACCGGCACGTCGCTTCACGTCGCTATGTAAAGGGATACCTCCGTCTTTGGCGTGGACTGTTCGGTCATGTCGGAGCAACAAATCGCGTCGCACAAAGGTACTTCTACACTTCATACACTTGAAAGGACGTTCCTTAGTATCTATGATGATGATGTCAATGATTTGTTTGATTGTCGCGATGAACGGTGAGAGAAAACGGTCGTTGTCGCAATACGCCGTTGGTGAATCACTCACGCGACTCGAGACCAAAAGCTAAAGGGGGAAGAAGGGATCCAAGGAACATCAAAACTTACGTGATCTCTCATGCCTACTACGATGTTCACTCCTGCTGAAAGCTCTATTACAGAACTGACATTTATACTTCTTCTCGGGGACGAGAGACGACTTTCGTATTGTTGATGTTGATGATGCCGTAGTGGGCAGAACACTTATGGCTGAGACAGGCATTGTGTTGTTGCGGAAGGGAAAATAAGATTCCTTTCTCACAGATCGATGGTTGAATATCGTCTGGTTCGCGAGCGTGGGCGTAAGGTTTAAAGTGTGTATTGATTACTCTTGTATATATTGCTCATTTGTTGATTTCGTATTATTGTCATAGATAGGTGTTTTGGTATAATGTTGGCAGCTGCCGAGAGTTCGTGAGGGACAGGTTCCCGCTTTTGATGGATGAATGGATGGATGAATGAACCACGGTCGCGTTGACGAAAGATTGAAAGATTCGTGTTTGGATTCGGGTGTTCAGTGAAAGTGTGGGAAAATGGAATTAAGTATGCTGCAAATATCAATCAACAATCACAAAATGATTGTGAAAATGAAAAAAAGAAGTTGTTGATGAAAGATGATGGAATGAATAAATGAGGGGTGAGAGTGTAAAAGAATCAAAAGAAAAGAGGGGGAAGGGAGATGAGAGGGAAGAAAGTAGAGTTAACTGTAAAAAGTGTGGAGCCAGGCAAAAAAAAAAAGCTACTACAACTCGTAAGCCAAGTAGATAAAGTACCTATACCAAAAATAAAAAAGGAGAAGGCGTAGTGGGATTTTGGATTTTCAGGTAGAAAGTCTAAAAATGGCGGGGCTTTTTGGTTTTTGTAATCTACTCGTATAAGTATGTATTTAAATATTGAGTATATTAATTGAAGTCAATAAATCAAGTCGAGTATCGATATATAAATCCTTTATTGAATATTAGTATAAATAGCTGTTATTTGTATTTAAAGAACAATAGTGAGGCTGTGACTATGATTGCCAGCGCAACAAAATCATTGGTTTTCTACAGAATACTTAGAATACCTAGGAGGGGTTATCTGTGTTATTATATTGATTACACAAAGTCATACCTATCTATATCTGCGAGGGATATAGGTAATAACTGAGGGGAAAGTTCCAAACAAACAATCAGATAGATATTAACACTTTCTTCTATTCTATCCATTTAAAGAATAGACTTCTTCTCCTCTAGATCTTACCCCTCCCCCTCTAGGCTCTGGCCCCTCTTCACAACTAATGAACTTACAGTTTACACAGACAACGCAGAAAAGCATAACAGCGGTCACTATGAATTCGATCTTATTACATTACTTCCTTTTCAGATACAGTACCATCATCCTTTTCATTCACATACATGATAATCGATATTATGCAATTTGAACAGTTGGCTGATTCCAATTGGAGGACAAGGTTGCTTTTATATATTGATTGACGGATATGCCAGGTACACGGATAATCCATTGTTGCATTGAAATATCATCTAATTTGGTATTACCTATTACCTATACTACCGACTCTGTAGTTGATGTTAGGAACACTTCCCCGGACCCACTGAGGTTCCCTTCTGAATATGAATGCCCGTCAATAAATGATGAGGGGCCAACACGCGTTCGCGAACAAAACACACACACACACACACACACACACACACACACACAGCACATAGCACACAGCACACAGCACACAGCACACAGCACACATCACTGAAAAGGCACTTGAATCAGGGCGGGTTCGCAATGACCTGTCAAAAGCAGTAATCGATTATTGACTTGATTCAGGAAAACAACAGAAATTGGACCCTTGTACTATATACCGACGGTGAGGAAGTTCTTCCTGCAGCATGCAGCATCCCAGAATTCCAACCTCCTTGTGGGCCCTTAATAACCTTCCATGACTTCTAACTTCTATCAGACTTGTATTGATATTCTACCCAATCAAGTTCGCGGGCCTGCCCAACTTAATTTGGAGCTAATACCGAAATCATCCTTCACCGCGGTCAATCCCACCCGAGATAGTAGGTTTCCTACAGGAGAAATTCATAAATGGAATATCCAAGGATTATATCAATCTACCATATCCCGCCTCATCCGCCTTGACTATTTCACCTTTTCAGGGCACTGCCAACGAATCAGGTAGCAGGTTTAATGAAGTTATAATAACTGCCACGGGAGGAACGGGTACTAAAATTCCAGGAGACAGATTTCTGGGTCCTCGTGTTTTCAGTCCGCCAGTTCGCGGGAGGCTTTCCGGTAGCATCTAAAATGATTAAGATCATCATGACAAGGAGCCACCCATACTTTTTCTAGCAACATTAGTGTAAACTAAGAACCATGATTCGCTAACGACATCTCATGTCTATTCCACCACGTTAAAGACAGTAAGGTTTAGCAGGCGGACCTTACCTTCGTCAGGGTATATTTCACATGGCATCCCTCACCGCGTAGTTGGAAATCCAGAACCTCAATTTCGACATGGGATTCTATACACCGCCATCCATCCGTAGGTTATACAATTCACAAAGCAGATGTGCAATAAGTCAGCAAGTAACTTCACAACACAATCTCACAGTATGCGACTGCACAGTGCAAACTCCACTCATGATGCATCTCATTAAGACTTAACCTCATGATAGATAGTTGAGTAACCTCACCGCCGAGATTGTTACCCTGTCAACTGTCGCATGATATGGGACCCCTCTTCAAGTACTATAACTCATCTTTTATCTACACATAAATCGCCCGATTCAACGTGGTCGGGCTTGATTCTTCAAGCGTTTCGTTATTCTCATAGCAAAGCGGGTGGTTTCAAAGTTCCAACCTATAGTAAGGATTTCGGTCGACTCAGGTCTCCGATGGTCCGAAATTGGACTTGAAAATGGACATGCATTTCAGAGAGTTTATCACGAAGGTTTCAATAATCATAACAAGTACTACTGTTGACTTTCAAGAGACTCCAAGATTCTCACATTAAAAAGTAGATCGCATACTAAAATCACTCCTGCGACAAGGCCTTGTTGAAGCAAGCTTTTTCGAGATGATTACTATTACAAGTTGATGCTACAACCTCGCGATCTACCGGTATCTCAAAGGTCTATTGTAGTATCAAATAACAAGTAATTCAGCAACGAATCTTTCTATACTCAGGCATTAATAGATAAACTCTTGCGCTTGTTTGTACCTTTTACAATCCCAACTTATCGCAAACCCCTCCATCTCCCTCGCCAGACGAAATTACAAGCTCCTTTGTACCCACCCCCAAAATAGAAGGTTCCGATCTCCTTTTCTGTCTTTCTTTATTTATTCTATCCTCCTTCTAGAAACATTCTAGAAAGGAAACGGCAATGTTTTCCACCTAGGCTGAAAAGCTGAAACCATGTCTGAAATGGAACTGCAGTATTACCTCACACCATTGTACCCGAATTGCGTCGTTGCCTTCTTTTGATGTGATTACATATTACACAACCGGACGGGTAATTTGTTACTCGATTATGTAGAAGGGAAACAAGAGGGGTTGCAATGCTTACCTTCGTGGATTTGAGGGAGAACAATAGAACAAAAACAAATGCGAGCACCTGAATTACTGTACCTATACCCCTGAGTTTTGTCAGATCCATTCTCGGCAACGAAAAAGCAGGAGTTATTAATTCATGATTGATGAGATGAGCGGCCGCCAGATCGTACAAATGAATCCTTGGTCGGTCCGAAACTCCTCATATAGGTATCTGATATGTCTGATATCTTATCTTCCACATCTCTCGACCTCCTTGGGAGAGTCTCATGGAATGAATGGAATGTGATACCGACGGGGTGCTATGCAATGTTGACTGGGTATATGGTTACCAGATTTGAATTTATTTGCGTATCTGATCAAATTGAATATCTTTTACTGATGATGCAGAAAACTTCCGCAAGACCTCTGCTTTTTCCCGACATATTCTGGCGTTTATACCTCCATAGGGAAAAATGCAATGGGGATTCTTCGTTTTTGGAAAGGTGGGCGTACAAGCCAAAAGAGGAAATATCACAACAGATATTAAGATGACTAGATCTAGATTGAATGTGCAAGTGGTCGAAAGCCATGGTTGCATACATCATACATGTGTGTGTATGCCTAGGTGTTCTTATTGCGATAGTGCTTACCAGGGACGAATTTGGAAAGATGCAGTTGATGACCCGTTGCCTTGAATCGGACTTTGTTCTATAGATAGAGTATGGCAATCATGTTGTTAAAGAAATCCCCGACAAGCCAAAACGACCATATCGCATGTCGTGAAGGATTGCCTCGTGGTAATGTTCTCCGTCTTTCGCATGGCTAGAGAAAACAAAGAAAAGATGATCAGAAATCATCAATTTGCACTGTTCAGGATTCGATTGATTGCTTGTAAGGATGAATTCATTGTACACCACACTCAAGGGATAGGATGAAGAAGAGGAAGAGGAAGAGGAGAAGGAAAAGGAAGTACTCGAGTAGTCAGTATTCTAATTGAATGTTATACTCGTATATGTTCTCAATATTACCAAAGATTGCTGAGAATTCAATGATGGATGATGATGAATTCAATTCCCCCCCAAATGACGGTCGATTGGTGATATTTAGTATTATACTTCCTTCTATAAAATCCAATTCATATCTTATTATCTTATAGATACCTAATAAGTAAAATTATGGAAATATTATTGTTTTATACAAACATATTTACTATATAAATGTTTGTATATTTTACCACTACCTCAACTCAATCCTCTCCTCTACACTCCACTCCACTCCACTCCAAAGCTCAAATCGTTCGCTCTAGGTACCCAACTATGAGTAGATTCAATTCCGCCAATAACAAATAAAGATCTTACATTATCTATATTTTTATTTCCTCAAATGTTCTTCCACTATATTTATTTCTTTATAAATCATATCTTTCTATATCTTTATTAACATCGAGAGGAACATATATATTATATCTACGAAACAAAGTTGGATCGCTGGGTATACGTAAAGACAGAAGAAGGATATACCATACTAGGTATCCTTGTCCTCTGCTACACTTAGCTACTCATACACCATATTCCTAGAAACCCTTCAACGCCAGAACACCTAGCGATTTTTTGCGATAACAAGGCAAAACTGCCCTGCTCACAACAACCCGCCTTTATTATATTTCTTTCGACTTTCAGTTGGATATATCCTATACTTCTCTCTATCAATGAAGTGGTAATTAATTTGGAACTACAGTACTATCATTCATCTAATCGATGTTCCACTGACCGTAACCGCCCGAATTTACCCTATTTTCAATCATTGATCGACAACTATACCCCTCCCCTCCTCTGCGGCGAGATTTATATACATACTTCCAAAAGCGCGTACGATTTCATTAAAGATCGGTCCTTTAAGCTTCACCTACGTGCGACGACTAATCATGAGTTGAAAGATGTTAATGACACAGACCGTGGTCAAATAAATACATTCGCAACTTCCCAGTCGAGTAATACCACCGATACTGTTATTCGATACGCCGAGGAGAGTCCAATCTCGTTTTAACGGCAGATACATCTCCAGTTCGATAAATTCTCGAAAGAAAACACAAATTTCAAACCGCTGCAACGCGCAAACCACCGCCACCAATGAATGGGTTGTTAGGGAACGCTCCACAAACAGTCATGTATGTGCGAGCACTTTACGACTACGAGGCCGACGACCGTACAAGTCTTAGTTTTCATGAGGGGGATATAATACACGTAATCACACAATTGGAAAGTGGCTGGTGGGATGGAGTCATAAATGGTGTGAGAGGTTGGTTCCCAAGTAATTACTGCCAGGTCGTATCAGGTCCCGAAGATGTCCTGGACGGCAAGCCGAATGGGGTTGGAATGGGCATAGATAATGATGTCGACGACGATGAAGATGACGAGGAGGAATACGAAGAGCAGTATGATGATGAGGGTGAAGAATCAGAACGTGACGACTTTTCACATCTGCCCACGACTGGAGGGAATAGCAATGGACGATCAGGGGCAGATTTCTGGATACCTCAAGCGACTCCCGATGGCAGATTATTCTACTTCAATACGGAAACTGGCGAAAGTAGCATGGAGCTACCATTAGAATCGCCATCTTCGGCAACGGAGATGGGACCTAGGGATCGGATGAATGTCAATATACCGGGGAAGACAAGGCCCCCGGCAGAAATGATGGCGCGGGGATACATAAACGAAACCGACGACGAATCTGAAGGAAATTCTGCCTCGGAGCTGGATGGAGAGTCTATCATGCTCGCGTCTAAATCCTCCTTTGTATGTTGCCTGCTTAATGTGGCTATTTCGTAATTGCTAACACATTTCAGCCACGGAAGAAGCGCAGATCTCAGTTATCCGAAGGTGTATCCCCGGCTACCTCCATGGACTCGATCAATGGCACATCTCCTGGTACTCGCTCACGAGCTGATACGTTTAATACCCCAAATGTATCCTTGACAGCAATGCCAATGATGGGCCCATCTACAACTTCTTTCACGACTCCCGCACTTGGCCCACCACACGCTGCTACTTTACCTCGGTCATTCTTTGACGACGGCTCCGCTGCACCCCTGACATGGAACAGACTTGTTGCAAATATGAAGAAAGCTGTGGATCGCTATCGTGAGGCCATCAATAACCATGATCGTTCTGAGTATGTTCGCAGAGCTGAAGATATTTCTGATCATCTCCGACTATTACTAGCCGCTGGGTCTGGCACCACTGATAACCATTCTGGTCAGCCTTCTATCATTTCTACCAACAAAGCTCTATATCCCCATTTCCGGGACATGATGTCCAAATTCTCGAAATTAGTCATTTCTTCTCACATCGCTGCTTCGGATTGGCCCAATTCGGAATCCTATCAAAAATGCCTGCAGGAAGCGGACGGCGTACTTCTAGGTGTGTTCAGCTATGTCGAAGTTGCCCGTCAACAGCGAGGTGAGGACATACCACGATTGCTGCCGGGCTTTGTCGTTGGCAGCACTATTGGTGGTAGCTGGCAAAATAACGGGCTTGGATCCAGAGACCCACTAACGTCCAACTTTCTTGACGAGGATGAGAGTGCAGTTGAACCTTCTGCAATCTTAGATGCGCATTTGATGGAGAGACTCGACGATCTAAAGAGAATGTTAACATCTAGCATTCGAAAGTTGGAGGAACATCTCGTACTCACTGACAAGATCATAACCCCTTACAGACACGAGCTGATTGGCAACAATGTGTGTTCAGCCGCTCAAAAAGTCATTGAGATGTTCAAGCCCTGGGTTTCCACGGTTGAGTCCATCAACTTGTCTTCTCTCGGCGATACATTTCAAAATCCCCAACTTATTGACTTCGCCAAACAGAAACAAAGTTTGTACGATAATATATCGGATCTGCTACTTGGATGTCAGGCTGTGGCCGGCCCCTTGGGTGATGAGTGGGCGGAAGTCCGCGGTGAGTCATTAGAGGGGCGGTTGAATTATGTGCGCACATGCTCGAGATCACTTGAAACAAACTCGTCGCATATTGGCTTCTCGCTGCAGCTCCTTGGTGAGCTTGTTCAGACAGCTATGCAACAGGCTCTACCTATCGAAGAGAGAGCGAAAAATCTGAGGAGGGGTGATAGCGCGCCCTACGAGCGACCACATCAAAGATCGGATTCCCGGAACCCACCATCACTTCGTCCTAATTTGGCAGAAATTGGAAAATCTCAGACATACTCTGAAGGCGACTCAGTTCTGCCCTTTCGAAAGGAAAATTCTAAAGTCAGAAAGTTCTTTGGTGAAGAGCCGATCCGAAGAGATGCCCCAGACGAGACGCCAGACTGCTTGAAGCTCGATCACGAAGATGATATTTCCTATGATGCTAAAGTCCAGCCTCCTATCTTGAGAGGTGGTACACTTATAGCATTAGTTGAACAACTGACACGTCATGACAAGTTAAGCTCGGATTTTAATAACACCTTTTTACTGACGTATCGGTCCTTTACAAATGCCAGGGAATTGTTTGAGCATTTGGTGAAGCGCTTTCAAGTGCAACCTCCTGAAGGTATGCCCCCAGGAGATTATGAAACTTGGGTGTCTCGAAAACAAAAGCCGATTAGATTTCGAGTTGTGAACATTTTGAAGTCATGGTTTGAACTTTTCTGGATGGAAGACCAAAGTGATGATACCAAAGCTCTCATAGCCAACGTCTACACATTTGCCCGGGATACCGTGAAAGCTACCGACACACCGGGGTCAGGTTCGTTAATGACTCTGTTGGAACAACGATTACGGGGACAGGAAGCTACAGCCAAACGTTTGGTGCTGACTCTGAACCATTCCACGCCCCAGCCAATCATGCCAAAGAACATGAAGAAGCTCAAATTCTTGGATATTGATGTGACAGAATTTGCACGCCAACTTACTATCGTCGAGTCAAAACTGTATGGGAAGATCAAACCAACGGAATGCTTAAATAAAACTTGGCAAAAGAAGGTCGGCGAAAACGACCCTGAGCCTGCACCAAATGTCAAAGCTTTGATCTTACATTCTAATCAACTGACTAATTGGGTTGCCGAGATGATTCTCACGCAACTAGATGTCAAGAAGCGTGTTGTGGTTATCAAACATTTTGTTCTTGTTGCCGATGTAAGTGGGACCCTCTTCTGACTACTTCCACCCTTTCTAAACTACATTAGAAATGTCGCGCTTTGAACAATTACTCAACTCTCACTTCCATCATCTCTGCCCTTGGTACTGCACCAATTCATCGATTAAAACGAACCTGGGACCAGGTACCTGCCAAAACCTTGGCGGTACTGGAATCTATGCGTCGCCTTATGGGCAGTACCAAAAACTTTGGAGAATATAGAGAAAGTTTACATCTAGCCAATCCACCATGTATACCATTTTTTGGTACGTTCTAGCTGTATGGTTCCCTGTTACAATCTAACATATTTAGGTGTGTATCTTACCGATCTTACATTCATTGAAGACGGTATACCCTCCATCATCAAGAAAACTACCTTGATCAACTTTGCCAAACGAGCAAAGACGGCTGAAGTTATACGCGACATCCAGCAATATCAAAACGTTCCATACGGCTTACAACCGGTTCCAGAACTTCAGGAGTATATATTGAGCAATATGCAAGCTGCAGGAGATGTACATGAAATGTACGAGAAGAGCTTGCAAGTCGAGCCACGAGAGCGTGAGGATGAAAAGATAGTCAGGTATGTTCTCGACTCTTGAAACTAATAATAGCCAACCTTTATCAGAACACAAAACAGGAAAGAGACCTATACTTACACGAATCACAGGGTATTGGCTGAATCGGGCTTTCTATGATTGCCTCGCATTGCGCATGTAAAAAAGTTTTCTGATACGGCCACGTTTCCTGCGACCGGAGCATCAAACCCAACTTACGAACCACCGATTACGAGCTACCACACTTCTGGTCGTGGGACTTCAGTCTGTCATGATCTCATACGTATGCATCGATGACCCCACAATAGCTTGTAACTCTCCAGGCTTCACATTCACAACTTATAAAACTGATTACACATCTCGGGGGCTCAGAAGCAATCACGGGTTGTCATACATTTTTGACAAGCTACGATGTTTCGAAAATACCGATCTTGATGACCTGGGCGTCTTCCTCAGGCAAGAAAAAGAAGGATTAAGGGACACATTGAAGTATTTTGGTAGCATGGCATGGGCACAATATTTCCTCAATGCTACTATCGAGGGAATGCTGCTGCCGCATAAGGAAACAAGGTGCAGCAGGTAAATGGGGTTGACATCTTTGAGGAAGACATGTAGTGTGGTAATTTATCTATCCGGTGTAGTTGCACCAGAACTAAAATCAAAGGCATTTACTTCTACTGTGTTTACCTATAGAAGGTTCGGTGGGTCAGTGGAGTATCTTAATCAACAAAGGTAAGTGAATCTTACCAAGAAGCTTCAAGGTGACCGGTAGATTGACATTGGGATGTCTCTGGCGGTATCCTTTTCAGATCTTTGTTGAGTTGTGTGGGCGGCAATTCTTCGGTTCAAATGGTTCGCCATTTGATCATGATGGAATTGAGATGAAACCTTGTTTTGTTACCAAACCCTGTGCTGGTGTGCCATGAACATTGAGTATTGAGAATGAGAAGTGGGACGATAATGTCTCATTGTCTGGAGTTGTTCAAGTATTTGGTGTGTCTCCTCCCCATTATTCTGGCGACTTATACTTGAAGTGTGTGGTATTATAGATACACGTGGAATGATATTTGCATCTCTAATGTGTTGGGGTGACCCTCTGGAGCATCTCTTCTTTCGTGGGTAGCGGACTTATGACGTCTGTATGGTGAAGCGTCTAGACTACTTCAAGGTCTCTGGAGTTGTGTTTTGATGAAAACAGCATAAATATTTGCGAGTGAACCACAAACCTCGAGTGAGATTTGAAATCAAAGGAGGAAAGTAACGGAGTAACTGCTACTGGTGCTGCCAAAAGATCAGAATTTCACTTCTTGGATACACTTCCTTGGTGACTTCTAATGATCAATATACATTCGTATAAACCAGCGTCGACTTTCAAAATTGTGGAATATAACTTCGAAATGGTCCACGATTTCCTTCGAATATTCTTTATTAGCAAACGATCAAAATCAATGTTATTATTGCAGAAGCACATAACGTATACTTTCCTTGCACTCAATATTCACCAAAACTCAAGTCCGGTCACTTTTCTCTTTACTACCGAGAAATGTTTCATTTGGTACATGCTCACGTATATAAAACACGTGATATAAAAGCTACTCGGTAATTTTGTGTGGACATATAATCTAGTACTAACAAGGTTTAGTCTACTTCCAATTGATAGATCGGATGGCGTTTCTTCCGACATAACTTATAAAGAACCCCACCACAACCACAATCCCCATCAGCTTAAGTGCCAACATTTGGAATGGATCATCACTATTATAATGTCATTGTCATATAAATGATATAATACCGGTATATGTTTCAACTTTCGGGAACTACTTAGCCGCATTTCAATGCTAGTTAATTCTGTTGGTGCCAGGATCGACATTGATTACCATACATTCCGCAGATATAATTGTCTAGAATAAGTAGAAAGGAACTTCCAAGACTTCATCATCATGATCGTCATTCTGGGCGGGGGAAGCTGGTGACAAGCTTGAATTGTTGATGTTTTGAAAGTTGAGGTACTGATGACTACAGTAGTACCGTATGTTGGTTTGGCAGCAGATAGGATATGTGCCTATATTTACTTGTTAATATCACCTCAAACTTCAAAGTATCCTAATTACATTACAGTCTTCGGATTATTGACACCCCGGCCATCAAATTCACTAACAAACTAGGTAGGTGGGTGATCCTTTGAGAAATGACATCTCGCAATTTCCCCCATATGGCTACCCAGCCTACCCAACTCTTAAATTCAGGAACTATCAACTAGTTTCGCGGGCTGGTGCATTGCCGGTCAACTCTATTACTTGATGGGGTTGTTTTCAAAAATCAATGATTCATTCGGAAGAGACAATGGCCGGACAGAAGTCTTCTATCGTCATTAAAATCACCAATCCTAGGTGTATATAATCTGCTTATTTTTCTATTTCAGTAATAAATTTTTCATCCTATACTTTTCTATTCAATCATAATACATTCAACAATTGTCTCCACCCAAGCTCTAATTACATCAACCAAAACACATCAATCATGCTCTTCTCTACCACTACTCTCGTTGCTATTGCCAGCATCTTGAATGTTGCATCGGCTCTTCCAACAAAAAGACAGGCAGCTCCAACCGATGCAGATATTCTTCAATACGCCTTGACTCTCGAACATCTTGAGGATGCTTTCTACAAAAAGGCTCTCTCCGAAATGCCAGAACAGATGTGGCTTGACGCAAATTTCTCGTCCGACTTCTATAATCAATTGAAATTTATCGCGCATGATGAAGAGGCCCATGTTGTTTACCTTGAAAGTGGTCTCACCGCTGCAGGTGCAGTCCCGGTCGAGGCTTGTGAATATAAGTTCCCATTCACCGATCCAAAGTCATTCGTCGCTCTCGCTTCCGTCATCGAAGGTGTGGGTGTTTCCGCATACCTCGGAGCAGCAGCCGATATAACAACAAAGGCCTATCTCACCGCCGCCGCTTCTATCCTTGTCACCGAAGCTATTCATCAATCCGCCGAGCGTAACGCGAATGGTGAGATTCCAATGGCTAATCCTTATGGAACACCTCTTGGACTCAATGCCGTCTACTCTATCGCATCTTCCTTCATCGTCTCGTGCCCATCCACCAACGCGGCCTTACCGGTAACCGCTTACCCATCTCTTGCTCTCAAATCCGGACTACCTACTGCACCAGGTGCCAATGTCGCCCTTGTACCAGAGACTACTCCTTCCGGAACCTTCTTCACTACCTTTGTCAGCGGACTTGATGCCATTGCTGTTGAGAGTCAAGTCGGTAGTGATGGTTTGATCATGACTGCAGTCCCAATGGGCATTTCAGGGCAAAGCTATGCCTTCTTGACCAAGGACAATTCAGGTGAATTGTCTGATTCCAACATCATTGCTGGTCCGGCCATTATTGAAGTTACACCTGATTCCCCAACTTTCAACTTGTCAATTATTTAAGAGCTTGATTTGTTGTACGGGAGGTGTAAAGAAGATGTTTATGGGAATGCTGAATTAAATTTGGAGATGTATAATAATTGATGGTTTTAATAGGTGTGCGATTCATAGTCTGATGTAGCAACGATACTTCTAATAGGTTCTTGGTTTTGTCATTGTATTTAATATTAAATAACGAGGTTAAAGCGACAATGGATGTTGAAAGGAAATATCACATCATAACATTTTTTTCTTCAATTGAATTGAGTATTGATACTGTTGTTGTGATCAAATAAGGCTTGCGCCACAATAGAACATTAATATCTGTTTAAAATGGCTATCACTAGCTTAGTTGTTTATTAAATTTCATATAACTTTGAATAATTAATAATATACTAGGAATAATTAATGAATATATACTCGAGTAAAATTTCATTTTAATTAAATAAGATTTGAAAAAGTTATAATTGATTTGATTTATAAAATATCGATATTTTATTATTTATTTTTAAAATATTACCTTTTTATATATCTTTATTTAAATTGATTTTTATATTATTGTTAGTATTATCTCGGGAGTGAAATAGCTATACTATATAATCAAAAGTATTATATTAAAAGTTAATTAAGATTATTTCTATTTCGAGAGTAGAGAGATCTATATAGCTATTATATTTTGACATAATATTTATTTATTTAATAAATTAACGTCTGGGGGATAGACGGAGTCTATTTACAACCTCCTGAAGAATACTAAAGATAGACTAAAGTAAGATATTAATTATATAAATATAGAAATCTATATTTATTATTTCGAGATAGCCAATTTTCCTATATTTCTAATGCAAGTTCTAGTTCCAAAGCTAAATAAAGGAATACTATTCCTTTGCTTTAGTAATAATTTGTTATATATAAATTGTCTATTCTGTTTAGAGCATACTTATTGTTATTAAGGGCTTTTGTAAGCTTGTATAGTTATATTTTAATATTGTAACGGAATAGACGGCTCTCTTTCGCCCACTAACTCATACTACGTACGTAGCATGATACAACGG